TGACATTACAAAAGGCAACTTAAACAGTCCTACCACATCAAGGGCCAGGACCTTACCCATGATTCTCAATGAAGGAATATCTCGGAAGAGAGTTCACATCAGGTACTTGAGTGGCCACACAATGATCCACGAACACACGCAGAGGCACATGATTGTACTGCTTTACAGATGCCTCAATATTAATAACACCACCCAGGAAATACGAGTATGAAGGCCTCTCATATATCCAATCATCTAAACACACACAAAAAAAAATTTAGGTACAGCCACAATAGCAAGGTAAAGGTTACATTTTATTCAAAGAACACATGTTCCAACCCATCATGATCTTCAGGGAGAAGACCAAGACTTCTTCACCAGCCTCTGTTGAGGCATAAGGGACCCATGTTGGCCTCAAGGCATCACTGCTTACATTTTGGAGCCTGCGGTTCATGAAATTAAACATTAAAATGTCTCCCAGTCACATGAGAAAGTGCAGAACGTCACAGAGATCCTCCTACCTTTGATAATGGCATTGAACACCAACAACTGCACCATCAGTCCGGGTAATCGGAGTACCTGCAAGCGCCTCAGGGGTGTAGGTAAGAGAGAAGGTGTAGACGAGCTCATCCTCATTCATCTGTAAAAAGATTGTGGTTACCAAGAGGGTCGTCCCAAAGATTTAACATACACCAAGACCATGCACTCACACTTATACGAATAAGAAAAGGTGCATTGTGCAATATGGTGGAACTCCTAAAAAAGTAAATACATCACAACTGCTCTCAGAAGCACCTGTGTTTCCAGAGAAAGTCAAGGTTTTGGAAGCATGTACTTACGATTGAACATGCACACTCCAGGGTAAGGTTCCAAGGTAAACACAATTAAGTGTACAAGATTTGTTATTGTTTAAGCTCCTTTCATGCCATTTATGGAATAGTTTACGTCAGATGTTGGTTTGAAGGGTTATTTAAAAGGCAAGTCACTTGAACATTAAGGATTGACCCATTCAAGTAGACAGAACTTGGTCTTAACTAACATAGAAACAACTGAACTGACATTCCTTCAAAGGTCCTCTATCACAACATATAATCCATTAAGATTGATAAATTCTTACCATCAGCACACTGTTGCAGTCCTGTAATTCATACTCAAAGATGAGCACTCTTGACCCAGGATCCTGACCAACAACAGGACATCCACCTAAAGACAGACCAGTTGGCTGGATCAACTGACCATTGCTGAAGAAGTCCTGTTGGACCTCTACGAGAACCTTGTTCTCTCCACATTGAACCGCTACGCTGTTGGGAGTCACGGGTTGCCTCAACTGGAAGTCCACCGCCACCTCACTCTGCACCTCTGGAACGATGGGATACCTCCAATCCAAAGGCTTCACTGGACCCTGCAACAGCAGCTTCTCCTGAAAGCCAAAAGGATCCTGTGCAAGGCTTTTGGAGTCGGGACCCAGAGGACTCTGAAACTGAGAAGCCGCTTGCAACGGGTTCCAGAGCCCTAGAGGAGAAAGGGCAGGACTTCTGGAAGCTGGATCTTATTTTGGCCCCATGCTTCTTGGACTATGACTGCTCCTCAAACTTCCCAAGACATCAGGCAGATCAAACACAACAATCGCTACCACTAAGACAACTTTCAGGAACCCCATCCTAACAATCTTTAACACAAACACCACAATACACACCAGCTCTTGGCTTTCCCGTTTTATACAACTTTGAGTTAAGGTGGCCCCACCCCTTTTACCTTAATTGATCATTCTTGATTCTCCTCTGGACCTGTAGAGTGTATGTATCTTGGGGAAGCACCAGTCTGCACATTTTTTATGTGCCTGTCCAAATACCAACAGTTGCCGTCTTTGTACTTGACCACTTGTCCACTTACACGACCTACAGTATTTCCGGTCTTTGATTCCCAGCATCTCCAAGCAATGCTGGACTTTTAAGTCAAAGGCATTTCTCACATATATTTCTTACATAAAGAAAACAATATTTAAACAAGAAAAAAAAACTAACTCAGGGTGTGTAGCTCAATGTTAAAGCACATGTAACAAAGTATTTCGGATTCATTTCGAGTTTTTTGGGGTTTCGCAACGTTAGAATTTTTTTATCCGAATCCGACATGTTTATATCTGCAGCTGTGGTAACTAGTGAAGAGCTGGCAACACGAATGCCGCAACGGTCCGTGATTGGTAGATTGGTGGAGGGTGATGCAGAAGAAAAACACAACATGACAACATCAACATCAGTCAAGGGCTGCGACTTCACTTTTTAAATGACAATATCCTGGCCGGACTACTGTTGTCAGTGGTATTTGAAGTGAACATGATTTCTTAATGTCTAGTGACATATCAAGAAAAAATTATGGTTAATTGAAATAAATTTCTTGCATACAGCTCCTTTAAACAGGAAAAAAAAACTATAGCTAAATAAGGGGATGTAGCTCAGTGGTAAAGTGCATGTTATGCATGTATGAGTTCATGGGTTCAGTCTCCAAGCCATGTGGAACTTTCAATTACTTTCTTTGCTTGTTTCTTAAACCTCAAAACCACATGTGTATGCATTCCAGTGTTGACCTTTATCACCTATAAATTTTGATTCAAACACACATGTAGGTAAATACAAGAACACACATCACCATGAGGGGATGTAGCTCGGAGAAAAACATTCAACGTAAAAGATCAACATTGCTTGGAGATTCTGGGGATTGAATCTAAGACCTCAGACATGCAAAGCATGCGCTCTACCACTGAGCTACATCCCCTCATGGTGAAACATGTGTTCTCTAATTTACCAACATTTACCATTAAATCAAAATGTATAGGTGATAAAGGTCAACACTGGAATGCAAACAAATGTGGTTCCGAGGTTCAATAAACAAGCAAAGAAATTGTTTGGAGATGCTGGGGATTGAACCCAGGACCTCATACATGCAAAGCATGCGCTCTACCACTGAGCTACATCCCCTGACAACCAATTTCTTTCTTCAACTTACAAGTTTAGGATGGATAGTATGGACATTGAGACGCAGGGATGAACATGCCTGCTGATATACAAGTCCTTCTAAAAAAAAAAAAATAGCATATTGTGATAAAAGTTAATTATTTTCCATAATGTAATGACAAAAATTAACCTTTCATATATTTTAGATTCATTGCACTCCAACTGAAATATTTCAGGTCTTTTATTGTTTTAATACTGATGATTTTGGCATACAGCTCATGAAAACCCAAAATTCCAAATCTCAAACAATTAGCATATTTCATCTGACCAATAAAAGAAGTGTTTTTAATTCAGAAAAAAGGTCAACCTTCAAAAAATTATGCACTCAATACTTGGTCGGGAATCCTTTTGCAGAAATGACTGTGATTGTTGTGATTGTTGTGATTTCCATTACTGTATTCCTGTATGTGATGCAGTGCCGTCTAAGGGTCTGAAGATCACGGGCATCCAGAATGGTTTTCCGGATTTAACCTTATGGACAGCGATTGTTCCAGATTCTCTGAATCTTTGGATGATATTATGCTCTGTAGATGATGATAACTTCAAACTATTTGCAATTTTTCTCTGAGTAACTCATTTCTGAATTGCTCCACTATTTTTCGCAGCAGCATTGGGGGAATTGACACTGTCACTCTCATTTTATACCCAATCATGTTGCTAATTGACCTAATAAGTTGGTCCTCCAGTTGGGCCTCTTATTGCTACCCGTCCTTTGGAATGTGTAGCTCTCATGAAATCCAAAACCCAAAACAGTTAATCAATGTAAATTATTGCATTCCTTTTTTTACTCACAATTTGTACAGTGTTCCAACGTGTTTTTGGAATCGGGTTTGTATGATATACATGATGAATATATCAGTTGTTGCTCTTGTAAAGTCCAGCGGTCAGAAAGTAAAGTCCTGTCTTATGTTTATTCCACCCATGAACTCTGATTTATTTCACTGAAGAACTGTGATAATCAGCAAATCCAGGAGACAGGAACACAATACTGAGGAGGACTTTTACTTTCTGAACCTAGACTTTACACCTCTGCTCTTGTGTGTGTTTCAGAAAACCCCACATTATGAGGACAAAATATCCCAATCACACCAAAAATGCCAGTATCCCAAGTCCTCCTTGTCCTTGTTGGGGACTTTCTTTGGTTTCCTTCGGTATTGAAGGGAATCAGAGATCAATTGATACAACATTGTATTTGTATGTAACAAAAGCACCGCAGAATTTGACAGCTACTGATCGGCCTGCTCTTCATTCTGGAAAAATCAATAGCTTTGACATTTTTATAATGTCTCTTTTCATATTTCAAGAGAAAAAAAGGCTCGGTTTGGAGCTACGTGAGGGGTAAATGGTGACACAATTGAAAAGTTTTGAGTTTATTGTACTGAAGATAATAGATGACTGCACTGCAATGTAAGGAAAACCCTTTTTGGTCCCACTTTATATTAGGTGTCTTTAACAATTTACTTGCATCAAAAGAATAATTGTTAGTTATAATGATTTTGTATTGCAAAAGTACTGCTATTGAGCTGGATACATGTTGAGACAGGGCAGATATGTTGGTAGCACTTTTGGTGTCATTGTTACATGTACTATAGAAATACATATCAATAAAATAGTAAAACTTTAAATTGTGCATAATTACATGCGCCTAACCCTGAACAAAACCAAACCCATAGACATGTAGTTAATTAATATTACTGAAAACTTGTGTAATTAAATTTGTTAATTAGTCTTTCATCAAAGATACAGTTGTTTTGTGAAAGTTAGATTAAACTTCTCTACTATATTCAACAATGACCACACTAAATATAATTTTTCTATGTGATGAGTTAAGTATCGACAGATTCTGTAAATTATGAATGAACTGTCCTTGGACTTCAGATAGATAGAGACCTTGCTTTACAGAGCGCAGAGAAATATAACTCACAGTTTATGTGCGATCGAATGTTTATCACCACGAAACTGATCGATATTGCTTCTTGAATTATGACTGTAAAATTATAGGACACATGGTTCTCAGGTTCAACTTTATTTGGCTAGATTGCATGCAGACACTGTATTAACAACACAAAAGACAGCAAATGTCCACATTTCCAGAACTATGGAAAAAAAATAATTTCTTCCAAATATAAAACATCCACTAAAAAAAGATCCTGCTTATCATTTTCAAATAATCTGTAATGCATGATAGTAAATTACTGAGTGGTGATTCAATGAGTCTATAATTGTATTTATACAAATACTGCCGAAATTTTTTTCATAAATAGAGCTTTAAAGTTGTGGAAGTAAAAAAATCCCACTCGGTTTCTCCTAAGAGAAATAGATTTACCTTTTGAGTGAATAAAAAAAAAAGTCATAAATAATCGTAGTAACCAAAGTTAAAATGCATTATAATATTTGCAGATTCCTTGTTGCATATGAAATTGGTTGATTTTCATGTGCTTTAATGCATTATACTTTCTAAAGGTGTAACAATGAATAGATAAGTATTATAATGTATTATAATTGTGGTTGAAATTATTCATGAGATCATAATACATGATAAGGAGCATAATTGATGCATTAAACATTTTTATAATGCATTATATATAAAGCTTTTAAGTAAAGCGTTGCCAAAAAACAAACAAAATGTTGTTCAGTAAAAAAGAAAGTCAGTAGTTTTATATTTTACCTACGTCCTTTACAATATGCTGATCAGTTCATTTACTCATAAAATACATTTGTGCAAAACAACTGAAATGATCGCTTATACATACTGTACAAAGAATTTCACAGGAAAGAAATTGACTAAAACCACGAGAACATAACAACAGTCACAAGACAATGCCAGTATAAACAACATCTGGTAACACAACAATAACGTTCATTAGTTAATTACTTTAGCTAACATGGACTAAGAATGAAATGCACTACTTCAGCATTAATTAATCTTATTTAATATTAATTTTAAGATTTACTAAGACATGATCAAAGGTTGTATTTGTTAACATTAGTTGATGTGAACTAACATTATCAGCTGTATTAACATTAAGAAAGATTAATAAATACTGCAAGAAGTGTTCTTGTTAGATGTTGTTTAACTAATGAACCTTATTCTATAGTGTTACCAGTACTCTTTAATCGTCTGTAATGTGGGTGACGTGAAAACCACTCAGTTCGGCTCCCTTCTTACATTCGAGGAGGTTGGGATGGATGTCCGTCTCCTCCACGGTCTTCCCGGAGGTGTATGTGGATTTCCAGCGCAGAAGAACGATCCTCTTGAAGTATTTGACCGTGTTGTTCTTCACGCTGACGAAGCAGAAGGTGTTGATCATGCTGTTGCTCATGGCGATGCACTCGATGATGTAGAACGCCACCAGGGAGTTGCGCTCCCGCGAGATGAGCGTCGGGTGGAAATCCCGCAGGATTGTGTATCCGTAGTACGGAGCCCAGCAGAGGATGTACGCCGTGAGGATCCCGATGAGCACCATGACCGTCTTCCTCCGGCAGCGCAGGCGCTTGCGGATCTGCTCCGTCTGGAAACCCGGCACGCTCTTGAACCAGAGTTCCCGGGAGATGCGCAGGTAACACAGGGCCATGGTGAGCACCGGCCCCACGAACTCCACCGCGAAGATGAAGAGGAAGTACGAGCGGTAGTACAGCTGCTGGTCCACCGTCCAGATCTGGGCGCAGAAGGTCTTGCTGCGGTTCGCCCCGTTGGGGACTTTGGTGGCGGACGCGAAGTATGCAGACGGTATGGAAATGAACATCGGGACGACCCACACCCCGGTGATGAGACAGTATGCGGTCTGGAGCTTCATTCTGGGCCTCAAGGGATGAACGATGGCCATATACCTACACACCACAAAGATGAGCAGGGTCATTTTGCATTCACACTGTACAGGGAAATTCACTAAAAAGTTGTTTTTTGTTTGTTTTTGTTTTGTTTAGGGGTGGAGTTAAGGTTCCTGGGGTGGAGATGGGTAGGATTAGGGGTGGGGTTAGGGATCAGGGAGTGGAGATGGGTAGGATTAGGGGTGGGGTTAGGATCAGGGGGCGCAAATGGGTAGGGTTAGCAATCAGGGGGCGGAGATGGGTAGGATTAGGGGTGGGGTTAAGGATCAGGGGGTGGAGATGGGTAGGATTAGGGGTGGGGTTAGGGATCAGTGGGCGGAGATGGCTAGGATAAGGGGCGGGGCTAGGGATCAGGGGGTGGAGATGGGAAGGATTAGGGGTGGGGTTAGGGATCAGGGGGTGGAGATGGGAAGGATTAGGGGTGGGGTTAGGGATCTGGGGGTGGAGATGGGTAGGATTAGGGGTGGGGTTAGGGATCAGGGAGTGGAGATGGGTAGGATTAGGGGTGGGGTTAGGGATCAGGGGGTGGAGATGGGTAGGATTAGGGGTGGGGTTAGGATCAGGGAGTGGAGATGGGTAGGATTAGGGGTGGGGTTAGGGATCAGGGGGTGGAGATGGGTAGGATTAGGGGTGGGGTTAGGATCAGGGGGTGGAGATGGGTAGGATTAGGGGTGGGGTTAGGGATCAGTGGGCGGAGATGGCTAGGATAAGGGGCGGGGCTAGGGATCAGGGGGTGGAGATGGGAAGGATTAGGGGTGGGGTTAGGGATCAGGGGGTGGAGATGGGAAGGATTAGGGGTGGGGTTAGGGATCTGGGGGTGGAGATGGGTAGGATTAGGGGCGGGGTTAAGGATCAAGGGGTGGAGATGGGTAGGATTAGGGGTGGGGTTAGGATCAGGGGGCGCAAATGGGTAGGGTTAGCAATCAGGGGGCGGAGATGGGTAGGATTAGGGGTGGGGTTAAGGATCAGGGGGTGGAGATGGGTAGGATTAGGGGTGGGGTTAGGGATCAGTGGGCGGAGATGGCTAGGATAAGGGGCGGGGCTAGGGATCAGGGGGTGGAGATGGGAAGGATTAGGGGTGGGGTTAGGGATCAGGGGGTGGAGATGGGAAGGATTAGGGGTGGGGTTAGGGATCTGGGGGTGGAGATGGGTAGGATTAGGGGCGGGGTTAAGGATCAAGGGGTGGAGATGGGTAGGATTAGGGGTGGGGTTAGGGATCAGGGGGCGGAGATGGGTAGGATTAGGGATCAGGGGGTGGAGATGGGTAGGTTTAGGGGTGGGGTTATGGATCAGGGGGCGGAGATGGGTAGTATTAGGGGTGGGGTTATGGATCAGGGGGTGGAGATGGGTAGGATTAGGGGTGGGGTTAGGGATCAGGGGGTGGAGATTGGTAGGATTAGGGGTGGGGTTAGGGATCAGTGGGCAGAGATGGCTAGGATAAGGGGCGGGGCTAGGGATCAGGGGGTGGAGATGGGAAGGATTAGGGGTGGGGTTAGGGATCAGGGGGTGGAGATGGGAAGGATTAGGGGTGGGGTTAGGGATCTGGGGGTGGAGATGGGTAGGATTAGGGGCGGGGTTAAGGATCAAGGGGTGGAGATGGGTAGGATTAGGGGTGGGGTTAGGGATCAGGGGGCGGAGATGGGTAGGATTAGGGATCAGGGGGTGGAGATGGGTAGGTTTAGGGGTGGGGTTATGGATCAGGGGGCGGAGATGGGTAGTATTAGGGGTGGGGTTATGGATCAGGGGGTGGAGATGGGTAGGTTTAGGGGTGGGGATAGGGATCAGGGGGCAGAGATGGGTAGGTTTAGGGGTGGGGTTAGGTATCAGGGGCGGAGATAAAGTAATAACATTGCAGCGAGATCTAGTGAGAAACATATTCTCTGTTATTAACGGATCAAACAGCACTTATGTGGAAACCAGGAGAAATTTTGTTAACATGTACAGGCCGTAAGTCCACAGATCAGCAACATTCACCGTGGGTTTACTGTAGTAACACTCGCTGGAAGTTTGGGTGAAATAGTAAAATGCATTTATATATATTTTCCAGCACTTCAAAACTCAAATGTTAAAACTCAAATGTCATTTATAAAACTAAAAGTTTCAACATGAAGGAAAACTCACATTTATTGAACTTTTCTTTTAATAAATAGAACATTTCTCTGGCATTTCTTTGTTTTTGGCGTATCGTATCGAACCAAACCGTGAATTTTGTGAACCGTTGAACAATACACTTTTATTCTAGTACTTTTGTGATAATATGAATGATTGTAAGACAGAAATATTGATACTGTGTGTTGAAAGGACTGTTAGTAAAGCGGTTTCATATCCACACAAGACAACGGATCAGAACACTGATGTGATCAGACTTAAGATTTAATAATCTGAGCCGAATCACTTAATTGATCATTTAATCATGATTAATGATTTAATGATTAATCATGCAGCTCTTTCTCCTTTTGAATTTGCATAATTATGTATTGCATCTTCATCAATGTCAGTAAATGTCATACAAGTAAAGTGTGCAAGCTTGTGGAGATAATTTTATTTTTTGAGTAAACTATCCTTTTTTCCATACTGAATAGTGAATAATCACATCTTTCTTATTATTTTATAAATATAAAATATTTTAACATAACTGCAAACTTTACACTGCACAGCGAGTCATGTGTGTGAAAACCTAAAGCTCACTAACACATGGAAGTCACTGTGAAATCAATTCAGTTTAATGTTGCAGTATTTATTATAATTCATCAGCACATTATTATTATGTTAAATGTTGCTGGTAATCTTGAATCAGAATAAGTTCCTCTCACAGCATCTCTTCTCTTCTCTGGTGATGTGGGCGGGGCAACCTGTCACTCACATGAGATCAGCCAATAGCAAACCACAACCATCCAATCAGCCAATCACCTCCCCACAGACACAATCAAGCCCCGCCCACATCTGTTCTTGTTCCAGAAGTTTCACTCGACACAATAGAGGAGAAAAGACTAGAGCAACTTCATTTCAAGCTGATTTTAACACAATTAATTTGCTGCACTAATGCTCCTTTAGGAAATGCTCATCTAGTACAATTTCAGTTGATCAGAAACTTGTAAGCCATTCATAATTAAATGTACCTTAATTATTGACTGTCATTACAGACAAGTCAAACAGCAAGGCAAATGTAATCAAAAGTGGTTTTCGTGAGGCCTTTTTGAACTGTGTAAAATGACTAGCTTAGATGAAGTGTCGGGGGAAACTTTAAAAGCTATTAGTAAAGAAATAGAGCAGGAGCTGAAATGTAATCTTGATTCACTCTCTGATATAAGAGTCAGGACAACACACACTGATCATTAATATGGGAAATGTTCGCACATGCTTTATCACATTTCGAGTTGCAGCGTGTGTGTTATACTGGAAAGGGATGTTAAAGAATACCCGCATTTTAAACAATTTCTTGCCCGTGGGATTCAATCACATTTTTACAGAAATATCCCCAACAGTCATTTATATGTGAGCATTAGCATTAGCATTAGCATTAGCACAGTCTCTATTTCTGGAAGCGGGTTGGGTTTTATTTATTGAATAAAACAGGGTTCGGAGTTTTAAATAAGCTGGTAAACACTTTCTGTGAAGCCTTTATTTAAAATGCATTATAACGGTATTCTTAAGGCATTATAATGCATGTATAATTACACATAATATGTTATATCATCTTATGAATAACCGTAACAACAGTTATAACTCATGTTATTACTTGAAGCAGACAAAAAGCACTGAAAAATATTATGAGTACCTTATAAAGCCTTTTAAATGTTTCCATGAAGACTTTACTGTAAGATGAGCCAGATACTTAATCAATGCCAAGGTATGAGCCATATATTAGACCTAGGGAACTATAATATGCTTATTGTGTGTTATAACTGTTGTTATGAATATTAAGGTTTTTAAAATGCATTAAGAATACCATTAAAATGCATTATAAATACAGCGGCGTCATAAAAAGTTAATAACATTAAAATTACATCACTCTTTACTCATTTTTATGTTGTTCCAATGTACAATATGCATTAATTTTTTTAACACAAAGGGACATTTTATTATTATGATTATTATAATAATAATTCATAGTGACCATGATTGTCAAATCTGCCAAGTACTAGTAGATCCAGGAGGAATAAGAGTTGTTATTCACGATAGTCTTTCCCTTCACCAGTGTTACTGAATGAAATGTGACATATTCAAATGTGAAGAGATATGCGAGTGTGTAATGTTCAGCTGCGACACACACTGACATCAATCCTGCCATGGTGTGTCGACATGTGAATGCAAATTTGAATGAGATTTCACAGAGTAAATAACAGCTTCAATTTCTATTTTTTTTATGTCCTGCTATTGTATGACATCAGAAGACTGGGAATAGTTATATGGACTATTTCACCCCACAAAGCTTTTTATGCTGTTTTGTGTTTTTGAAGTCCCGCACATACATCACAGAGACGTTTAGAATATATCTTTAAGATGTAATGATTTAGAATGTATGTTGTTAAACTGACGTCTTAAAGACATATGTGTGCTGCTATCTGGGGTCTTATATCATGGAAAACAGCTGTATGACGATTCTTTGAAAATTATCCTTTTGGACCAACACAAAAATAACAGCTTATGGTTTTAGAAAAAAACAAGAGAGAGTAAATAATGAGATTTTTTTTTTCATTATTTGTCAACTTTAAATAGCTTACATTTAGACTAATGAATTATTTTAATTGCCAGAAGTATTGTTTATTGTGATTATTGCTGTACTGTTAATAATGCATCACATTCTCTAATCCTTTAATTCACTTCTTTAAGCTGGTGACTTATTGCCTGGGGATGCACGATATATCAGCCGCCATATTGATATCGGCCGATATGTTCATTTTAAATGTTATAGTTATCGGTTCAACGAGAAAATTTGGCCGATAAATTAATACCAATAAATAATGGATTATTTCTTTAACTGAGACACTTCAGATACACATTTTTCACAATGATGGGTTTGAAGTGCTTGAAATATGATTTTAATTTTAATTTACATTTTTGGTGTAGAAAGTTTAAAATTTATTTTGAAAACTTACACTGTTACAAACTATGCTACTGTACTTCTTTTGTTTGATTTATGTTGAAGTGCTTGGGACATGACTTTTAGTTGTGAGACTTTTGTAATACATTTTTCGTAATAAAAAAAAAATAGTAATTTAGATTTATCGGCCAATATATCATTATCGGCTTTCTAATATAAAGAATTATCAGTCATCTAAAATTTTCATATTACTTTTATATATGATTTTTACAGGAATAGTTCACTCCAAATGAAAATTCGGTCATCATTTGGTCCCCCTCAAGTTGTTTCAAACATGTATTTGTTTCTTTCTTCTGCTGAACACGAAAGAAGAATGTTTTTTGAAGAACACATACTTTGAAGAATGTCGGTAACCACACAGTTGTAACCACCCATTGACTCCTTTTTCCTTCTATGGAAGTCAATGGGGACCAATTGTTTATTGTAGCTGGTAACCCAAACTCTTCAAATTCAAAGTATCTTCCTTTGTGTTCAACAGAATAATGAAACTCACACAGGTTTGGAACGACTTGAGGGTGAGTAAATGATGACAGGATTTCCGTTTTGAATTGAACCATTCCTTACATTGGCTTGCTAGGATAGTGAACAGGTTTTCACTTGCTTTATTCTCCATACAGGATAATGCATGGCAGATATTTCAATCCTACTGAATAACTGGAAAGCTTTTGTTGCAGAGTATGCAATATTTTCCTCACAGCTGAGTTGTATTTGAAGAGTATAAGAGCCTCAGTGCATAATGCATCTGAAAGCCAAGAACATTTCGGCAACTAAATATGCAGATTTCATTGCAAATATTATGCTGTACAAGGCCAGTGCTACAAAAATCAATAAAAGTAAATGTATTAAATAACCAAGAAAATTGGGCTCTATGAGTTCAGTGATTCAGGGCAAATTATTGTGTTAAAACATAACCAACACCATCGGTTGCTACGCTATCTCACGACCAATTCGGACGAATTCGTACGAGTGATTCAAAAGTGGCTAATTCGTACTAATTCATACGACCTCACTCGTACGAATTCGTACGATTTGTCTAAACCCACGTGACGGTTATGTTTAGGGGCGGGGTCAGGGGTAGGCAATTCGTATGAATTCATACGAATGGGCTTTATGCACAGCTGCTCCTTGTTTCCTGTCTGCCATTATTGGACAAAATTGATTAATTCAGGTGTGTCTGATTATTGTTGCCATGACTACTGAGGTCAAGCACACCTGAATTAATTAATGTGTCCAATAATGGCAGACAGGAAACAAGGAGCTGGCTGAAATTCAGGAAGTAGTGAAGCTGTACATATATGTATATAAAATATGTACGATTTAGCAAAATCGTACGAGTGAGGTCGTACGAATTGTTACGAATTAGCCACCTCGTAGAATTCGTACGAATTCCCGTGAGGCCGGGTTGTCAGATCGCCTTTTCTATCTGTTCATCTGGCTATCATAACTCGGGTACAGCAGCCAAACAAACGTAAAGTAAACGACTTAAGAGCCCAACTGAAACAAACAACGATCACCATAATGGTGACTTAACATTACGTTTTCTCTTTCAGTGATTCTGCTTGTTAACATCAGGTGTCTTCAATGTCGGCAATCTATAATAAAGAGTTCTTAATTAATCTTTGACGTCTGTCTGTTATTCAGAATTTTTTACATTTTACTAATTGTAATTTTTAATTGTACTTTTAACATACAGTAACGCCGGCGATATGTTTTACCCTAAATTAATACATGATTAACTAACTGTATTTTTCTCTGTACAATCCTGAAATGCACTTTCTGTAAAGGTGCTTTTGAAACAATATGTTAATATGTTGAAAAGCGCTACAAAGATACATTTGAATTGGATTGAATTGAACTTTTAAAGAATCGATTTGACTAATTATTACTCAAATCTGATTTGTTAAACGTAATTAATAATATTGCTTGTACTCTGTTGCCACAACTTTATTGATTCGATATATATCCATTTTTACAGTATGCTAGGATAACACAGTCTCATCCCAAAAAGTCATATAACTGACGTTTTGGGACGTATTTTGACCATACGTCAATATCCGCCTTTTTAGGGCCCCCTTAAACGTCAGTAGATGGCGATCCCGGGCCGTCATACAACTGACGCTTTACCTTTAACGTCAGTTAGGTGACGGGTTAGGTTTAGGGTTAAGTTTAGGTCTGGGGTAGAGTTAGGATCCCATAACCTCATCTACCGACGTTTAAGGGGGCCCTAAAAAGGCGAATATTGACGTATGGTCAAAAAACGTCCCAAAACGTCAGTTATATGACGTCTTTGGATGAGACCGGGTTGGCTAGGATATCTAAATCACACCGACCTGTCGACGGCGATGGCCAGTAAGGCATTGGTGGACACGTACAGAGACACAGTCCTGAGGTAGTTGACGGAGGCACACAGCACTTTCCCATGGTCCCAGGAGAGCTGCTTGACCACATAGTAATCCACCAAGAAAGGGCAGCAAACCACCGCCACGATGAAGTCGGAGATGGCCAGGTTAGCGATCAGCAGGTTGGTGAGGTTCCTGAGTTTTTTGTATCGGGCCAGAGTGGCGATGAACAACAAGTTTCCGAAGCCACACACCAACATGATACAGATCAGGACCGCTCCGATGACGATGGTGGCCACGAAGTAGGCCAGCCCCTGCGTGGTGTCCGGCATCTCGTCAGCAGGAACGCCATAGTCCATGTCGTAGAAGTCCGTGTAAGCGTCATGGACGTCCAGAACGGGAACTTGACTACGAGGGTTCACGTACACGGCTGCCACCTGAGAGATGTTTGCGTCCGCCATGGCAGAAACACAGGAGGAGTGAGTGAGTGAGTGAGAGAAGGAGAGCTCTTGTTATTTCTGGAGGGTTTCTCGTCTTAGCAGTCAGCGGTCATGATCCAGGCTGGTTCTTGTCTTTTGATAATGCTTCAGATTTCATTTTCAGTAGGAGGAAGCCGCACATGAAACACAAAACAATCACGGTCAACGAAAGAAAACATAAACGCAGGCAACAAACACTGATGTTATTTCATGTGGTAAACAATATTACTGATTTTAAAAGTAGACACTTCAAGCTTTCTAAAGACATATCTCTCATGTCTGCGTTCCAATTATTCGCTGAGTTTCGGTCCATTTTTGTGACGCGTTTCAGAAAGAAGTTCACAGACAACGTCACAGATTTATTTATTATTTTAAAATAAAATAAAAATATTTATTTTTTTATTCATAAACCAAGAGAATACATTTACAAACTTCATATTTAAAGAAAAACTGTAATTGTTGTACATGAACTTTAAAACTTGTCACACTGCAAAAGTTGAAGTTTATAAAAAAGCAGGAGAAATACTTTGAGGAACTTAATCAAAAGTTCAAGGTGTTGGCATGTGGTTTAATTCTCGGTATATTTTAAATGATGGATACAAAACATGTAGATCTTTAGAAGGCTATTCCATCCACATTTGCATTTAGCCAAAATGCAGTGTAGACTGGAAATGTGTTTTCTTGCGCATGAAATATATTTTGGCATATGAGCGTTAAAACGAAATGTTCAATTTACAAAAATATATTTAATTGTGTACAACACATATTTAGCATATATTTGGGGCAGAAAAAAACACCTTTACAGTATGGGATTTCAGAAGACTTTCACTATATTTTTTTGAGAAACTTTTATTGTGCTTTTAGTTCATTAAAAGCTTAATTTCCCTTTTTCTATAAATATATGGAAAAGAGCAACCAGAATATTATTCAAAATATCGCCTCCATGAGCACTGCAAGCCTTTCTCCTGTGGATAACGTATTTATAATGCACTTTCTCCTTCTGCAATGTGTCTGTATTACTAAAAAAGTGGACCAACGTGATCCACTATGAGGGAAACATGAATGTATGTCACTAAAAAGCACTCAGATCTCTTAGGAAACCAAGCAGTAAGAAAATAATGATCTTTGCAAATGCAAACCAACAGCTTTTAGATGGTAATGCCATTTTAAAGAAACAAAAATCTCTTATTTGTTGGTCAAACGGTTAAAGTGGACAGTTTGACTGTATATACATTCAAGGATTGATGTGATGCTTATTTCAAAGTGAAAATCATTTTACTTTTACAATTTGATATTATTAAACAACAGCCTATTCAATTTTAATAAGATTCTGCCTTTATTAAACATCTATTAACGATGCATTAAAAGGGTTTTAACTTGTGATACATCAAGCAAAAGTTTAAATATTTATATATCATCCTCAATTGTAATCACAGTCATAACCGCACAGTAGGCTATGTAAATCATTACTAAAAAAATGCAATAGAACTGGAATATTTCAGCGCGTCTGCAACATGAGCTTTATTGAGGTATCATAACGCAACTGTGCTTACAATTATGGTTTGTTTTCTTGAAATGAAAAATTAACAATTCTGTTTGCTGGCCATTTACTTTATTATTAGAGCAAGACTGTAAACGTTTCATGAATAAGAATAACAATAATTAGACATCAATAATGACAGATATTTCACAGTAAATATTTAGCACTTTATCCAACATTATTTACGCGGTCACCTCATGTTTTATAACATGTTTCGTAGAAATAACGATGAAGTTGTCTCATCTGATGTTGTGCGTAAACTTACCTATTTGTCCGAGTTGAGAGACGCGTGTCATTGTCTCGTGCCGCATCTGTGTAACGCGCGCGCCCGTGTGCGCAGCCCCGCGCGAGTCCTGCACAGATGAGCATGTTCTCTCTCCCTCTGGTGGCAGATGTGAAGCTCTGATCATCTCCAGTCCTCGAGCACGGGCTCCTCCTGCTCACTGTGACGCGCGTAAGAGTTTCGACAATACGGCAAATTATACATTTAATAGAGTCATTGGATTAAAAGGCTCAGTTGGGAAAAGGTGTACCAATTTACCTGACTGAATTCACCCAATATAGTACTATCCTCCTGAGACCCAGAAAAACGTATAAAAACAACATAACAAGCATAAGAAAAAGGAAAAATAAATAAATAAGAAAAACAACGTTTTTGAAAAATAATATTTATTTATTTGTTAGGCTATGTTATGTCCTCTGTAGAGGCTATATAGAACTCGTTTTTAAAAATAAAAATAAAAAGACATTTATGGGCAAAAATGGTGTTTTATTTTAATCAACCAATCATTGTTAGGTTTCAGGATTTCATATAGCCTATCAAACTTCGTATAAAGATAATTTTCAAAAATGTAATGAAAGATGTAACAATGATTTGATAAACCATTTTGCTTTATGTGTGTAAAATGACCATAAGTGGTTTCCCGCTTCATTGTATCTAATTAGCATATTAATGTGTTCTTGGGGCAACACACAATGAAAAAAGAAGTTTGTTTTTTTGTATGTTTTCAATGAAAAAAGAAGATTGTTGGTTGTATGTTTTCCTTTCCTGCCCAGGGACTACAGATGAAATTTAGCTTGTAGCTAATTCTGGTATGGCTGCATGCCATACACTGTCCCTGTTAAATAAATATAATAAATAAATAAAATAAGTGTAATAAGTGGAGCAATTGGCGAGATTTTCATTATAATGTCTAATATTTCATAGGAATATTGAAATATAATTCCTTACCCTATTCACTTGTATCTCCCAAAAAGTCCCGGTGTCCTCTACAGTGGACATGTAGGAAATCTATGTCTTGTTTCGTGACAGTAAGTCATATTTTGATTTGAAACTCCATTACATTTTCCTAAAATGTTTATATTTATGACAAACAATTTAAAAAATAGTCAGATTTAAATTATAGGCTACTTACAAAATATGATCAGATTTATATAAGAGTGTTAAAGGAGATCTCCGATGCAAAATTAACCTTTGGTCTAATAAAACATCGCCGTTCTCTGAGATTTGTTTTCATGATAATCGAATGTAAAGAGTTTTATCTCTAAAAACTGTTTAGCGTATAATGCTAGTACTGGGTTGCATTTACTAAGTAAAAAAAAAAAAATCGCTAGTTTATACCACTAACAAGGCTCAAAATAGCCCCACACTAACACAGTAACATAATGAGGGTCCATACATGCAAAACGAAGCATTGAGAACTTTGTAAGTGTACAGACCGTTTAATAAGAAAATATTTTATGAAGACAGTTCAGTTCCCTTATACAGGCAGCAGCCATCTTAGATAGTCTAACTTCTTACATGAAAAAACTTCAACAGCACAGCATGCACTTCATTTTGATTACCACAATCATGATAAGTAAAACTGCCACAGAAATGACTGAAACTTTACAGTCAAACATTGAAATCCTCCAAAAATTGGTGTCATTGACTTCTATTGTAAGTTTCTCACTATAACTCCATGAACAATTCGAAATAATTTTGTTCTATTGACATGCTGTGCCACAAACGCTGTAAAGTTCATGATGGCCTACATTATCTGCGTTCATCGAGCTGTCATGGCAACCGCCACCAGTCCCGGCCCACGGGGGTCAGCCTCACGTCCAAGACAATTGTCTCAGCGGGATCTGACGGTTAAAAATAATCCATTTCAAGCTGGCATTTCAAACTAACGTGGTCCCATCCTTCAATGACGAACCCTAGGATTCCTGACTGAGAACGAACGCTTTAAGCCAAAATGGTTCTATAAGGAGAAATGTCTTAAATGATTGCATAATACTTTCACGTTTAATGTGTTATTTCAATATTTAATGTTTAAAAGCTGTTTAATTCATATTGCGTTGCTGATTTGTTCCTAGTTATCCACCAATGACTGAACAGTGTTCTGAAGTGTCTTCTTATCACTTTGTGAGTGTGTGCTCTACTGTGTAAAGCCATGCAGATTGTGGTTTACATGTGCAGTCTTGAGGATTGAGGTAGACTACATGACCCAAATGGCTGCGCTGTAACCCAGTGGGTGAGTGCTAGAATGTCAGCAGGCATTACGCTCACAGGGTCAGATCACAGATCACATCTTCAGAGGCTAATGTGAGCTACAGTACGCGGAGCAAATGGTAACCGAGAATGAAAGACGCAAAAAAAGAGTTGCAGTTGTTGCTGGAATAACATATTGGAATGGGTTTGGGATTTTACTGCCGTTGACACTAATGCTTTAAATATCAGGCCATTTAGGCACAGAATTTCGGTTTCATGGACTTTGTTTTTCACTTGTCATGCGTCTTTTCTTCTGATCAACCTCACTCATCAGCATCCATGGTGACCGTCATTATTAGTTTATCCGTGTCAGCTGTGTTAGATCAAAGGGGGGGTTGACTGCTTTTTTTCTTTGCATGATTGTGTTTATGGGGTGCAATATAATATGTATTCGTGGTTTTTCTTTTTTAAAAAGTCTTATTTTTCATGAACTTCACCTTTATTGTCAGCCGCGCACTCCTATCTGTCCTCGAACGAGCGGTTCACTTCCTGAGTCTATGAATCCGCTCCCTCAGAAACAGGTAGTGGGCTCAGATTGGTTCGTTTGGGCCGTGGGTGGTGATTGGCTAAACTGTCACGTTGTCCGGAAAGTTAACGCCCATTACCTTTACGGGCGAAACGTGCATGTCATGAGCTCCGGTCCAGATGTAAATAATGGTGTCGAACTGCAGTATCAGTGAGGCAGAATCAGACCGAGAAGAGAGTCAAGCAAACTCACCACACGCGGCTCTTACTAAACGCTTCTGAATGATAATTCGCTACATTTTTTTAACTTTATACACGTTTGTTTAACACAATAGCATCTGACTGGCAACAATAACTGACTGGCTACTAATGTTAAACACAAACAGAGTCGGCATTAGTTTACGTTCTTAATCAAATCGAAAATAACGTCATAAAGCATATATACATGAAAAATACGTTTAAAACATTAGTACTTATACAAAATTCAGGTCCATAATGATTGTACGCGTTTGTCGTAGACCCAAAATAGCATAACTAGTAGCCTAGTGGCTATAAAGCCAGCGCTGACATATGAAAAAACCTCTTGGGCTAATTCTGGCACGTTTACACTTGTTTGTTAATGTGCATTGACCCTGTAAAAAAATAAAATAAAATAAAATAAACACAAGGCTACATCTGGAATTACAATATACATGCAAATACATTTAAAATGATGAAGTCTTAGCCTACTTACAGGTTGTGGCCCAACAACTGCTGCCTGTGGTTTTAAAGTCGGAACTGCTTCATGTTTTAGTAACAGTTTCTTGTTGAATCCGGTGTTGAACTCGTGGAGATTCTGGAAGCTGTCAACCCCCCCTTTAATCATCTTGTTTGAGTTTGTGTATATATTGGTCACCTCATCCAGCACTCTTTTTCCGGTATCGTAAACAATTTAGTGTGTGTTTGAATTCTTTGTATGGATCGCTACCTGTTGGATAATTATAAGTAAAGTTACCCGTTTGAATCTTCATCTTCTGTGTCGTCTTCTGCATGCACCCGTTACAGCTTTAAGGTCCTTGCACACTGAGTCCGAAATGTTTTGTATTTGTCATTCGGTGGCTTTGAATTGTCAAAACACCTCTTAAAATGCTTGCTGCGTATACGAAAAACACAGAAAATGGAACCGATCCCAATTTTTTCCCAATATTTTGAATGGGACTCAAGCGGACTCAGGAATAAGTCCGAGGCCTAATATGTTCGAGTACGAGTCAATGACAAGGTTCCGAGTCCATGACAAGGCCGAGACCATTAAAATATGGTCTCGAGACCGAGTCCGAGTCTCGAGTACACAACACTGGATCCTTCAAATGTTTGATAAATTGTAAATAATGGCTATGTCTATATGTTAAGTTAATCATTCATTACTAGTGTGTTTGTGCTTTACTAATGCATTAAAACGAAGAGTTACCCTGAAGGCGACTGAGCTGTAGATATGTCCCCTCAATTATTCTTGTGGAGCTTTAAGTTGAAACTTTTTCGTTTTTAATTCCACTCTTGGAAACTACTGGGGGAAAAGCATTTACTGTATATGGATTTTGTACATGAAGAGATGTATGTGTTATTCAGGTATTTAATGTTGCTCTGTGTGAATGCTCTGAATGTGTTTATTTACTCTTTGGAAAATGCTCTGTTCAGCTGTCTTTGCAAAGTTCTGCTCATCATTGTGAAAGCTAAATGCAGCAGACACAAGAATATTCCACATTGAGAAATATCAATTCCAAATGACAAAAAACCCAGTGAAGATTCTATAGCCAGGCACACACAACACACAAGAGAATGTACACAACTCTGTTCATTCGACACACTCATATCATACGTCATCCTCCCAGTTGCTTCTAGCCAGTCACGTCCCTCACAAAGTCAAAGGACAGTGTGTTCATTTAGAAAGAAGACTGCAAAGTGAAGGAGAGGGGAGCTCTGCCAGCTTCTGCTTTGAGCAATCACTTGAGGATGCTTTAGTGTGATAATAATCTATTATGACAGAGAGAAGCTTCATCTCCAATCAGAGCATGGCAGAGACCCCCAAAGCCCTGATGTGGATGACTCACCTTCACCTGAGCGGGGCCACAGACAGATCGCAGTGACCAGCTGATTACCTCCGAACGCTCGGTGAACAAGAAACTGTTAAAAAACACTTACACTAGTGGTCAAAAGTTTGGAATAATTATAATTTTTTTTCATAAATCCCGACCCGACAAGACCCATCCCACTAAATTTTAGATCTCGTTTCCAGAATCTCACATTTAAAGGGTTAGTTCACCCACAAATTAAGTCATTAATTACTCACCCCCATGCTGTACCAACCCCGTAAGACCTTCGTTCGTCTTCGGAACACAAATGAAGATATTTTTGATTAAATTTGAGAGCTGTATAACTACCACATTGGCTCCTAGGGGACTGCCTCTTGACGGCCCAGAAAGTCAATGAAGAAAATGTTTAAATATCCCAAGTGACTACCGTGGCTCAACTATATGTTTATCAAGCGACGCGAATACTTTTTGTGCGAAAAAACAAACAAAAATAACGAGTTTATTCGACTATTTCTTTTCTTCCTTCAGATCGCAATTCTCGCATGCGTCGTGGAAATCTAAGGAAGTCTCGTTTCTGGCCTACAAGGAAGAAAAGAAATAGTCGAATAAAGTCGTTATTTTTGTTTGTTTTTTCGCACAAAAAGTATTCGCGTCGCTTGATAAACATATAGTTGAGCCACGGTAGTCACTTGGGATATTTTAACATTTTCTTCATTGACTTTCTGGGCCGTCAAGAGGCAGTCCCTTAGGAGCCAATGTGGTAGTTATACAGCTCTCAAATTTAATCAAAAATATCTTCATTTGTGTTCCGAAGACGAACGAAGGTCTTACGGGGTTGGTACAGCATGGGGGTGAGTAATTAATGATGACTTAATTTTCATTTTTGGGTGAACTAACCCTTTAAATTTCCCCTAAAGAAAGATAGCGTGATTGGTGATAAAATTACCAAATAAAAAATGTTTGCTTAGAAGAATTGTATTTGTTATTTTGGTCTTATCATGTTTATAAAAATATATAAATATTTAAAAAAAATGTCACAGAGAAAAAAAATGTTAATTAAATGCGACATTTGTCACTTAAAATTATAAGCTAAAAATAGGAATAAACGAAAACTGTTGGCTTACTAGCAATACTGCAAAATAAATGTTCCTGCTGTAAAAGTTTGACATTTACATTTGAAGTGGATCAAAACCTGTCATTAAAGCTATACATGAATTTTGAACAATACCCATTCTTGTTTTGGGACAACTTTGATGTACTTTTTTGATCCACACACTTTAAATGTTGACTACTGTATAAAGTGTAGGCCACTGGGTCTTCTTGTTTCCATGCAATAAGACATCAATTTCATGAGGTTAATCAGCAGGTACACCAATGGACGTATTGACATGCTGGGTAATAAAGTATGCACCATTACCAGACTGTAGTTGAAATGTTTAGTTGTTTCGTGTGCCCTAAAACAGCAGGCCCTGCAGTTTTTCATTGTCAAACAGAGGGCTGTGGAATCATATCATTGTGATCACAGACTTCTGGAAACAAAAGCAGAGCTCAAAAGATCATTCAACACAGCAAAGCCCTCAACAATGATGGTGCTTTTGCTGGCCTTGTGCACACAGGACTCTTCTGGAAGAATCCATACGGCACACCATGTGAAACACCGGGATGAAAAGTCTTTTGGCTATTTGTCCCCGTGGCCCGAACGGGCAGAGTTTAGTCTAGCATGAGGCAGCAGAGGGTGAGCACCCTAGTTTTCACACACTAAAGGTGCTGAGGGGTAAAGCACTTAGGTGACGATCGCAAACGATGTTGAAGTCCAGCTACCGGCACGAGGTACGCAAGGAGAAGTACGAGCGCTCCGATGTGTACGACGAGCCCAGCAGCCCAGAGACGGAGTCGGCTCCGGCCGTCCCGGGATGGCAGAACCTGCAGGAGCTGAACAGCCGTTTCGCGCGTTACATCAACCGCGCGCGCATCCTGGAGCAACGCAACGCCGTGTTTCGCAAACAGCTGGAGACTCTGCAGCGCATGGAGGAGACGCCGGGGGTGGAGGAGACCTTCAGCGAGCAGATCAGCGTCAACAGGCAACGCATCCGAGAACTGCGGTCCGACCGAGCCAAGCTGGAGAGAGAGCTGAAAGATGCAGAGCGCACGCTGGACGAGTACAACAACAGGTTAGACAAACTCACGGAGGAAGATTGTGGTTGAAGACTTTTGATGACTGAGGCGAGAACAATGCGAATACTAGATTTAAGATAAGAAAATTACGTTTTGTTCTTAATGTGAACAGGCCTTAACTCTGGTTTGTGTTGGTTTCAAATGCAATGTAGTGGTCAATGAAGAGATTCTCCCCCAACACACATAAGAAAAGTTGCACCAATCTCATTAGAGTGTTAGTAGAGTATTAGTAGACTGGTAGGGTTAGGGTTACAATAAGTTTGCATGTAGTTGCAAAGGTTCTTATAGTCAAGAGAATGTCCACTGGTCATTGACTACTACATTGTGAAAAATAAAACCGTAATTTTTACGGTAAAAAAACGGCAGCTGTGGTTGCCAGAACTTTACAGTTAAAAATAAGGTAGGAACGTTAATGGCTTTACAAACTTAACTTAAAATTTACAGTAACAAACCGTATTTTATTTTCTGATAAAATGTTGATTTACCAACTTAATGACGTATTGATATCTGTTTTAGACAATTGTAATACATTGTAAACATTAAACACCATCATGGTAACACACCTGAAATAAAAATGCAATAAACATTAATTTAACAACATTAAATGTAACATAAACCCTAATGTGCATAACTGATTAGACGAAAAACAATAAAACTATGAGGAACTATAGTTATTTCAACAAAAACTCATATAATTGTGGAAATTTACGGAAATCAATTTACGGTTTTTCACTGTAAATTATACAATGATTTATTCTTTTTCACTTTCAAACCTGTAAATTTAACGGTATTTTACTGTAAAATTATATCACAGTTATTTACCGTGTATAGTACGGAAATTTCTGTTAACCAATTAACAGTTTTGCACTGCAGCATTTTTACAGTATTTTACCGTTAAAATCACGTTTTTTTTTACAGTGTACAGTACATTGCATTTGAAACCAACACAACCAAGATCGATAACTATAAAAGATAACTTTATTAGCGTGCACACCAACGCCCGATTTCGTGTTGTACATTGTAAGCGCATGCTGCAGTTTCGTCGTCTCTCTCTTTAAATGCTGGAGCTCTGATTGGCTGTCAATGTTTTTATCATTCATCAGCTGGACAAAAATCATTGTTAAAGTGATTCCAGTGATATCGTTCCTCTGTATCCTGGACTGTAGATTTTTAGATCTGTTTATTTTTCGATATTGCTAACGTTTTTTTTTTTTCTTTTGTGTGAATGGGCCTTTATCGTGATTATTGACCAATGCAGATAATATCAAAATGACCAAATATTGAGATGCTGTTTAAGGGATATAAAAAATCAAAAACTATAGTCTATTCATGAAACTGATGCCAGAATACACTAAATGAGAAGTGTGTTTGTTATCAAATGACGTATACATGTGGTTACATCTAAATAAACTGATTTACTCAACTTTGCATGTTAAATAACTCTCATTAGAGTATCAGTAGACTGTCTACTTAATATCTGCTAACTTTTTATTGTGATGCTCCAACAGACAATTCACTGACTCTAACATTGCAAATACATGACAACTTATTCTATCCCTAACCCTACCAGTCTACTAATACTCTACTAATACTCTAGTGAGAGTTAGTAGACCTGTAAGTGCAACGTTATTTGTAGTCAACTGAATGTGTTAAAGGGACCATCAAATTAAAGTGAAACCTAAATCTTAAATTGATTGTGTTTTCAGACCTTTGACTAAACAGTGTAATTCCACAACAATAGCCTACAGTAGATTATCAGTGTTGGGAGTAACGCATTACGAAAGTAATACATTACAGTAACATATTACTTTTTGCTAATATTACTAATCAATTACTCGTTACATGTTCAGTGAGGCTTGTATTACAGTTGTATTACAGTGTTTTGTCTGCTTTTAGTTCTTAAAGGCAACAGACTGTGTGAAAGTTTTAAAGCAGTCTTTTAGTGCCAGTTCAGAGCGGTCGCGTCTGGAACATTGTTTTTTCCTCATAAATGCGAACACGAAAACTAAAATAAAATGAATATTTTAAGTTCTATGGAGACTGGAGAGCCAACCCCTCCTCATCCGATTTGCGCAGTGTAATTAACAGAATTACAAAAAATCGATTTTGCCTCCTATTTTTTTGTCACGCATGAATGTGTCTTTTCCCTAATATTAAAAATAAAACATAGACTGATATTTGTCTGAGTCCTTTAAGGAAGTAGCCTATATACGTTTCAAAACATGTATTTTCTGAGAATTTTTATTTCAAGTTTTGACTGCAAATGTCATCATGTCCATAATGCTAGACTTCCCCAATTTTAAATAATTTATCCTCAACTAGTTTTGTGGTGTAGGTCTACGTATTTTATAATGTTAACTTCAAATAATACTAATAGCCTAATTTAAAGATAAGGCAGCAGTGGATCTGGACGGTAAGGAGAATAACGCTGGAGTTGGAAGAGGTTTGTCGCGATTCTGTAGGTTCGTGGATCTGAGTCGTGTGGCGAATCGCGATTTCGGTTTCATATTGCATATCGTTAAAGCCCCAAAGTTAAGTTCTACTTAGTTATTTTGGTGAAAGTAACTCAAAAGTAATACATGAGTAATGTAACGCATTACAATTCTGGGACAGTAATATTGTAAGGTAATGAATTACTTTTAAAAAACAGTAACAAGTAATACCTAATGTATTACAGTTTGGAAGTAACTTGCACAACACTGTAGATTATACAATATTAACAGAGAAGAGAAGAAAAGCTATTTAATCAAAAGAGCAGAAAACAGAGACTTAAATAATGATGCAGAAAAACAGATTTATTAAACGACTTTAACTCGAATGTTAAGTTCTGATTTCCAGCTTGTTAGTTTACTTGCTACTAAGTGCCCACTTTATATCAAGTATCTTTAACTACTATGTAGTAACATTTTAGTTGCACTTATTGGGCACATACATGTTTTTACATTGTACTTGCATTTAAAATACCTAATTAATTACATCTATAATTACTGTTGACTAGGGGTGTAACGGTACATGTATTCGTATTGAACCGTTTCGGTTCGAGGCTTCCGGTTCGGTACGCATACAAACCGAACGATTGCTTGGACCATTTTTCCTGCCGGCAAAATTCGTGCTGACGCGGCCAACACAACGTTGCGCAACATCAATGGCAAGCGTAATGAAAGCAGAACGAAACTGCGCTACTCATTATGTGCTTCACGGATCGTTTATCAGTTCGGACCAGAGTATGTGAGCGGAGTGGAGTGGGAGCGGAGCGAGGAGTGGAGCGGCATGATTTTGAATGGAGCGCGGAGCGGATTTTTTAAAAGTCGGAGCGTCGTGGTTTTCACTCGCTCCGAGCGCGCTCCACTACCGCTCTATCACGAGGACAATTCATGCCAGCGGCTCATTATAGAACTGCATTTTTAGTAAGGATTCACGTGTTAAACACATTACGCTAGCATGATACAGATGGATCACTCAAATCAGAAAAAAATGTGAGGGTTTGTTATGATGACGCCGATGGACATGAGTGGCTGCGGGAGGTTATAGTTATCAAGCCTGTACTGAATATGAGCGGGCACCACGATCTCATGAAAGTGCGAATCTATAGCACACATTTTATTTCTCGTGCCTATTATTATATGCCAAAAAATTGTTTGTGCGTGCAAATGACGCACACTAAACCCCTTGGTTAGGATGGGTGTGAAGTGCGTTCTTGCCATTAAGTGCGTATCGTAGGCTATGCCCACGAGAAATAAAATATAGATAGCCTACGCACTTTCATGAGATGGGGCGCTGGATCGGGCGGGGTGAAAGCACATTTTAAACAGGTAACACTTATTCACCAACGCAATCGCTTTCTCACTAATGCATTGCATTCAAACAAATGTAATCATACAGTCGGCTATCTGTCAGTATTTGATTTTAAATGAGCATGAATCTGTGAGAAATGTAGCGACCCGTAGGCCTAGATAAATAACTGATGAAAACGTAGTTATTTTCTTCTTTCCAAACAAAATGTGCTCTGCAAAAAGCAGCAATGATATTTAATTTATAATGCTGATAACCTGTAATAAGCATAGCATGTCATAGGAAAAGTTTGCACACTATCCAAATCCAATAAACAACATTGCAACTATTCTCCTAACGTTGTTTTTTTTATTTATTTACTATGCCTATGTATCTATTATGATGAGGAGACATTTTGTGAGATTTTAAAGCATACTTAAATACTTTATTCGGAATTTCCTTGGGGAGCGAACACGGAGCGGTGTTTCTGATATCAGTGAGCGAGGAGTGGAGCGGGAGCGGTAAATGGTGAACCCGGAGTGGAGCTGGAGCGGAGTGATTATATAATGCTTGGAGCGTGGAGGGGAAATTGTTGCCGCTCCACTCCGCTCACATACTCTGGTTCGGACCAGCAACATCTGTGCAGCGCGAGCCGATCTCGATCAAGTGACACTGTTACTACACAGCGCTAAGAGATCCGGTAAAGAAAACATTTGAATTCGCCACTGAGGTAATAACATCGCTGCGAGATCTAGTGAGAAGCGTTCACATTTCTCCGTTATTAACCGTAGATCTCTATTAGATCAAACAGCGCTGTCATGGAAACCAGGAGAAACATTGTGCCGTGAATGAACTAGTTTCGTCCACAGACCAGCAACATTCACCATGGATTTAATATAGTAACACTAACTGGAACCAGTTTGGCTGGAATGGTGAAATGCTTTCAAGTACTTCACACATCTTTTTCCAGCACTTCAAAATTAAAATATTATATAAATAAATATATATTTAAATGTTATTTTTAATGCACTCTCAGAAAAAAAAGGTACAAAAGCTGTCACTGGGGCTGTACCTTTTCAAAAGGTACACTTTTGTACCCAAAGGCTGCATATTGGTACCTTAGTGGTACATATTAGCACCTAAAATGGACATATTACCACCTGAAAAGGACATATTAGCTCATGACATTGACATATTAACACTTAAAATGTACATATTAGTACACTCTAAAAAATGCTGGGTTGTTTTAACCCAATTTTGGGTCAAATATGGACAAACCCGAAATGTTGGGTTAAAAATGTAATGTAAAAATTTAACCCAACGGCTGGGTTAGTCCATATTTGACCCAAAGTTGGGTTAAAACAACCCAGCATTTTTTAGAGTGTACCTTAAATGTACATATTACCACCTAAAATGGACATATTAGCTCATGAAATTGACATATTACCTCCTGAAATGGACATATTAGCACCTAAAATGTACATATTAACACTTAAATGTACATATTAACACTTAAATGTACATATTAACACTTAAAATGTACATATTAGCACCCAAAATGTACATATTAACACCTAAATGTACTTATTAGCTCATGAAATGGACAAAAGTTTACCTTTTGAAAAGGTACAGCCCCAGTGACAACTTTTGTTCCTTTTTTTTCTGAGTCTGTGATGACCAAAACATTATTTGTTCATCCTTCAAAGATGACCCCCATTTATAAACCTGAAAGTTTCAAGATCTAGGAAAACTCACACTCATTTAAAAATATTTTTTCTTTAAACAAATAGGAAATTTCTCTGGCATTTCTTTCTTTTTGCTGTATCGAAAACGTACCGAACCGTGACTTTAAAACCGAGGTACGTACCGAACCGTGATTTTTGTGTACCGTTACACCCCTACTGTTGACACCGTATCCCACCCATAAACCAACTTTCTTATCCCACCCACTTTCCGGCGGGAAAGTGACGTCAATGCATTCTCTCTATAGTGTTTTGTGATATAACAGCAACACAAGTACATTGCACATCTTTTTTTAATGTAAGAACATCATAAGACGCTTATAAATTATATTCTTCCTCAAAGGTGCTCAATGATTCAATAAGAAAACGTTCTTTCCTTACAGATCTATTAAAAAACCTGAAGTTTATTAATGAACTTTTTCACAGGTCAAGGGCGTAGTAAAGGATAATCAGTCATGTTTGAATGCTTCATAACACCCAAGAAACCTCTGAATTATTACCAAATGAAATGATATCAGGGTGCACAGGTCAAAGCAGATCAATAACTCTCTGCTTGGAGAGGGCCTTGACATGAAAACCGAGAACATGCACGACTGCCGGGATGAACTGTACTTGACACACTCTCTGTTGTCCACAGATACAGAAATGAATGTGAATACCAAGAGCAGCTGCGACACACACTGGAACAGCTCAGCAAGGTACAAACATACTGTGACCTGCAGTTTCTCTGGCCATTGTGTGAGGAATAATGTACATCCAGCCGATCGTTCTCTCAGAATAACCCCCGACAGGATGGGTAAGGGGCTTATTTTGAAATAACACACACACACCTGAAGGGGGTTATTCTGAGATAACAACCGACTGGATGTACATATCCTGCTTGTTACACAAGTACTTGTAACTTGGTTTGTCCAATTATTTACTTGTAAATAATTGGACAAAAAAATATTTAACTAAGTTGAAATATTTTTTTAGGGGTTTAAACCAATGCTATCTCACGTCCAATTCATACGAATTCGTAAGAGTAGGTAAAATGAGACTGATTCATATGAATTTAGTATGAATTTACCCAGTGACGAGTTTTTAGCAAAAATCGAGTGTGGTCACACGAATTCATACGAATTAGCCACCTCGTAAAATTTGTACGAATTGCCGTGAGATCAGGTTGGTTTAAACGCAAAGCCTCCGCGGAGAGCAGCAAGTTCAAACTAGACAGACGTTTAAGAGATACGGTACACGCAGTCATAATACGTAAAGATATAATACGCATGATGCGGTGAATTCATAAGCAATAATCCACGAGAGATCATGCATCTCCACAGGCGAGGGCTGTCCGAAGGCTCGAGGTGAAGCGCAGTAAAATCTATCAAACACACACTTAAGTGACTTTATCTTTTTATGCAATGCTGTAAGTTTCACGACGCGCTTCGCTCAAGGCCAGAAACATATACGAGTTTTTGCAAATGTAAAGGCTTTTAGTTGTCTAAACTCAAATTTTTACAGTTTTTTTTGTAACACAATGCATTCTCAGCTGTAACAAATGTGCTATAGGAAACATTAGTTTCAGGTCAACTGACTGGAAGTTAATTAAAGTTAGTTAAACTGGAAGTTTTCCAAATATTTAACAGGATCTATTATGTCTTTTCCCATGTTCATCTTTCACTGTAAAAAAAAATATTTTCAAGGTTTGTTATCACAACATATTTTCTTTTGTCAAATCAACTTTATAATAATTTATTTAGTTGAGATAACTTATTATTTTGAGTTTCTGATGATTAAATTAATCGCCGTCATTTATTAACTCACTTTTTCCAGTTCAATCGACTTAAAATTTTAAGGCAACCCAGGTTACTTACTTTTTTTACGTTAAACCAACAATATTTTTTTAAAGTGTAGTAATCACAACATTTTTTCTTTTGTCAAATCAACTTAAATAATTTATTTAGTTCAGATAACATATAATTTTGAGTTTCTGATGATTAAATCATTCTCCTTCATTGTATTAAGTCACTTTTTCCAGTTCAATGAACTTAAAATTTTAAGGCAACCAGGTTACTTACTTTTGTAAGTTAAACCAACAATATTTTTTACAGTGTGTGTAATGTTGCTACTTGAAGCATGAACAATCTCTGAGTTCTTCTCTATGTCAGTGTTTCTGAACTCCTGAAACGCCTCCATTGTAGTCTTGAGTTTCTTCCGTGAGCGAACACGTCACAATATTCCTCATTATAATAATTCATGCGCATAATAAAGGGGCGGGGCCTGGTTGAGTTGGTAGTGTGTTAAACTGGCGCTTATGGAAAGGGGCGGGACATTTCCCAAACACACTCGAAGAGCTCGACCAATCACAACACACTGATCCAGCCGACCAATCAGAGCACATTGTGCTTTTCAGAAGGAGGGGCTTCAAAAAGACAGGAAGTAAACAGAGCGTTACTGACAGACTAGGAAGAGAGGAGCCGCAACAATGGATAATATGAGGAGAATAAACAACATTCGAGCGGGAAAACCTGTTCTAGTAGAGCCTGAAACACATCAAGACTTTGTAAAACAGTACAATATGGCCTCAATTTAACACACTGTTGAAAATCGGGGAGTGAGATGTCTTATGTTGTGAAGTGTTTCTGAGTAACTCCACCACTGAACAATGTTTTCCAGAGAAAGTCTCAATTATGAGTCCATTTTCTCTTGTGTTTGCAGGAAGCCGACACAGTGCTATTGAGGAACCTTGAGTATCAAATCCAGCTGCAGTTTCTGCAGGACGACGTCAACGCTACCAGAGAGAGGCACAAGAAGGTGGGAGGAAATAAAAGCCCTATTTCCACTTCTGTCTTTCAAGGAGCTTCTGGAAAGTTCTTCTGCGAAAGTTGAAAGTTGTTGAAAGAGTGTGTGTGCTGAGCTTACATTTGTTCTCTCAGAGAGCAGAATTTGCCATCTCTTAAATGTGATGTCAGCAGTGTTTTTCCGAGCCGTGGACTGACAGTCTATTGTGTGGCTGTGCTTTATGTTTAATCAGTCAGCGTCTGAACGCCAGAATATTCTCACCAACATTTGCCGGTAAAACTTTAGAATACGGTTCCTTCGTTAATGAATAACTACACAAGAACTAATGAGTAACACAATATTAACAATCTAGTAACTATTATTAACTAACAAGAAACTCTGATTAACGAACTAGTAAGTAATAGCGCACAGACTAAAGTGGTAGTTCACTATTTAGTAATCAATAACTACTATTTTTTTAATACTTCCCAGAGAACTACTGAAAAAGTTTATTAACAATCTAGTAACTACTATTAACTAAAAGAAACTCTTATTAACGAATTAGTAAGTAATAGCTCACAGATGAAATTGTTACTAGATACTTCTGTGGGAATTACTAATTATTTGGATTGGTATTATAAAGTGAAGATCATTGGAACTAACTAGTAATTACTCAAGTGTTACTACATGATCTAGTCATGATTTGTGCAACCGTTTGAGATTTTTGGTGAACTTTAGTAACTTTTAGAAAATGTCTTTAGTAACACTTGAGTCATTACTAGTTAGTTCCAATGATCTTCACTTTATAATACGAATCCAAATAATTAGTAATTCCCACAGAAGTATCTAGTAACACTTTCATCTGTGAGCTATTACTTACTAATTCCTTAATAAGAGTTTCTTTTAGTTAATAGTAGTTACTAGATTATTAATAAACTTTTTCAGTAGTTCTCTGGGAAGTATTAAAAAAATAGTAGTTATTGATTACTTAATAGTGAACTACCACTTTCGTCTGTGCGCTATTACTTACTAGTTCGTTAATCAGAGTTTCTTGTTAGTTAACAACAGTTACTAGATTGTTAATATTGTGTTGCTCATTAGTTCTTGTGTAGTTATTCATTAACGAAGGAACCGTATTCTAAAGTGTTACCCATTTGCCTTATTTCAGAAACTATGACAGAACCGCCGGAAGCACAGACGCACATGAACAGACGTATGACACAGCAGCCAGAATGCTGCGTTTAGTGATTGAAGTGATCAAGTCTCACTCATTATTGTTTAATATAAAAGCATTATTATGTAATAATACATACTTAATGCATGTCAATAAGCTGTCCAGTGACCCAAAATACACTCAAATCTCCACTGTCTTAACTAACAGTTCCGCAATTTTCATTGATACGTGAGAGGTATTTTGCCCAATAATTAGAAACTCTGTTTTTTCAGAATGAGGTAGTAGAAAATTAATAGTCGTCTAAATTTTTATTTCAGCTATGCATTCCCTTAATTTTGTGAATTGTTGCGTTTCATTGGGGCGTGAAGAAATGTAGAGCTGAGTATCGTCAGCTTCTCTTCTCTGATGATGTGGGCGGGGCAACCTGTCACTCACATGAGATCCACCAATAGCATTTAACCATCCAATCAATTCCCCACAGACAAAATCAAGCCCCGCCCACATTTTTTCTTGTTCACTCGGATATACGACACAATTGACCCTTCGCTAAGCCCCGCCCTCCCTAGTTACTGTTGCTACGCCTGTCAAGCTTTCGCGGCTGGCCCATCTATAGTGTGGATGCACCCGGTATCAGACATTTCAATGAGATAATTAGTAATTTTCGGCGAACAAGTGAAATATCTGAGAGAGCAAGACAAAAGGGACTACAGTATGCATTCGAGGGATATATTCACGACATTATATGCAACCGATTAAAGAATAATTTCTTAAAAATTGAAGTTAAAGCCTAACGTTATAGTCCCAGCGCCTCATACGCTGACCGTTCACATGGGAACACAAATTGAGGAACAGCTATGTTCATACACAGCAGGGTATGTGAAAATAATCTTAAAGCAAACAGCTTATCAATAAATCTTGTGGAATAACTAATACCGGGAGAGCCGCGATCGGATTGGGTTAAGTTAAGGGGTAACGTTAGTAGGACGTCGATTAACAAAATGCTGAAATATATTTTAAAGTATGTCAGTGAGCCTTTGTCTTGTCTCTTTAATCGTCTTATTTTACGTTATATCATTATGACCAAAGAACCGTCAATATTTCCAAGCAATGGGTGTTTTTGTTAAGCATGTCGACATTTACCAGAATGGGTCTCGCACATAGATGCTAGATCACGCCAATCATTTCTCCCCTTGGCTTTTAGATTTTCTGGAAGGAAAACAATTCCTCTCCCCCGTCCAAACTTTTAGTATACCGGTATCAGATTTGCACAATCCATACGCACAATGCTTCAGCATGTTCCTTCGTTCGAAAGCTTGCCAGACCTCCCGCGCATAGTTACGGTTGCTAAGACATGATTGGCCAGTGGCGGTTTTCGGGCGTGGCTTAGCGAAGGGTCAATAGGAGAGGAAAAACTACCTCAACTTCCTATTCAAGCCGACTAAACGTAGTTTTAAGTGAGAGATCCAGCGTAGTGTCATTGGAACCACTGAAGAATCATTTCTTTGCAGTTTTACAATCAAATCTAATTTGTACAGTAATCTACATATAATCATCAATTTTCTTTTTATAATTAAAGGGAAGCATTCTTTGCATCCTCTAATGCCCGTTTCTCTGTAATTAGTTTGACCTTTCACCAGTCTCACTCCTGATGTCCCCCTCCATTGATCCCTGTCCCGTGTGTCTTCCTCCACAGAACCTCGCTGAGATCCAAACGTATATGAACATCCTGCAGCAGATCAACCAGACGATCCCCCTGATGCCAGGCTCGTCAGTCTCAGAGGTGGGTGAGCTTGTGTCTCTCAGCGCCTCGGGCCTGTTCTGACTCTCGGGGGTCACAGAGCTGTGTGTCTGAGGGATCAGGATCCTGAGCGATCTTCCTTTATCACTGTTCTTCTGCGGGCGAGAGCATCTGAAGCACGTCATTGTGTTCATTTTAGAGCCCTCGCTCTAAAAATGCTGGGTTGTTTGAACCCAACTTTGGGTCAAATATGGACAAACCCAAACAATGGGTTGAAAATCTAATTAAAAAATGTAACCCAACGGCTGGTTTTGTCCATATTTGACGAACAGCTCCAGCTCTGTTTGTCCACAGCTCTGACAATTCAATGACTTGTGGTTGCTGAGCTGTGTGTGATTGTTTTGCTTGTTTATAGTCTGACAGGTCAAAGTTTGATTGCAAAGTTGCACCGGCTCTTACTAATTGCAATAATAATGTCATAGCTTGCCGTAGCAAACATAAAGAATCAGCATTTAAGTGTTGAACTAATGTCTTGTTCATTGTGGTAATGAGTGCTTGTGTGCAAATGTCATATTTCCTCGCTTTTTAAATGACGGACACAAGCATAAAAACTAATGGCTTTATAAGGACAAGTAAATCTGGATTCTGCATGTTTATTGCTTAGGATTTAAAAAAAAAGTGTATAGTTATAAAAAGTGGACGTCGTTTACACGACAACTATCCACATCTATGTTCCTTCACATTTTTCGTTTAGAGACGACAGCTTTGTTCAAACGATCCCCGTTCACACGGATTCGTGAAAACGACTAACACTGTATTCTGCTGTCAGGCCAGGAGATGGCGACGTCTCTATCTAAACAAACACGTATACGCATGCTCATGATGCCACAGTTTTCAAAAATTCACGTTTTCGTGGATTACGCAGAGATGATCACGAGCTGCGTCTGAAAACGCGTACTGTGTGAGTAGGTACTATATTTAAATAAGAACGTACTTCACAACCGTTAGAAACGTACGTTCTATATAGTATGAATACGGGTAGTATGAATAAGTCTGGACGTACTACAAACGCCATGTTGTTGTCGTGTGACATACGCTGTCACAACAGTGCGAAAATTTAAAGAGCCCATTCCAGTGACTGCACCAACTTCGCGCTGTTTTTAGTTTTTATCTGCATTTTTACGTTGTCCGAGCCGACAATCAAGAGGAGGCGTCGGTCAGCTGCTCGCAGATCACCCCTTTTGGGGAATTTCTCAAATAACATTTATGTACCTAATAAATTTTACCTCATAAAACACACACACAACCCCTATGAACAGTGACAGATGATGATTTTTGGCAAGGAAAAAGCCATTTATTAATTTGCTTGCGATATTACCATTGATAAATAAACATGAATTAACCAATAGAGATACACATGTATCTCCTAGTTACAGCCATAGATATCTATATAAAGGCTAAATATCTCGTCCACGCTGCTGCCCAATGGAGGTCGACGTCTGCACCTGGCGGCCATCTTGTCACAGGCAGCTCGCTCACTCGTAACATTTTGTTAATGGTATATGTACTATTTAAATGACCAAAACTTGCTCAATTTTCTACCGATTTTCAAAGGTTTGGTTTGTTATAATCGTCAGAGATGTAATTATGACACAGCATACTTATGAATAATAAGTGTGCAACACCCTACTCAGACAAAAGTTTCTTCTTTCCGGAGATATTTAGAGTGATCACACGGGTTCTTTTATTTTTATGACCCTCGACTAATTTTGGGAACTTGTTTTAAACTCAACTAACATTAGTCGAACCTCTTACTGATTTGAAGCACAGAATTAAAACCCTCAATATGAGTATGTAACAACACTACTACCATGATTTAAATCACAAACCCAAAATAATGAAATTACTCTGTTCTTTCACTATAAACAACTACAAAGTTTATTAAAGGTCTGTTGAATATAGAATAAAAATAAAAAATATGCAAATACGAAGAATTTCAACTTCCCTAGAGTATCAAAACACTCTCCAAAATGTCACAAATTAAATCACTTCAATATTCCAAATGGCAAGTTGCCTATGTAGTTTGATTTTAATTACATAAATTAACCCTTCGAATCAACAAATGACAACGGGATCATCTTACTCAGATAAACCAAAAATAGTCGTGGGCCCACACACACACACATTTTCACACAGTCTCGCGTGCACGTTTTCCCCCACGTTGCAGGCCTGTAGCGTTGCTTGTGTGCGTTGTGGCCTTTAAAGCAAACTCAAAATTGGCCCCTTCACTCTAAAAGAGCAAACAATAAAATAAATAATACCTGTAAGTCCCAAAGCTGTCCGTTTTTGGCTCGGCAAACGATAGTCTCGCTCTCTGGGCTGCTCTCATGAAATGGTCTGTGGCTCCGCGTGTCCCAGGTAGCCAGAGGAACTCTGAAACTCACGGTGATTCAGAGCGCTATAGTCATCATGCTTTAAAACGACTGTCAACTTTATAACGAGTTGCCTCAGAAACGCAGCGCTAAACTGCCGTCTCGTCCCAAGAGATCATATTTCATCACTCTCTCTCACCCATCGCGGCAAAATTGAAAGATGCTGTCTTCGTTTTGAAATCAACAAAACATTAGTTTTTTCACACCTTACTCCTAAACAGTAAAATAAATTAGTCACAAATCACTTACTAACGGTTAGTTAGTAAAACAAACACCATTTTGGCGAATCAATGAGTAGTATGAAGCTGCAGACTCGGAGACCTGCATCTACAGTCCCCCTGCACCCAGAGTCCCTCATTCTCAGACCCCTCGTTTTTCGAGACAGCGCCTCCTATCAAATTGTATCGGATAAACATGTGAAGAACATGTGAAGAACTTAAGCCAAAACATGAGTAGGCTATCTTCAATTTTATTTAGCGAATCGTAGCCTACTCGTTTGATTTATTTTTTAATAAAACTAATTTAGCTCATCGATACAACATATGAATAGTCCATTTAATATTTGTAAAGTTAGTTTGTAACAAGATTTGAGCCGTTAATGTATGTTTTTTCGCCCTCTTCCCCCTGAAAATATTTAGACAGCTTATTAGCCTTTAACCTTGGACTTTTTGTAGAAATGTCATATGCTGCAGTTTTTTTCACTGCCCATTCTGTGCCCCCATATATTTCAAACCCACAAAGTTGTCCAAAGATCAAAAACATCTCAAGGGACACTTCAACAGAGCAGTGCAACATGGTAACTATTTGCAAACATCTTTTTCTTTTTTTTCTTTTCTTTTTGAAACATCATAAGACATGTGCTATCGGTCATGTTGTAGGCTATTCCAGGGTAGCCTTCACCATACATCGATGGAGTTGCCCCTGCCGAATCCAGCAACATATCATTTTATGATTATGCAAAGCGACTAGTTATAAATGAGTTTTTTAATGCAATTGAAGACAAAAAGTAAAGTCACGAACACTGTTTTTTCTTCCTTTGTTCTTTACAGCAAGATAATGTTTAGGTGATCATTAAATAAAGTAGGAATTGTTTATTATTGGTGTTTTGTCTATTCTGATTTGTTTTGCTTCACATTCAAAATATCAAAAAAATAGATAGGCTATTGTAATGTTAGCATGGAAATATTAATTAGACCATTATAGGTTGAACTGAAAGAAAAATTGGAATTTGAATTAAAAAAAAATTGTAGCAATATAATATCACATACAATTTTTCAGAAGATAGTTCAATCTGTAATTGTATCCCTTTCATCAGTAAAAATGAGTTTTTTGGCACCTGCATTAGGGAACGCAAATATTTATTGGATAATTTATTTGGAGACCGTAATATTGCATCCTATTGTTTTTAATTGCATTTGGATAATCGTGCTCTGTACTGTGTGTGCGGGTGTTATTCGATCTTTTGAACAGCAGGAGGCGCTGTGTTCGAAAAACGAGGGGTCTGAGAATGCGGGACTCTCGGTGGGGGACTGTAGATGCAGGCTCCGAGTCTGCAGCTTCATAATATTGGAATCAATCCGATCTGGATTTTTTTTCTTTTTACCTCCTCACTCAGCCTGTCATTTTTTTTCTCGCAACCACCAATCACCATCACGAATAGCTCTCTAGGAGGTGGGCTTTAGAAATCCCTTATCCAATAACCAAAAGAAATGATCAAACATGCTTGTAAAAGCCACATTGTCCAGCAAGTACATTTCAACCAAACAAAATAACAAAACTGAATTTTAAAGAAACAGTCCACATATATTGATATCTGTGAATTACATCAACATAACATAAATAGTATGTACCATATTTAAACTACATTCAAATGCTCAACTTCACCTAGGTTAAATAAATAATCATCCAGATAATTATAGCCACGTTAATAACGTTTGTAAGAAACCAAAGCGTTTGTAAATCCGTCAAGATTTCAACGAGGTAAGAGTATTTGTGTTCGTGCTGACCACTCATCTTACATCAGCTTGCCTGTGACAAGATGGCCGCCGGTGATGACGATAGAAACTCCGCCTTAAGACATCTAGCCTTTATATAGATATCTGGTTACAACTGTTGAATAAACCAGTGTCAAGCATGTCAAGTCGCGCTTTGTTTACTTCCAACCGGAAGTCGCTTTTGACGCAAGGCCTCATGGGGCGTCGAAAACTTGTGGATAACAACAACTCCTCTCCCGTGGCATCATGGGATAGTAAAGTGTCCATCCTTTGCACACCTCAGAATAGTAGGTCATCCGTGTACTTTCGCCTACTGTTTTTCAAATTCTATGATTTCGGACATACTACTATGCTCGCGTACTGTTTTTCGCATACTATAGGGAAGTATTCGATTTCGGACGCAGCTACGGTCTCGTCTTCAAAAACCTGCTCTTTCAAAAAGTTTGCGTCTTCAGGCCACCGAAATGCCATTGTCGTGTAAATGTAAAGCTTAAAAAGCGTCCGTTTTTAGTTAGTTTAGTTTTAGTAAATAAACCCTAAGTTGACAGTTCAGACAGTTTTAAGAGCTGTTTAATAAGTTTTTTTAGCTGGTGGTACAGCCATTAATTAAACATGTTTAGGGAAAAAAATCTACCATTCCTTTAATACTGACTACATTTGTAAATAATTCAACTGTTTAAAATTTAGTATTACTAGTCAGTTTGTAAACCTTATTGATTTACCTTTTTCTTTTTAATGAATAATTGAATCCTCGTGTGGTAATTCTAGCGTTCTTCTCCCAGTAAAGACCTTCAGCGTCTCTTTTTAGAAAAGTCCGTGATCAGATTTTGATGATAAGTACAGTGTGTGAGCTGCTGTTTTCCCACAGGATCAGGAGCGTGTGATGGCTCAGAGGCGAGTGCCGGGTCTGAGGACTCAGATGGAGGAGTACAAGAGCGCCATCTGTCGACTGAAGGCCCAGAAGCAGCAGCTGCGCACTGAGGTACCTCTCCATCACACACAGGGGGAATCAGGACCTGGAAACACTTAAACAAAACTAAAAATTGCCTTAACTTTTAAGTTAAGAAATTCTAAGTTCAAACAAGCAGATTTTTATTTTGTACTCAATACATTTTATTTGTATGAGTATTTTATTTGTGCTGTAAAGTACACTACAGTTTCTGGAAATCGAAATACAGTAACTTGCTGGCAACCGTGCTGCCAGCTATGTACTGTAAAAATACAAGAACACCGTTTACAGAAATTGTTTCAAAGATGCACACAGGAAATGACTCTAACGTGAATGATTGATTGATTCCTAGGTTTATTTTGTTATGAATAAACAAATGTGCTATCTATGAAGCAAAAACCTTACAATTAAAGTTAAAATGTAATAATGTTCAAGTTTTTGATCTAAAAAAAAGAAAAATGCACTCAGAAAAATGACTCTAATATGACCATGTTGGTTGATTAAAGTTGAAATGGTATACTGCTGAAAAGTTTTTGACCATGAGAAAAAGCTTATAGTGTAGACCAACACTTTGATAATTTGTTTCATGTTGGTACATCTTTGGGAAGTACACCGGTTTTGACCTGACGTCCATTGAAATGGACAAACAAAAACAAAAAAAATTACAATTAAAGTCAAACTTTTTTTTTTAAATATTATTTTCATTTGGTCTCATTTATACTTTCATATTTTTCAGAAATTTGAACATAACTCAGGTCTGAAATGTTTGCACTAAATCAACCACTTAACTTCACATTTTCATGTAATCTCAATGTTAATTGTTTATTAGTTTCAAATTTGTTAATATATTAACATTAGCATGGTATAGCATTTGCTGTAAGAGTGCAGTATTACATAACTTTTAACTAACTTCTCTCAAACCAAGCTCACACACCACTCGTCAATATGAACTCTCCTAAAACCAACATTAACAGAAATTATTGTACATTTTATAAACTATATACAAAATAAACTAGTACAAAAAATACATTATATTACACTTAGCATTTACTCTCCCTTTCGAGTGCCATGGGCAAAGCATGCTGGGAAACAGAAATCCAAGCCCAGTTTTAGTTAAACTTAAGTTTGTCTAAATTAAAATAATTTCATAAAACTCAAAACAATGAAACAGTTCAGTTTACTTAAAATACATCAGTTCGGTGAACTTAAAAGAAAAGGAAATTGTTCAAGTTTGTCCTACTCAAACCAATTCATTATTTGAGTGTTTACAGGGGGTTTACAATACTTACATTAGACAAAAATTATCAAATTAATGATGGACGGGATTTTAAACCCTTAAATTATTTATTTACTCAAACACGGGAGACTCTTTAAAGGGTTAGTTCAGCCAAAACATGGATAAATAAATTTGTCGTTGCAAACCCGTAAGACTTTGATTCATCTTCAAAACACAAATGAAGATATTTTAAAGAAATTTGATGAATCTCCATTAACAGCTGTGCAACTATCACTTTGACGCTTAAAAAAACTTAAATAGATCATAAACTAATCCATATGAAGGAAGAGTTTTAGTAAAAATATTCTGGAGAGACTCGATCTCGATCGCTTTATATGATGAACAGATTCAGTTTCGTCACCTGTCGATCAATGCTATTAGTACTAAATATTAGTAAACTAGACAGTGTAACATTGAGCAGAAGTGTTTTTTCTGTTCATGAAAATGTTGTAAAGTGAGTGTTTTTCTATAATGTGTTTGCCTAGACCTCTGTGTTGGAGCAAACCATCAAGACGACCCAAGCGAGCTACGATGACGAGATCCAGCAGTACAACGATCGAATCGAGAGTCTCCGGAAGGAGATCGACGAGGCCGAGAGATCTCTGGAGAGCTACACCAGCCAGTGTTGGCAGCTGGCCATGTACCAGAGCTCTCTGGAGAACGAGCTCGAGCGCTACAAGAGAATCATCGAGAACGAGGACAGTCGGTGAGATGCGTCGTACACTACTCCAACCACATATCACACCAGATGCTGTCACATTCTTTTATTACGACAATCGCACTCTAAAAAATGCCGGGATAAAGGGATATTTCACCTCTGGAAAGATCAATGTGTATTTAAAATGGGTCATTTACTGTATGTAGAAGAAATGTTAATTTTTATTTTTTAAGTGGACCTTTCTAGACTGAGAAAAGCCATAAAAAGTATTTTTGACTTATGTGGATGAAAGACAACAACTCCCAGAATGCACTTGCTTAACTGCCCTAGGAGGCCACGCCTACCGGTAACAGAGCGCAGTAGTTAAACAACAAGTCTAGGCTACTAGTGAGTCTCCGTGATGAGTCTGCCCGAAAATATGTGTCGAGATCGCCCAAAATGTTCGGGATTGGGGTTTTGCGTTCTACCGTCGCCATTCATTATGTTTACTGTGGCGAGCGAGGGAACGGCGTGATTACCGATGAGCGACACATGCTGTGAGACGCACCCGTCTCGTATCTCTCACGGAAGAGCGGGGATTTTCTTAGCAATGTTAAAACGCACATCAACCGATCACTTGTTTTAGCGTTCATGTAAACACTACATTCAGATTCACCAATCAGAATGATTTGAACAATGAATGGCGACTGCAAAAAGCAAAATCTGAATCCCGGACATCGACGGCCGGACATGTTCGGGAAAAAGAGGATGGTAACCCCTACTACTCGGCTTTCTCCACAGAACAAGAGCCTGCTAGCTTAGCTTCCATGTGTTCATTCTGTGAGTGAGATCGCCCTCTATGGGCGGGTTGAGAACATGCGGGACAGACCCGACTACTGACTGTAGTCTTCAGCCTCTGGACACAAAATCTTTCCAGACAAAAAAATACATGAATCTCTCGTCTCAGGGGGATATGAAGGTAATTCGAAAATACTACAGGTTTTCTACTAATACAAAGCTTAATGCTAAATCCTGAAGTATCCCTTTAAAAACAACCCAAGTTGGGTTGAAAATGGACAAACCCAGCGAATGGGTTGTTTTATCTCAGCGGTTGGGTTTAACGTTTGTCCAAACTGATGGGTAGTTTTATTTAACTCAACTATTGTTTAAAAATGACTGTTTTGTTTTTTGTTTTTTTTCCAAATGAACCCGAAGTATGTTGAAAATTACAGTTTATTAATAGGTTTAATAAATGAACATTTATTAATACGTTTGATGATTAATAATTAAACAATAAACATGGATTTAAATGCTTATTAATAAATGTTCACCTTTTGATTATTATTTTTGCCTCTAATCTACTTTTGGTTCATTTTAAGCTAGTCATTTTTAAACAATTAGTTGGGTTAAAAAATTTACCTCAACCGCTGGGTTAAAACAACCAAATCACTAAGTTTGTCCATTTTTAACCCAACTTGGGTTGTTTTTGACGCAGCATTTTTCAGAGTGTAAGCACCAGTTTTTTTCATTACTGAACTGGCCAAAAAAAGTCACCATCATTGCATTTGTTGTACAAAAGAATGCAGCAAATAATGTGATTTTTATTTGGATCAGGGCCGTCTAGCTTCCACACAGTGGCAGTGTAACTACATCATCTTTTTACCCAATAATCACAGTGAGATTTTTTGTTGGGCAATTTCTTCATCTCTAATTAAAGCCTTCACAGACGTTTTAGCATAAATGTATTCCAGCATCATTCCTGAACACTCATGTTTGATGAGCTTTGCATATTTGTAATATCTGACAATGCTTTCTCTTGGAATCGTTCCTACAGTCAGTCTATACGGATGCTTAATTTTCTTTCTCCCTCTCGCAGATTGAATTCGGCAATCATCGGGACACCTATAACTCTGCTCACATCCAGAAATGAATACAGCCACAGTCCTAGCGTGAGCAGACAGGGAAGAGGTGAGAGTCTGCCGGGTGGTTATGTAACATGACTGCATCACTGTGATAGTCTTTGTGAACAGGCAGCAAATCAAGAGCTAGCAGCTGCTGGCCTGAAGGAAGGGTTACGCCCACTCAGCTGTCAATCAAACCCACTCTGTCTCCTCAGGCTCGTTGAGTACAGAAGCGTAATACAATTGCCTTCAAGATTCTTTGCATTGGCCCCGTTAACAATGATAAATGACAAGGACCTTTATGTTTGGGCACGAGTAACGGCTGTTTGTTAAGAGCCACAAGACGTTTATTAAGAAGAAAGGGAATGGTTTAGGTTACACTTTGCCCATGTGTTTGAACGTGTGATGTGTGTGTTTTGGGGCGAATCTTACTATGCAGTACATTTGTCGGCATTACGTCTTTTTATAGTTTAGAAAAGAGTACAATTTTTGATATTTAAAATCAAAATTTTATTTATTTTCATATTTAAAATTGTGATATTTTAAATGGAACTAACTTCACCCGTATTTACACTCAGATTTTTTTTGTAAAATTGTAGTGAGTGATTTTATATATATATGTGTGTGTGTGTATATATACTTTTTTTCACTCACTACAACTTTACAAATAATAAAAATAAAAGTGTAAATAGAGGTGGTTACCAGTGCCAGTTGTAAAATTCTATAATATAGTGTTCAATCAATTTTTAAAAAAATAGTCTAAAATGTTTTCTTTCTCTAATGACATTTTTCAAACATAAGACATTTTCATGTAAATATTGATAATAATCAATTCTAGGTTTTCCCTCGGTCCTCAAAATGACTTTCCATGCAGTAAGTTCCCTTTAGCTAGTCTTAGCCAGAGCTTCTCCGGCGGACGTGCGGTCTGGCCTCTACAGCTAAGTGAAGTGACCAATCACAGTTCAGTTGTGTTCAGCGTCATGTTTAGGGCTGGGTAAATGTCTGTACAGTAACACACTGGCGTTCTGTAACAGACTCAGGGTACTTTCGTGTTTACCTGCATATGCCGCAGATCAGCGAGGAACTTCACCCGATCTTCCATTATACAGTAGATGTGGGATGACTCAACTAATAAATTAAGATCACTTGTAAATCCAAAGGGTTAACCATGATATTAGCAGGGCTAAATGCATGTCTTAAGAAAAAATTGCTTTTCACTACTCCCATATTGTATGACTGCAGAAAAAAAAAGATATATGTTTTTGTTGAACATTGATGGAGCAACAGATTTGTGTGAAAATAAATCATAAAAGTGTTTAATTTTGGTTAAAAATCTTATAAATGTATAAGGTGGAAAGGTGGGCCTTTAAGCCCACAGACACACGGGGTAGAAGCATTGAAGGGGCAAAAGACCCAATTTGATATATGATATTTCCCATCTGAATCTAACCATGTCATGTCAACAAATGGAAAATTCAGCTGACTGTTTATTATCATGCAGCAGGGGCGTCTTTAACCCCAACTACCATACTTTTACATTATTGTTATTGAGCGTAAATTGCTTCAATTACCTTGGACAAAATTGAAAGTCATGCAAGACTATGAACAATCGTTCGAGAGTGTTTCATGCCTCAGCTTGGCCAGAGCTTATAAGACTGACCCTCAGATTGCACCAAAATCTGCTTTTTTCAGATATCAACCAAGCCATCCAAGTCATCACCAACGTAAAGCCTCGTCAGAAGTACTTGCCCAAAAAAGTGTTTAAAATGAAAGAGATCTCTTCCAAACAAGCTAGTGGACTTGAGAAGGCAGCAGGAGAAATTGTGGACGAAGAGAAAGAACAAGTGATGGAGGGGGCGAGAAGAGATGGGGAAGATGTGCCTGATGGAGCTCAGATCAGCAAGGCCTTCGACACGCTCTGCAACATCATTCGTGGTCGCATGAGACGGGGAAAGAAACCGGAGCCCATCGCGGACTTCTTCACCAAGGGACGCTACGTACTAGTGACCGGCGACTCCAACTACCTGGACCCGTGCTTCTGTTCGACCACCCCTTCTGCCAGTCACGTCTTTGTTACAATCGATGACGACAGGATGCCTTATTATCCTGAACCTTCCCCTAGACCAGGCCCCCTACCCGGACCAACACCCCTAAACCCTTCCACACCTTCGGACCCAGGAAAGGGAAAAGGCGACGGAGATAGGACGAAGGTTGGAAATGGTGAGCCTCATCCAAAGGAAAAGGAACCAGAACCGAGCCCCAGTGAGAAGAAAACCCCCAGCCCTTCTCCTCCAGGCCCAAGGCATCCCTCACCCCATCGTGGCGGCAAGCCCAAGATCCCGGCGGAGCCCTGCATCTTCCCACCCGTGCCATCGCACACCTCCATCCCCCCGGACTCTGTGAGTTATGAGAAGCTCGAGGTCATTGAGTCAGTGGAGAAGCTCTCGCCTGACAAGAAAGTCAAGGGCTATGAGGAGACAACCACGGTGGTGGAGACCATGATCGAGAAGACCAGTAGAAAGAAACATGCCGATAAATCTTCTTGAGCCACAGAAACATTTCCATTAAATCACTCTTGCCTCTGACCCGCTCCGGTATTGCTGTTGACGAGATTCCCAGTGCTGCTGTTAACTTCCTGAACCATTGCCCTTGGCCTTTACTGTCTGAAAACTTGGGAAGCTAAAACTGAATTGCCCCATCTCCCCCCTCACAAAAAAAATTATGAATAAAAGAAGCAGAGTTCACTTCAGAATTAAAATATACTGATAATTTACTCTTCCCACGTCATGTCTGTCTTTCTTCAGTCGAAAAGAAATGAAGGTTTTTGAGGAAAGCATTGCAGGATGTTTCTCCATATAATGTCTTCAATGGGGTCCAACAGGTCGAAGGGCTATTATTTGAAGTTTTACGGTATTCGTTTTGTTCATTTTACATTTTTATTGTAATATGAACAAAATATGAATTGGAAAGCATCCCAGGACTTATCCAAGTTAGCGTCGGTAAATTACGGAGTGCCACAAGGCTCCGTTTTAGGCCCTCTTCTATTTTCAATATACATGCCATACCTTGATAATATTATTAGAAAACATGTTAGATAGAAAGATTTTGAGGAAAACATTGCAGGATGTTTCTTCATATAGTGACTTCAATGGGGTCAAACGGGTCGAAGGTCCAGATGTGAGTTTCAGTGCAGCTTCAAAGTTTCGACTCGATCCAGCCGAGGAATAAGAGTCTAATCTAGCCAAACATCGTCATTAAAAAAATTATATATACTTTTTAACCACAAATGCTGGTTTTGCACTAGCTCCGCAAAGCGCCACGCATGACGTATTCACGCGTGACATACGTAGGTGGAAGTACCGACCTAGTGTTTTCAAATCAAACTCGCAAATACAAAGTCACGAGCCCAAACTGCAATTTGGACTTTCAAAACGTTGGTTCCCATCCCAGTCCACTATATGGAGAATGTTTTCCTCAAAAACACTTCATTTATTTTTGACTGAAGAAAGAAAAACATTAATATCTTGGATGACGTGGGGGTGAGTAAATTATCAGGAAATTTTAATGATGAAGTTAATACTTTAAGAAACATGACATGGAGAACCTTACTTGCCCGTTTCAATTGGATTCAAAGGCTCTATTCCAAAACGTTGTGAGCTGCCTTCTTACAGTATGCACCGCCTGGTATTGAACTTCACAAGTGACTGACTTGAACGCTCAACCTGCTGCGTTACTTTGTGCACAGAGGAATCTGTACTTACAAATTACGATACCTTAAAATGCAGCCTAGGCAGGTAGTTCCCCAAGTTCTGGACCAGAGCCGTAGAGCGACCCAATGAACATGTACTGTATCACCCTCTTTTACCCTTACTTGAATTCAAACTACAGCAAAGAGATTTATTTGCTATTATTCTGTTCAATTTAAGATGCTAGCATTGCCCATCGCAGTCTTGATGTGTATTAACTGCCCCAAAAAATAAACATTGAAACCAAAACTCTCAACATGTGTTGTCTATCAGTTGTCTAGGGTCTTTACATGGCACTTTCCCCGCCAGCTGTAGAAACCATTGGATTTTAAAGTGCAGTTTTACACAGAAAAGAATGAAATGTTTTGAGTGATCTCTGAGTGAGTAAGTGAGTGGAGGCGGGGCTCATTTGCATATTTATAGAACCGCTTATACTAAATGAGGCAAGGGTGTCGAGTTACATTCAAGAAATTTTAAGGCATGACGTAACCGGGTTCAGTTAGTTCTGCAGTCTATCTCTTTCACTCCTCTGCGTGAGCCAGTTGCAAAACGAAACTCATCCATTTTTCATTAAACTGACCTTGCGGGATACAGACGTGACCTCTGCATAATCTACTATCCAAGGTCCAGAGAGCAAGAGATGGAGAGAGAAAATACTGAAGTATCACATTTAGGATTCAAAAGAAAGCCACAATGCACCTTATTTTTTTAAAGTTGACATAATGCGTAGTGTTTTTCTGCGACTACAAATACATTGAAATAGCTACTGGCAACCAAAAACAGCCAACAGTTAGGATACTGAAATATATCACCTAGCAGAAGAATTGTTTATTCTGATTATTAACAATAACTTTATCTATTTATTTCACATTGCTTGAAATGGATACGCCATGTTTAAAGATTCGTTGTCAAACCACAAACCATAGTTTGGGAGACTCTTGCACCCCAGATCAACCAACCCAATGGGGAAATGATTGTCTTAATCACTCAGGTGCTTTAACAAACAGCTAAATAGATTTATTATATATAGACAATGCTATGAAATAAGCAGTATAATGACTCACATTCCATCTCTTCATAATAAAAACTAATCTTCTCCTCTCAAAATATATTTATATATTACAGAAAGAAATATCACTGCTCTGTTTGCAAGATACTAAACTTTAAGGAGAACCACACAAAATGATTTACAGTCACAAACTGTACAGCAGAGGTGTGGGACAGCGGGGTAAGCAAGAACATAATAAAGTGTACATATATTTGGTGTATATACATTTCTGGAAAGAGTTTAAAAAAAAGTAAGTGGAATGTAATATTGTTTTCGGTGGGACGTACAGTGGTGGCAAAACACACATTTGGACACTCGAGTCACACTTTTTGAATGTCTTTGAGTTTGAATGTCACTTAAAACTTAAATATTAAACGAAATGATGCTGGAGGTTTTCTGAGATATTTTATTAAATGACTTTTAGGGTGTTGGGTTCGCTTGGTCTGGACCAAAAAGTTCACAAATGAACTACACTAACAGAGCAATCGCTCTGGAATTTGGTTTAATACAACCAAACATATGCCAATTCCCTACTATGAACTTTGCCATTATCATTAGAAGCCTTAAAAATGTCTTTTTGTTAAGCGTTTTGCTTTTAAAATGTGCTTGTGGTGTCTTTCGTTGGTGTCAAATTTGGATTTTTCTAAGTGTGTCTTAAGTGTCCGAATAGTTTCCAGGGCCACTGTATCATTCAGAGAATACACTTTTAATATGAGAGACATTCATTGAATAATCACAAGAAAAAAGAGAAAGCCGAGAGAGGAATATATGCTAACACAGAGAGGACGTCATGCACATGGCTAGTTATTTTTACTCAAAAGGCTTTTCAAGCTTCTCTCCACAGCTTCGTCTAATTCCTCCTCCAGCTCTTCTTTTTTGGACATGGCCAGTTTGGACTGGTAGTCCCTCACCACTTGGTCTATGTAAGGAGCACTTTGTGTGCCGTGCAGCATGACGGTCCACTCTTTCAGCAGGCCGTTCTGCGGGGTTTCTCCCTGGAAGCCCACCTCCAGCCGCCAGGTTCCCCGGGGGTCCTCGCCCCACGTGTGTGTGGTCATGAAGGGCCACTTGTCGAAGCCCACCTTGGCGTCGTCGTCCCGGGGCCGGCGGCTCAGCAGGATGGACTTGGTGCCCATGGGTGAAGTCATGTTGACGTTGAGATCTCCGCGGCGGCTGGCGTTGACGGTGATGACGGCCTGAACGTGCTCCAGATAGCGGACGAAGTTGTCCTTTCCCTGGCAGGCATCGGTTGTGATGCTCAGCACCAGTTTGTTTCCCGACTGGATTTTACTGCACAAAGAAAGAGAGCGAGATGTTGTAAATAAAACTGACATTTAATACTGCTAGCAAGCCAGAGGCAAAAGGTTAAACAATTGTAAGCTATGATTAGGGTTGGGTATCGTTTGAATTTGAACGATTCTGATTCCGATTCCGATTCCTTGTTTCGATTCCGGTTCCTAACGATTCTCGATTCCGATTCTTTTAAGAGGCAGGGTCAAAAAAGTTTAGCTAACCTTGCTAACCAACGGCCTTTCTGAAGGAAATACTCCTTCTGTCACAAATATTCCTTTTGTCACAAATTTAGCATTTTGCCGAGATTTCGTTATTTTTAGAAAAGTGAAGCCACACTTTGGACCGCTGACGTAAGCTACTCATGTTCGACTCGCGCGGTTATACCAACACTTCCGGCAGATGCTTCTTCGTTGTTGTTGTTCAGCGGTTTCTTCTTCAGCTCGGCGGACTGTGAATATCGAAACTAGGAATCGAAATTTGAACTTTTGAACGATTCCGGGAAAAACGAAAAGTTAGTCCCGGTTCCAATCGATACTCGATTCTCGATACCCAACCCTAGCTATGATTGACGATGGGAGATACTGTCTAACTGGCTTGTTTACTGACAACAGATGATATTTTTTCAGGTGCACTATACGCTAAACACTGCTCACGCTAACAGCGGATGATTTCAACAGAGACAAATGTTAAGTTCTTCCATAATCACTTCTCTGGAACAATGGAGACACTCAGTACACATCATCCTTACTGATGAATATGTTTTGGGAGGAAAGGCCATGTGGAGAAGTTCTGCATAGAAGTAAGAGAGAAGTAAACGAATAGTTGAAATAAAGTCATTATTTTTGTTGTTTTCTGCGCACAAAAAGTGCTCTCGTCGTTTGATAAAGTTACGATTGAGCCACTGTAGTCTCTTGGACTATTTTAACAATGTCTTTAATAACTTTTCGAGGCCGGCAAGTTTCAACTCCTCAAGAAGCCTATGGACTAGTATGCAGGAGCGATCCAGCTCTCAGATTTCATCAAAAATATCTTAAAGGGGACATATCATGCAAAATCCACTTTTTTAGCCCTTAAATGCATTTTGTTGTATATTTGGAGTGTTTATAAGTACAGAAAAGATGAAATTATTCTCTTCAGGTGCTTCGTTTATATCTTTATATTCTGTTTTGGTCATATTTTTCAACCTGTTCAGATTTTTCTGTTTTCTAAGACGTTTTTTGAACTACAACGTCACCGTATTTGCAGCGGAACTGACGAATAAGGACATCGACTACCGGCCCAACACTTTTATTATTTCTCGCTCCGATTTTGTAGTCCGAGCTCAATGATGCAGAAGTTACGAGAGGGCAAGTCAAAATGTTCGGTTGTTGGATGTACGTTAGTGACCTGAAGCACTTCAAGGATTCCCACTTCAACAACCTCCGCCAGTATACAGAAGGGTTTGCCGATTGACTTCGTCTGAACGAGAGGTAAATTCCTTCTATCTTTGGAGACGACGAACAGAGCATTTCGATAAGCTGTAAATATCGTTAATAAAAATAAAGTACTTTACTTTCTTAAAACACATGGTGGTCATGGTTTAGCAGTACATTTATCTTTCTTTGTTTTTGTTTTGAAGTAACGTTACACGTCTGCAGTATTATTGTTCTTGAGTTTCATCAATGCTCATTTATCTGCTTTTCTAAACGTATCATATTATCAATACAGATTGTTTGTGGTAAGATTAGACCGTAGTCATTTATCTTGTCTGTGTGCTCGTTTTAACAAGAGAAATAGTCGACTTTCACTAATAACACAAAACAGTTAACTCACATACCAATCTATCCATATGAAGAGGTTGTTCTGCAGGTTCGTCGTCGTCTTTATCAACTCGCTCGCTCTGGCTGGAATATGTAAGGCTTGATGGACAAGTCTTCTGTTGTTGACATTTTATCAACGTGTGAATAAAAATGTTCTTTGAAGGTATCGTATATAATCGTATATCTCTAATCAAACTACAATAATGGCCGAACGGGGGGAGTTGAACTGACCGTGAACTCATCGACCTGGAGAGCGGGCGGGGTGTGACGCATCTCCTTTTTATTTAAAGGGGCCGCTTTGAAACGGGTCGCTCACAGACGCACATCAGAAAAGGGGCTTGTGGAGCTATAATAATGAGGAATTCAGACCCAAGCATTGCAGTTATGTTTTATATAGACCACAACGGTATGATTTATATGTAAAAATGAATGATTTAAAAGCATGATATGTACCCTTTAATTTGTGCTCCGAAGATGAACGAAGGTCTTACGGGCTTGAACAACATGAGGGTGAGTAAATACTGACAGAATTTTCATTTTTGGGTGAAGTAACCCTTTAAGCAGAGTAAAAAATACTTCAGTCTAAATGAGTATTTAATTAAAAATGTAGGACTTGCTTTTCTTGCTATTATACAATAGAACTAATTATGCAATTACGTATGTGCTACATATTAGTTTAACTAATTGTGTTTTAAACATTTAAACTAAAACATTTTTCATTCATTAAGTGTCCAAAAACATTCATTCATCTCACATTGATTTTAAACCCTTCTGCAGACTTTCCCAATAAATCAGCGTAGAAGAAAAAGTCAGTAGATTTGCTGTTAGGTCACATTAATGTTCCCAGTGACATTTACAGAGTTCATACTCATTCAGCGACATTACCTAATAAACAAGAATGAATGTAAAGACGTCTCTGGCCATAATGGATAGGCATCAGGTTCAGACAACTGTGTTTTGCTCCAACTACAGAAATAATCACGATGTCTCGATTCGATACACGATACTGAACTAACGATACAATATTAACGTGATACTCCAAGATATATGATAAAAGGTTAACAAAAACATTCCTGTTGATTAAAATGCTAAATTATATTACATTGGTGCTGAAACCCAAAGCACACGACAATAGAGACACCAGAATAACAATATTCATGATTCTGAAGATGAAAATACACAATTATTGTAGACGAATATGCTTTCACTGTCACTGACTAGATATATTTATAATAATATTGGACACTTTTTACTGGTAACATCACACATCTGGCGTTATCAGGACATTATTATCCATTATCAGTGGTGGAATGTAACGAAGTACAAATACTTTGTTACTTTACTTAAGTAAATTTTTCATGTATCTTTACTTTACTTAAGTAGAATAAATAGTGCATACTTTTTACTTTTACTTCGTTACATTTTGCAGCAATTTTCTACTCCACTACATTTCTACAACTTCTGTTACATTTTCATTACATTTTCTGATCAGTTTTTCCCCTGCCAAAACGTACGTTTGTTGCACGTTTGTCTCACCAGTGACGTTTGGTTGCCATAGATACATCAACTAAATGCGTCTCGCACGCAGTGTGTTTATCGTGCAATTTATACGCGAAAATTTGATTTTACGTGCATAGGAAACACACCGTGTGTAATATATGTTTGGTTTGGTTAGGATTATGGCAAGCCAAGAGGTTCAGAATTACACCATAAATTAATCTCGTTTACTGCCAAAAATAGTTATTAACATATAGTAAGTATAAGCATGGTTTATATTGCCTAATTGCAAGCTTGTTTCAGCTTTTCCCATCATTATTGAACATCATTATAGGAGTATTAGGTTGAATGAGTTACAATTAAATGTTTTATTAATCATTAGAAAATAGTCATTAAGAGAATCAATTGTTATGCAAGTACTTTTACTTTTAATACTTAAAGTATATTTAAAATCAGGTACTTTTTACTTTTCCCTTAAGTGTGGTTGTCATTGTGTTACTTCTATTTTTACTAAAGTAAATATTTATCTGGATATTTATACTTTTACTTAAGTACTGAGATTCAGTACTTCCTCCACCACTGTCCATTATAGTTTACTGTAATACTGCTGACACTAAAACTACATTTTTATTTTGGTATAGTGTCACTACACCACGATACTGATGCATTTTTGTATTGTGATATATTGTGACATGATGTGTTGTTACACCCCTAGTCTATTTAACGCACAGCTTCAGTTTTCATTTCATAAATGTACAGTTGTACCATCCTGAACTTCTGCCATTTCAAAACAAGCCGCAGAACTGGGCGCTGGAAAACAGTGATTATGTGTTCCTCTATTTTCAATGGCACAGCCTCATGATGCCAACAATTGGTTTGTCCAGATGATGTGTTTTCCCCTTTGTCGAGGCGCGAGCACAAAGGCCCGGCGCTGCCGACCGGCTGTGCTGATGATAACAGCGGAGGACTCGAGCGAGTGGCAGTAAAGTGGATGTAATGGCATTATCAGAGCCAGGTCTCCCAGTCTGGCCATTAGAGCGCTCAGATTAGTGGGAGTGTTTGTGTGCGCGTCAGTCTTTGAGAGGCCAGTGTTTCCCGGGAAACTAGTTGATAGAAATATCCAGAGGCCACACAAGGGTGCGGGTGTGTTCGGTGCATAAAGACGAGACAGCGCTTATTAAAGGAAACATGTAAGGAGATGTTAGCTCTGTGTGTTTGCGAAGACCTCTTTAGCTCATCAGTCTCACACAGCTAACATCCAACGTGAAAACTTTCTTGTTAAAGGAGTTGTTGACTTTTAAAAACAACTTTTGCTGATAATTTACTCACCCCCATGTCATCCAAGATGTCCATGTCTTTCTTTCTTCAGTCGAAAAGAAATGAAGGTTTTTGATGAAAACATTCCAGGATTTTTCTCCATATAATGGACTTCAATGGGAACCAAACGGTTCAAGGTCCAAAAGTGCAAACTGTTCAAAGGGCTTTAAATGATTTCAGACGACGAATAAGAGTCTTATCAAGCGAAACGATCGCTCATTAAAAATAAATAACAAAGTTTAAGTTTTATAAGCACAAACGGTCGCCTTGCTCTGTTCTGTGATGCGCGTTCGTGACTCTCCTGTTCGAACTCGTTCATCAAAATGAATGAATCTTTTCCCGAGTCAACTCGTTCATTTCGTTCGTTGGATGAACCAAATGACACTCACACACACACACACACACACAAATCCCTCATGCCAGTGGAGCTCAGGGTAATTGTGTCTGTTACCATAGCATGCAACATCCAGCAATGAGTGTGAGAGGAGTGTGTGTGGAGTCAGGAGGGCTGACACATCCAATATGTTTTAACACATACACACACAGACATAAATATGAGCAACAGGATATGATGTCACAGGCTCACTCTAATTTTTGAAGTCCATAACTTTCCCTACGAAATTATCAGGCACAAGCTTTGAAGTTTGTATTCAAGGTCAATCTGATCGGTCAAACATCGTTTTGCAATATTTACATTTATTTACAGGTATGCATTTAAAAACACTTTTATCCAAAGCGAAAAAAATAGGGGGGGGGGGGGTGTATTAGTCAGAGAGCTAACATTATTTGTGATAAACTATCCTAGGTTTATTAGATAACTGCATTAAGGAGGAACGCCAGTGACAAGGAGACACTAAACTAAACTTGTTACTTCACTAAACTGGCTAAAGTGTGTTCTGATATTATTATGAAATGTTTGTCCTCAGGGTTTGAGATTAACACCACATAACTGCGGGTAACGATCAGCTCGCGGGTCAAATCACGAGCCAGTTTGGCATTACTTATTATCTTTACTCACTTTGCTTGAGTAAGACAAATCATCATGATAAGAGTCATTGTGGTATATTAAATACAGCGTATTGCGCAAAATCTGCTCATATCTGGCTTACTTAAACCCACGTCACTACACAACAAATAACGGCGCGCTTGTTAATTTGCATTGAAGCAACAGCGAAGATTACATTTTTTTGATGTTCTTTGTCCACAAACACATTTGTGGTGTAAAGGAAGAAAGAGGAAGAGAGAAGATGATGGATGACAGGATTTTGTTTGAATAAGAAAGGAATTTTTGAAATCGAAATGTTATAATATATATAAGCTGTGGCTTAAGCCTAGTTCACACTACATGATTTTAAAACGTCGGGCTGAACTGTGCGGTTCACACTACATCACTTGCTCTCAGTGAAATCAGGAGTGTTCAAGTTGTTAACTGTTCACACCACACAACACAACGTGATTGATCCACAACAGGAGGTAACTCACTACACGAGTTGACAACGCACTGCATAGAGATACAACCACGATCGGATGATAAGAGCAGATCATTTGTGACTCAATGAGAGCTGTTTCAGTACTATGCTACGGTCTGAATCATGAAAATAATCAAATAAATAACGAGTTGACAACTTTATCTTGTCTATAAACCACGTTTTGTCACGAAAAAACACGCAGTAAATAAATAAATATTGCGCCAATTATACCCAGCGAAGAAGAGAACACAACACGTGAATATGGACGTCAGTATAGTGCTGCACACTGTTTGCGCGACGATCTTCTCTGAGGAAAAAAATGCAAAAAAAAAAAAAAAGAGAATATTTACCTGGTGTCCTCAACCCATGCGTTGCTATGATTGGCTGTACTCATGACATCACTGAGATTGAGTCGCGCGACTGCTCTGGATATCTAGCAGGCTAGATATTTTTCTGGGCTCGGCGAGGCGTCTGCGAGCGTTTTCGCTGCGTTGTTGGCTCTTTCATACTAACAGATTGGCAAGCGTTCTTTGTCCGCTAATCCCCCGCGATTTGCACGCGATAACACCCTGACCTGTCGGCGACTCAACGATTTGCAAATCGGGCTTAAAATCCTGTAGTGTGAACTTGGCATTAGGTAATAGATTTATTTCTTCTTTTTTCTCTCTCTTTTTTTTTTTTTTGGCTAGTAGACGTTCTGAATGGCTGGTAACGTAATGGTGCATTCACACCGGACGCGAATGCAAAGACACGTTACATGCGTAAAAAATACCTGTGGCGTGAATGAGGAGTAGAGGGCGGCACAGTAGACGCGAATACGCCTCGCGAATCGCGCGAATGGTGCGAATTGAGCGTCTGGCGTGTTACGCGCAAATGATTTAGTTAGTGCTATTTGTGCATTCACGCGTTTGACGCAAATTCGCGCCTGACGCCCGAGTTGAAAAAATCTGAACTTTGGCGAGGAGCCAATCAGGAGCCTAGCTGTTTGCTGCTGTCACGTGGTGAAGTGTCTGGATGCTTCAATAAATGATTTTGTAATATGAATAAATGCCTGGTGTGGTTCTAATGCACAACAAAGCAAATATTTTATCACTTAAAATTTTATTTCAATATACGAGACAAATGGTGAAACTCGCCAAACGGTTCGCCGGTTGACACAAATACGGCAACGATGATCCCCACGCCGCTGTTCTGCTCTCCAGAGCAAATACAGAGCGGTGACTCTCTCGATGAATGCTCGATCGACATAAAAAAGATGGCCGCCAACGGGTTTTGATTCTGACGCGCATTACGCGTAAATTTCGCTTCAAACTTTTGTTTTTACGCGCGTCACGCAAATTAACACAAAGTGGTCAAGCATCAAACAAGACACGGTAGACGCGAATTTTATGCACTATTCACCATTCAATTTTATGCACTAAACTTTAATAGTCAAATTGTGAGTAAGTTCATTTCCTGTTTGTCCTTACAATCTTTTATCAAAATGTAGTAACTTGAGCCAACTTTGTGGCCTTTCGTTTTCGTCTGACGTCACAAGTCCCTTTAATTTTTCAACCATTTGGCTCAGTTCTGGTAATAAACGCATACCGATCACAATCCAGCCAATCCCCACCCTTCATTCTCCCGATCACTCGGAAATATCACTGTCCGCGCCCAGCAAACACAGAACGTTCCCCTAACGTTCCCGAATGGTCTGATGAGGATATTTTTTTGGGAACCAAACAAGAACGTTATAGGAACGTTCCATGTAGGTTATTTTTAGGTTCCATTTTTATAACGTAAGGAGAATGTTCCGGGAACGTTCCCTTAACCTTAAGGGAAAGTTCTAGGAACGTTCTGGGAACCAAAAGCTAACGTTCCCAGAACCTAAATTTGTTTGCTGGGCGATTGCTGGAGAACAATGTTTGCATGTCGTAGTTTCTGGTGTGTTTTCTGTACTCACTGTATCTCCTGCACGGATCCAGCCACGCAGTGAAATCGTTCGGGGACCGCCTTCCACTCGCGGGCGAGTTTGACCATTCCTCCGGCGTCTAACACACCGTATCCGAACAGATGGTTGAACTCCAGGCCCACGCCGTTCCTCCTCCACTGGTGCACCTCGTCATGCAGTTTATTCCTCTTAGACGTGAGCACTGTCAGATGCTGCAAGTCCCGCCAGGTCAAGTTCGGACTGCAGGAAAACACACACACAAGAAGAAGAAGAAGTTTTATTTATACAGCACCTTTCTGCAACTCAAGGTCGCTTTCCATTGTATATTACAACACACCCAAGCACACATTGCAAACAAGTATATTTTATTACAACAGGAATACATTTTCTCATCCCTGCTGGATAATCTAACAAAACCTTCTCTGGTTGTAGTAAACATGGACTTGGAGGTCTTATAGTAGTCTTATATGTGCATCGGTTGCTGATTGGATGAGGAGGTGTGGGCGTGGCACTCATAAGTGTATGCAGATGAGCTTGCAGGGGCGGAGTTTAAGTGCACTAAATGATTGGAGAGAAGACTGATGTTTCATCACATCCAAGTATTACACTTTGATTGAACATTACTAAGTAAAAAAAGACGACCTTTAACACATGCATCGATGATGGTTCGGAATAAGATCTATAACATGCATTTAGAAATTATTAGTGTGAATTTTCATTTTAATGCTGATGTTAAAATAGAGGAAAACAAGTAACTTAGATCGAATTTTAACAATAATGCACGCATTAATGTTGTAATATTGTTGCAGTCTGGTCTGCATCTAGTTCCTGTGGCAATGGACTACTTTTTCTTAGCTGAACTCTTTTTTTTTATACCTGTGCATCCTGGTTAAAAAAACAACAACACCAAAATGTATTATTTCATATTAAGTATATACTTTAAATCCACTAAGATATTTATGGACTTACGGATATAAAATTATAATTAAACTTTATTTAGAGTGTTTCTTTATTGCACAATGCACATGTCCTAATATTACGGCAAAATGTGTTTTAATATCAGTATTAATAAGGATGGTTCTTTAAATACATAGTATTTAAAGTGTAGCATAAGTTTATTTGCAATAGTCCCACTTCAGCACAATCGAGTATACTTAAGTATATCTTTATTTGGACTTTGCATTACTTCTGCACAATTAAAGTGTATTTAAGTACGAAATGAGTTGTTCCAATTTAGCAGACTTCAAGCTTACGAGTTTAGTATACCAAAAGTACAATTGCAGGGAATTTTTATTAAGCACATAAATATGTAAATGTAGTATTCTTAGCACAAAATAAATGCATTGCAAATACACTTTAGTATTTTTTTTTTTTTTTTTTACTAAATACTAAAGTAGTAGCCTACTTAAAGTGTGTATTGTGAAACCTTGAAGCCTGACTGTATAAAACCCTTCAGCCATACTTCTTCAGGTTCGGCTCAGGTAAACAAACACATGCAAATGACCCTGCAGTTTACAATGCGTATTTGCCTCTGGCTGAACAAAGAGCCCTGCTCTTCTGCCGCCTACATCATTATTTAGCACTGAGCAAACACAAAGACTTTACACAGGGAAGGCCGTGTCAACAGTTATTAACACCAGTCCTACTGACATGTGTGAATGGAAGCAGAAATGATGTGGCGAAACTGACAAAGCTTTCTTAACCCAGTGTAATGAACCGGCCTTTATCACAATTGGTGTCCAAACTGAGTTCCCCTGTCGTGTGTGTTCCTGGACTTTTGTGTTATTTCATGTCTTGCTTTGCAGTTCTTGTAGGTTTAATGTTGATTACTCTCCCCAGGTGTGTCTCATTAGCCACGCCCTCTTGTTATTTTGTATGCTTGTCTGCCTGTGTGTGTATAGCCCTTTGTTTCCCCAGACAGCAAACTGACATTGAATCAACGTGGAAACGACGTCTCTCATGACATTGAAACAACGTTGATTTTGCTCATCGAATTAACGTCGAACCAACGTCAGACGCGGCATTCTTCAAAGCTAAATGAAAATAGAAAATTGGTTTGCTTTCATAACGTTGAAACAACGCGTTGATTTTCCGTTAGTTTTGAAAGAATGACGCGTCTGACGTTGGTTCAACGTTAATTCGATGAGCAAAACATTGTCAGATCAACGTTGTTTCGATGTCATATTTCCACGTTGATTCAATGTCAGTTTGCTATCTGGGTCACTTGTTCTCTATCAGTCATTGAATGGACATTCCCTGGTTGGTGTGTTTCACCTGGTTCTGTTTTCATGGGGATTTTAATAAATCGGCATTTGGATCCTCCTGCTTCTTTGCTTGTCTCAAATGTTAATGTCAAATATCTGTTTGGTTCCTAAAAAAAAATCACGCTCCTACTTTCCACAACTGGCCTTGACTCGGGCAAAAATCTGGGCAAAATGAGCTACATGCAGTATTAGTACCAAGCAAGGTATTTGATCTCTATAATTGTTGCAGTATGAGCCTAAGTTCCTTAGAGAGCCTAAGTTCGACCACCATGGGACCTTATTTCGGAAAAATATTGAATGGTAGTCAATGGCGAGAGACAACAAATATTTTGATCTGGTTTGAATTGTGCCCTGAGTTACAAACATGATGTTTGTCAATTTAAAAAATACATTTTAAAGTAAAGAAAGTCGCAGTTTGATGTAAAACTGTTGAGGTATAAGACTGTGAAAATACGTAATTACAAAGACTACAAACCCCAAAGGCGCACATTTTCTCTCAATGAATGAAGCTAACTTTACTGAGGCTGATGTCTGTCATTGTTTCTATAGTCTTACGTTATAATCGTAACGTTATGCCGTCATACCTGAGTGTTTTGTACCAGACTGCACACACACGAGCAGCGGATCTCGTTTCTCTTCCCGGGAGATGTAGTTCATAGAGCGATTTTCACATAAAACTAAATGTTACTCTTCTGTTTTATGACAAACTGCGTCGTTTTTGACTCTCAGAATTATATTTTAAATTGACAAACATCATATGTGTAATTGAGGGCACAGTTCAGACCGAATAAAAAGATAAGTTGTCTCTCGCCATTGACCACCATTCATATTTTTTCCGAAATAAGGTCCCATGAGCTGGAAGCGGAGGGGCGGGACTTAGGCTCTCTATATTCATTTTCGCAGCTCTATCTGTTCCTCCTGATCACTGAAGCTGCAGTTCCCTTTCTCTCTGATGGAAAAGAGCGAAGGGGCGTCGTCCATCTTTTTTTACAGTCTATGGTTAATACCTGTTCATGAGTGAGAGAAGACAGCCAACCCAGTGATACAAAAGCCAAGTCCTAAACCCTTCGAATGAGCCTGAAGCACCAGATACAGTCCAAATATGATGTGTTTCCTGGCATTCATTGAAAAATAGGGTAATTATTGGCTTGAACCAAAAGAGACTTTTCATTTCTTTTTGATGAGGCGATCAGCAATATTCATGCCAGCTCTTCATCAGGGTTAAGGGTTAAGAAATGAACAGTGATACTGGTGCCAGAGCCCAATCTCACACTGTACCACACATTTACGCTAAAGAAAAGCGGGGAGTATCTTTGTCACGTTGCTCCGGCTACTTTATTTATTCTGTTTATTTCAAGTACATTTAACTTATAACAGCTTATTCTGACTAGGGTTGGCTATCGAGAATCGAGTATCGATTGGAACCGGGACTAACTTTTCATTTTTCCCGGAATCGTTCAAAAGTTAAAATTTCGATTCGATTCAAAAAAAAAAAAATTTCGATTCCTAGTTTCGATATTCACAGTCCGCCGAGCGGAAGAAGAAACCGCTGAACAACACCAACGAAGAAGCGTCTACCGGAAGTGTTGGCATAACCGCGCGAGTCGAACATGAGTAGCTTACGTCAGCGGTCCAAAGTGTAGCTTCACTTTTCCAAAAATAACGAAATCTCGGCAAAATGCAAAATTTGTGACAAAAGGAGTATTTGTGACAGAAGGAGTATTTCCTTCAGAAAGACCGTTGGTTAGCAAGGTTAGATAAACTTTTTTGACCCTGCCTCTTAAAAGAATCGGAATCGAGAATCGTTGGGAACCGGAATCGAAACAAGGAATCGGAATCGGAATCAGAATCGTTCAAATTCGAACGATACCCAACCCTAATTCTGACTATCCATGTTTTCACTGTTTTACACATCTACTGAAAGAGTACACAATGTTCAGATCCAAAAAACAATTGAAGAAGAAGCAGAAACAAGCAATAGAAGCATTGCATATGCTCATGTAAGCTGACGTGAACGTCAAACACTCAAAAGCATATAAATCAAAACTCACCAACAATACTGAATGAGCAAACGACTGTGAAGCTGTTGATGGACTCGATCTACTCCATAATCGCTCTGAATCAGTTTCAGATTTGGTTGTTTTTTAAAATAAAAATGACTCACATTCAAGTATTGATAAAAAGAATGAAGGAAGCTAGAATACATCTTTTTTGTTTTTCGTTTAAAGTCTGTCAACTTTTTAAAACAGCACCGGTGTGGAAAGAGTTCAAAATCCAATTTCTTTAGATGCAATACGTTTTCAAAATGAGTAGCAAGAGCCAACAAATAAACATTCTGCATCATGTTGCTTTACAGGCAGGTTATGCAATAACTCTCAATTTACTGGGAATGCAGGTTTAGCTATATGGCATCAGCACCATTTTGGCGTCGAAAGGGTATCAATCATGCATGAGGCGAGGCTTTCTAAACCCAGAGTTGTGCTTGTGTTGCCGCTCTGACACAAACCTTGTCAGCAGTAATCTACGATCTCAGCCGGAGTCCGCCAGCGCCGTGTGTACGCAAGCTGCCTTATTGTTTCATAAATCTTTCATAGGGGCTCACTAATCTCACTACTCATCAGAGCTGTATGCTGGAAAACAGAAGTGTACATACTTGGCCTCCAACGCCAAGGCAAACACTCCGGCAGCCTCAGGGGCGGCGGCAGATGTGCCCGAATGACGCAGTGTGCAGTTTCCGTACAGATCCGTGGTGGCCTGGAGACACACAGACAAAGAGAACGTCTTAATTAAACATTAGTGCCAAAGATATGCTAATTACACTTTAAAAAATGCTTTTGATATTCTAATTCAGTTGAATTTGAGGTTGCAAACAGGATGCACATTTGCAACATTTTTTTTTTTTATTATTATTATACTTTTTATAGAGGCTAAAGGACTCATTACGCAATTAATCGCAACAAATCGCGATTAATCGCATCCAAAATAAAAGTTTGTGTTAACATAATATATGTGTCCTGTGTATAATCATTTTTATATATAAATACACACACATGCATGTATATATGCATGAAAAATGTATGTTGTAAATAACATATAAAATATTCGTATTTAAATATAATGCTCTTATAGTCTTTTCAAGGTTCCTGTTCCCCCGCTGTACCTTTCACCCACCTAGATAAGGCCCTTACTGCTGTTTTAGTCTCTACTTAAAGGGATAGTTCACTTTGAAATTAATTTTTGGTATGTTTTATCTTACCTCAAGGGCATCCAAGATGTAGGCGTCTTTGTTTCCACAGTATTTTCAATTTTGACATTTTTCAGTCAAACCGTTGTTGTCTATCAGTCATACACTGGAGGCTAAGGGGGTCCACCAAAAAGCATGCACAGAGAAGTCAAAATTAAACATGATTTAATGACTCGTAAATGTCCTAAGACACGAAACGAACGTTTTTTGTGAGAAAACGAACAGTATTTATTTCGTTTTTACCTCGTGTAATCCAAGTGATCTGAATCAGTTGTGCAATGTCCAACTGAACCGAACTGAATCAGTTCAATGTTACGCCGGAAGTGATCGCTTGCGTGTGACGTCACTCAATATTTACACGGAGATTTCGGAAGTTTTACCTTTTACTAAACATATTTAGATATACCGAAATCGTCTTCCATTGCGGTTTCCCGTATATCTAAATATGTTTAGTGAAAGGTAAAACTTCCGAAATCTCTGTATAAACAAAGAGTGACGTAGACGCACAAGCGATCACTTCCAGACCGAAGCGGCCATGCCGTCAGATCATTTTGTCATGGCTATGATTACAAAAGGTAAAACGATATAAATACTGTTTGTTTTCTTACACAAACCGCTCGTTTCGTGTCTTAGGCCATCAATGTGTACTTACATTTACGAGTCATTAAATCATGTTTAATTTTGACTTCTCTCTGCATGCTTTTTGGTGGACCCCCTTATTATCCTCCAGTGTATGACTGATAGACAACAACGGTTTGACTGAAAAATGTCAAAATTGAAAATACTGTGGAAACAAAGACACCTACATCTTGGATGCCCTTGAGGTAAGATAAAACATATCAAAAATTAATTTCAAAGTGAACTATCCCTTTAAGGACACAAACTGGTACTGAAATAAACTGGCCAAAACTGGCCGCACCGAAGGTCAGAGGTCCTGTCCCAAATGTTCCTGAAACATCACCCACAACCACAACCACGTACACATCTATATTTTACTCATTTAATGGGTTCAAAGGAAACACATGGTTCAGACTACCTAGTAATCTTCACTAATGATTAAAATTCCCACAACACTAAATAAAACAGGACCCAAAACTGACCCCTGAGGGACACCCTGACATTGAGGCTCTGTTAGAACACAAGTAGACAAATTGGGAACGATTTGAGAGATAAGATTGAAACCAGTTGAACACAGTTCCACAAATGTCCAATAATATGCTGTGACATATGGTATCAAATGCAGCGTTAAGCTCTAACAAAACCAAAATGCCACAAGCCCCAGAGTCAGACTAGACCCTGACTAGAGCGGTCTCTGTACTGTGTCCAGGTCTAAACCCGGATTGAAAAGATTCTAGTAGGCTATACGTACAAAGATGAGTACAGAGTTGGCCAACAACCACACGCTCAAGCACTTTTGCCAGGAAAGGTAAATTGGAGATGGGTCGAAAATTTGACATATCGGCGATATCACTCCCAGGCTTTTTAAGACCTGGTGTAATTTTTAAAGCAGAAGAGACATTCCCTGCATCGAGTGAAGCATTGACAATAGCAGTGATGTGGGGCGCGACGACAGGCAGACAGTTTTTCAAAACAGACCAAGTATTCAAGTAGTAGAATTCATTGACAAAACAAGTTTAGAAATAAAGTCCAAATCAACAGTACTGAAACTTGGGAGATTAGGTGGATGCACCTCAACAAACTCAACCTCACAGGCAATGGCGTTATAAATATTCTCAATTTTAGTTGAAAAATAATTGAGAAATGCATTACACTGCTCTGTGGTAGCACAGTTATATTACTCGGAGATTTAATTATTGACTGTTCGAAACAAAACTCTGGGATTTGAGATGAAACAGTTATTAGTTACTATCAAACATTAATCTATGAACTGCTACGCCTGATTTTTTATATTTCCGTTCCATCTGCCTGCCTAACGCCTTCATCCCAAACGGATAGCTGGAGCTGAAGGAAGGAGGACTACAGGGAACAGGAGGAAGTTGATGAAGGATCAGACATGGCAATGAAGATACTTTAGAGAATATTCAGGAAACAGGTACTGTAGGTAGCGTCTTTAAAACTAGACCAGACATTGAACTGGAGAACTCAATGTGCTTATATGTGGGTGTCGATGGAGGACTAATGACGTGCAGAGAATTCAGCTGACGGCGATCCTGGTTGGTTCCTGACATTGAGGTAATACACAGGAGGAAACAACCGTATTTGATGGATGGAAGTTTGTCCTTGTGACCAAGCAAACTATGAGCAAGCCTTAATAAAAGCAATGACATGAAAGGGTTTTCATGAAGGGAATTATTTTGTGCTTTGTTCTAGTTGACGTGGGTCTTATCTGTGTAAATATATTTGAATAAATACCATATTGTCTACGAAAAATGATTTTTCCTTTTTTAAGGAAAGTCGGGTATAACCTGAGATCACTGACATTGGAGGGACCAGCCACGAGGAAATGGATTAATAAACATAGCAAATTATGTTTTTTTTTTTAATGTAAAAATACAAAAAAGGGTCCAGGGGTAGGGTTAGTGTGTGTGTGTGTGTGTGTGATGGGTAGGTTTAGGGGTAGGGTTAATGTGAGGGGACCAAAAATACTGTTTGTACCCACAAAGAAACAGAGTTTTTAACATTTTAAACGCCTTTAACGGTTGCTGTCTGCCGCTTAGTTACACGCATCCCGTCACGGAAACTGATCTGTCAATCATCTTGTCAAATATAAAATCAAATAAAAAATATACATATTTAAAACTTTATAAATGAAAATATCTGACTTCCGGCAACGATCGACGTACGTTCGGTACGTTCACAGTCGATAGAAGTCGGCGTACGAGGTAGGACGTTAGCGTAATAAAACGTTGCGACGTCACAACGGATCCTACGCTACGTATGCCGACTTCCATCACACGTGAAGTTCGTGAACGTACCGAACGTACGTCGATCGTTGCTGGAAGTCAGATATTTTCATTTATAAAGTTTTAAATATGTATATTTTTACGACAATACCGCACGGATTACCCTCAGAAGGCCTTCGTTTATCCCACTGGAGCCGGATGGATTACTTTTGTGAATGTTGTATGCACATTTTTGGGACTCGAAGGAGCTGGACCCCATTTCTACACATTATATCCACTGAAGGGTCTAAGACATTTTCTAAAATAACTGAAAATGTGTTCATCTGAAACATGCATCTCGAACGGCTTGAGGGTGAGTAATACATGGGTTAAATATCATTTTTGGCCGAACTATCCCTTTAATGCTTTCCTGGTTGCGACGTCGCCAGCCCGTGACGTTCCGTCTCGCCATTGGACTAGTTGACACAGACGCAATGACGCAGAGGCGTTCCCAAAGCATCACAAGCCATGTTTCCATCGACACGTTTTTATCCGAATTAAGTGATATCGAATGAAAAATGCCTTATGGAAACAGTAAAATTCGATGAAATTTCATGAAAATCGACTCAAATGAAATACGTTCGGTCTCATCGGATTTTCTCTCGATCGATATACGGCTAATGCGATAAAAGCTGATGGAAACGTTATTTGCCGAATAAATAATGAATTGCGATTAAGTTTTATGCCCTTTTATGGTTGCAACACGTCAGAAGACGAGTTCATTTCCGGCCAGTCTGTTTGCGCACACATGGCGGATGTCAACAAAGACAGATGTAAGTGGACCAAGCAAAAAGATGCTTCAACCAAAGGGTTTCCGTGAACCACGATCTCCCAGAACGTTGTCGTTCCCACACCACAGTCGCCTCCGCTGTCGTCGGGCATACGTGCATCGGCATCATCATAGCGTCGCTGTTTTCTCAGGTTAGTTTTGCTTGTTTTTACGTGGCTTGGTTGAATTGTAATGTATAATGTGGTCTGTTATTTCTTGTTAACAGACTGCGGCGCTGCTAGTATAACACACCGTTGCCATATGGACGCAGTTCAGAGACGGAACAGACTATTTTCTTTAGCAGAAGCAATACTCGTTTTTAAATCAATAAACTCGTTTTTAAGTCAATATTTTGTGTCAATTTATTTATTTATTTATTTGGTTGATTTAAATGTAGGCTAATAAGCAGGATAATATATATAGCGAGCCGGTTGTTATAGCGAATACAACCCGTTCAACAACCGCCTCGCATACATTATCCCATACATATGTCGCTATCAGCTGGCACATAAGCATTATTAGCCTTCAACTTGTGAAATATTGATCATTTGTTGGTAGATGGCGCGATCCGTTTTGTCTAACAAAACTTTGTTCGCAAAAGTTTGCTTGAATGTTGTTCGATTCAGTGCGAAAATAAATGGAAACACCTTAAAATGTCTCAAATCAATTCGATATACCAATTTGATCGCAAAACAGCATGTGACGTCATTACGTACAGGTTTTTATTCGCTTTAAAGCCGTTGGATGGAAACGCACTTTCACCAGCTTTATCCGCATGAGTTTTTTAACCGAATTTCAGATAATTCGATTGACAAGTGGATGGAAACATGGCTACTGATGCAATTATGGTTACAGTCATAACCTGTTTCCATGTTTTATAGGGACTTTTCATAGACATAATGAATTTTATGCTGTTCAAACTGTATGTTCTTTCCACAAACCCCTAAACCTACCCATCACAGAAATAGTTTTTTGCCCTCATAATATAGGGTTTACCAGGACCACACACACACTCACAGACAAGTACTGTATACACGCACACACACTCACCACGCCAGCTTCAGGGTTTCGTTTACGGCCATTGCTGAAGGTGGAGGCTAGGGTGGAGGAGCAGCTTTCATCATAGAGTGCAGTGCGTCCATCGTTGATGGCCGAGTTAATGGAGATGGTCCACATGCTGGAGGCGTACCCATCGCAGTTACAGTCGTCATAGCTACCACCGTCTCCGGAGGCCCACACATAGATGCTGCCTTTCCCACCTCGGCCCTGTCGGACACGCAAAGCGGCACGATTAGCACTCGTACTCACGCCTGCTACTTCTCAATGAGGAGCGGTCGACTCTTTGATATTTTTCTGTAAGGGCCTTTGAGATTTACTCCGTTTATCATACAAATTACACTCACATAACCAAAAGTAATTCAACAGAGACATCAGAGAGGCGTTTCAAGACCTTTTAAAGACTACAAGCTCTGCTTTGAGTGTTGATGATTCAAGCAGAGGCATTGTGTTTACGCTTCTTGTCTGAACATATAATTTTAAATGCTTTTAGCTGAATGCAAGAGCGCTCTTTTCTGTAGGCTTTGGGTTTTATAGTGGCATGCACCTGACAGGAGGAAATTTGTACAGTGCAATTGTGATCTTAAAAGGTTGCTTGATTATTGTTATTTGGTTATTTTATCATGCAAGCACATTGATGACCGATTATGGTCTTTCGAGACATCTGGGCGCCAGCCTCTTTGGAGTAAACAAATAAGAAAATAAGACAGTGTCTTTACATTCTGCAATCGCTACAGAATATTTCTGAATTATGACTTTATTTTTTTATTTTTTTGATAATTGAGACTTTTGAAAAGGAATAATTTAGCTTCTGATAAGCCCAACTCTCTAGAGACTCATGCAATTGAGCCATTTCTCACGCTCTCATGCCACACCCCCGATTTCAACCTTGTCAACCCGGTCATTCAAATGCCAGAAAGATGAGATTAACTATAGATCTAGCTGTTGAGCCACTCGTGATTGACTTGTTTTACCGCAAATTAGTTAAAATATCCAGTAATCTAGAGCTTGCGTGTATGCGAGACAGATGTTGAGCTCCTAACCGCGCACGGCGGCAGAGAGATAAGCGAGCGAGAGACCTTGCGAGTGCAATCAACCCCCTCCCCCCTTCTCACGCCAAGCTAAACTAAAAAGTTGGCAGCTCTGAGCCCAACGTGAAATGTGACTAATAAACATGAATTGATGTAGTTTGCCGTATCTGCTAATATGAGAAATAAGTCTCAACAGTGTAATACAATAAAGTCACAATTACACACCATACTTTTAATACATTGCAAGGGTAAAAGCAATTTAGACATTTAGCATACTGCTTAGACGTTGATGAAGTCTAATTTGTTTTCACCCTCGCAATGAATTAAAATGTGGTGCGTAATTGTGTGGTGAGAAGCCGTTATTAGAGCTGAGTAAGGCTACGTTCACACTGCAGGGCTTAATGCTCAATTCCGATTTTTTGAAAAAATTCGATTTTTTTGCAAGGCCGTTCACATTTCCAATTAAATGCGACCTTTTGTGATCTCCTGTGTGAACGTGAAATGACCCAGAAGTGACCCGCATGCGCAGAAGAGTAATCAACGGTCAACGACGTCACTTGTTTTTTGCGAGCTTTTGTTTTATTATTATTATTGCCACAGCCTATATACAAACACAGACAACAATTGTTTTATCGAGGGGCAAAGTTTGCACATAAATGTACGATTTTTCCCATCCTCACCGAGGCTCGTCATAAAACCCGTTTAATTGATAGTGCGCGTCCGCGGCGCTCCTTGCTTTGTCACCGGCGGCCGCGGTGCGACACTGGTGGCTGGTGTTGCCAGATTGGGTGTTTTTTCGCTACATTTTAACCCTCCTATTATCCTTGGGGTCAATTTGACCCCATTCAATGTTTAACGTCTGTAAAAACATAATTTTATTTTTATTTTTTGCTTCAAATTTAATGACTTGTCCTAATTTAATGGGGACAACTCTGAAAACATAAAATTTACCTGCTAATATTTTTTCAAAGTCCTGTACAAATTTTGTAGCATCGGTGTTCCTTGGGGTCAATTTGACCCCAGGCTCTTTTAGTTGTATAATAAAACAGAAGAAATATTGAAATTTCACACACATTTGTTTTGGTTGTTATATTGAGGTCATTATAACATGTTATAATTTGAATTTATAATGTTCATTGTAATTTTACATATTCAATATCATTTTCAAAAAACGTCCCTCTGTTTTAGGGCTCTAACCAAACATAACCATATCTGTAGTATTGCGAGAACTACTAGTAGATCACATGACATGTGACATAATTCTCAAGATAACTAATAATTCTTCCCTGTGTATTTGGGAGGGGAAAACATCATTTTTGTGAGAACTTGGATGTTTCCCGTGCCATGGGGGAGGAGAAAACATAATTTTTGTGAGATTGACCCCAAACATAACTCGTGTTACTATCCTTGATAAAATAAATAGTTTTTATTTCCAAATTTTATAGATTACAAAAATCTATACTTAGAAATATTATAAAACAAAATAAAACACCAGATGTATTTATACTTTTCCAATTTTAGGTCAAATCAGTAAGATTTTATGTTGATTTGTAAATTTGTCCATAGTCGTACAATGGGTATTCTGGATGTGTAAGGGGTTAGGTGGGGTTAGGTGGGGTTAGGTGGGGTGGGGAGGGGGGTGGTGGGTGGATGTCAACTTAAAACGTTACTTAAGTAGTCAACAAAGACATAAATTAACTAAGACAAAACTTTGTAAAAAAAAAATACACATATTGTGGAGGTTTAAATTACTGGGGTCAAATTGACCCCAGAGGGTAAAAAGTGTTATCAGATTTGAGGGTAACAGGAGGGTTAAGGCATGTTTACATGTGTTTTAGCCAGGTTTTCGCCTGGAAGGCTCTATAGAAATCAATCTGGCACCCTATACAAAGTTATACTGAGAGAGAACGCACGTTCACAGACACCAGAATGAACGTGTTCACAGTAATGTTTATCAGGCAGTAATACAGTATATGAACGCGTTCAGGCACAGCACTGGGGAAGAGACACGTCTGCAGCGGCCCATAACAGTGCAGAAACGCGTTGGAGTTAGCGTGTATTGGCTAGCTACAGGTGCGTGCAATGACGTGCGGGTCGGATATATGTGACCTGGCCGTTCAGATTGAAGTCGCATTTCAAAAGATCGGATACATATCGGATTTGGACCACATACCCAAGTGGCCTGGGTCGCATTTGAAAAGATCGGATCTGTGTCGTTCAGACTGTCATGAAAAAATCAGATACAGGTCGCATAGGGGAAAAAAAATCGGAATTAGGTCGTTTCAGCCTGCAGTGTGAACGTAGCCTAAGTGCTTCAGACCAAGAACACGTGATTTCTTCAAAAACGTGCTTGGAATGACATTTCTGCAAAAGTTTCGTGACCTTTTGAAAGCTAAATGTTTAGTGAGTTCGGTTTTACCCAAAACAGATTAACTGATTTTATACAACATTGGTTATTGTACATATCGCTGCAGTTTGGAAATGAAATGTCCGGTTTGTAATTGTAAAGAAAGTAGCACCTATATTACTGTAAACCCTACCCTAAACTTAACCGCTAGTGTTAACAAAAGCAAACATGAGATTAAAATAAAATGCATTTTCTAAAGCAACCTTGTAACCAATAAGCCACACTGTAAAAATATTTTCAAGATTTGTTATCACAACATATTTTCTTTTGTCAAATCAACTTTAGAATAATTTATTTAGCTGAGATAACTTATTATTTTGAGTTTCTAATGATTAAATTAATCTCCGTCATTGTATTAACTCACTTTTTCCAGTTCAATCAACTTAAAATTTTAAGGCAACCAGGTTACTTCATTTTTTAAGTTAAACCAACAATATTTTTTTTACAGTGGTAATCACAACATTTTTTCTTTTGTCAAATCAACTTAAATAATTTATTTAGTTCAGATAACGTATAATTTTGAGTTTGTGATGATTAAATCATTCTCCTTCATTGTATTAACTCACTTTTTCCAGTTGAATCAACTTAAAATTTTAAGGCAACCAGGTTACTTCATTTTTTAAGTTAAACCAACAATATTTTTTTACAGTGGTAATCACAACATTTTTTCTTTTGTCAAATCAACTTAAATAATTTATTTAGTTCAGATAACGTATAATTTTGAGTTTGTGATGATTAAATCATTCTCCTTCATTGTATTAACTCACTTTTTCCAGTTGAATCAACTTAAAATTTTAAGGCAACCAGGTTACTTCATTTTTTAAGTTAAACCAACAATATTTTTTTACAGTGGTAATCACAACATTTTTTCTTTTGTCAAATCAACTTAAATAATTTTATTTAGTTCAGATAACATATAATTTTGAGTTTCTAATGATTAAATCATTCTCCGTCATTGTATTAACTCACTTTTTCCAGTTCAATCAACTTAAAATTTTAAGGCAACCAGGTTACTTCATTTTTTAAGTTAAACCAACAATATTTTTTTTTACAGTGGTAATCACAACATTTTTTCTTTTGTCAAATCAACTTAAATAATTTATTTAGTTCAGATAACGTATAATTTTGAGTTTGTGATGATTAAATCATTCTCCTTCATTGTATTAACTCACTTTTTCCAGTTCAATCAACTTAAAATTTTAAGGCAACCAGGTTACTTACTTTTTTAAGTTAAACCAACAATATTTTTTTTACAGTGGTAATCACAACATTTTTTCTTTTGTCAAATCAACTTAAATAATTTTATTTAGTTCAGATAACATATAATTTTGAGTTTCTAATGATTAAATCATTCTCCGTCATTGTATTAACTCACTTTTTCCAGTTCAATCAACTTAAAATTTTAAGGCAACCAGGTTACTTACTTTTTTAAGTTAAACCAACAACATTTTTTACAGTGTAGTAATCACAAAATTTTTTCTTTTGTCAAATCAACTTAAATAATTTATTTAGTTCATATAATTGAGTTTCTGATGATTAAATCATTTTCCTTCATTGTATTAACTCACTTTTTCCAGTTCAATCAACTTAAAATTTTAAGGCAACCAGGTTACTTACTTTTTTAAGTTAAACCATCAATATTTTTTGTAAATCTTAATACATTATATATAACACATAGCCTAATCAGCACCCAAGCGCATGCATAAAGCTTGTCACAGCGCACCTGCAAAGTGATGATTATGAATGTGTCGTGCAAAAACAGCAAGGAGACTCTCTGAACATTTTGATCATTTATTGATAATGTTTTCTGTGTTTTCAGCAGCAGAGATCAAGTGAACGTTGGATTGCATCATCTGAGAATAGTTGTTTCCGGTACGGTACCCTTGGAACCTAAACAGAGGTGGTACCATTTAAAGCGAACCTTTTTACACATCCCTTGACTTGACTGACTCTCCATCTGACTCTCTGTTCTCTTCCTCTCACACTCTTTATGAATGGAGACCCATCCGCTAAACTCTGGAACAATTACATGTAGCTGAAACAGATGTTTAGTGTGGGAGGGAGAAAATTCCCTGCGGACGAATGAAGGAACAGAGGCGTCTGTGCGGATATTCAGTGTAATGGCATTGACTTCAATATGGACATATTGTTATATTGTTCAAAGTCCCTATAAGGTTCTGGTCTCTAGATTTGATGAAAAATGAAAAAAGTCATTCATTTTTGGGTGAACTATTCATTTAAATTTATATGTGTAATACTGGTTATGTAAATCATTTGGACTTTATGTTTTTGGACTTTCATTCCAAAGGGTTTAAAAGAAGAACAAGAAGGCTGTCCATCATCCATGCAGACATGGATTCTCTGTATTTTGAGCATAATCGTGTCGTGTTACAAGGCCATGACACAGAGGTTGAAAGACTAGATATAACACTGCAAAAAAATGATTGTAGAAACAGTTTTCACTTTGAAATTGCAAGTAAATTTCACAATTGATTATGAAGAAATGAAAGTAAAACATTGAATTAAACAGAGATTTGATGTAGACAGAATGTATTCAAATAGTCCTTATGTTTAACGAAATACCCCATTGTACTTGCTGTATCCTAACCACAATTTTTGACCGTCAATCTGAAATGATTTTGTGGTAATCAAAATGCAGTTACTGATATTAAACCAGAGCATTACAACACCAGCATCAAAACCACAATGCTGAACAGTCTCTGGCATTTCATTAGCACTCTCTGTGCTATCCTACATAGAAATGAATGAAGTGTTTGCCGTCTGACCCTTAAAATGATTAAACGGTGTTCAATATTACTCCGGGGCTCAACCTCGGCCCTCTCTAACTGCACCGAGAACGCCTGCGGGACAGACCGAGTCTTCACCCATCACTGCTATTCTTGTCCAATCTGATTTCAATTGCAAAGGGCTGTTGAAAACACAGGGAGATTACTCTCTGCGATGGCTCGTCTTGACAGATGGGTCACCCTCATAAATCCTGCTCAGCAGAGGAACGCTCAGCGACATTTATACCCATTAGCCGAGGCAATTTGTGAAGGCTCCAGTCACGGACAGGGGACACGCAGCTAAATGACATGTAGTGTGAAGCAACGAGACTCTGCAAGGCTGACAACTGACATACGGTGGGCCCTATATTAAGGATCTAAGCTCATGGTCTAAAGCAGTGTTGTAGTCGAGACCACCTCACTCGAGTCCGAGTCGAGACCGAGACCAGTGAGGGTTGATTACCTAATTTACTTTTATTTACTTAGAGAAATCCTTTTTTTTTTTTTTTTTTTTTACTGAATTCACTTAGAGTTTTAAAAAAAGACCAGTTATGGGTAAAAAGGCCACATAGTAGGTGGTGTTAAAAGTAATTTTATTACAATTTGTCATGCGCAGTTGCGCACTAGAAAATCACCAATCACTGGGCGTGTCAATCAATTTAAAGAAATATTTTATTAACATACATTAATAATCATGAAAAATATTTTGAATTGAACACGAGTGGACTCGGGAATAAGTCCGAGTCCTAAAAAAAAAAAATGTTCGAGTACGAGTCAATTCCGAGTCCAAATGCACACGAGTCCATGACAAGACCAAGACCATTAAAATATGGTCTCGAGACCGAGTCCGAGTACTACAACACTGGTCTAAAGCACACGGCGCAAGTGCACTTAGATCAGTCCGAATCCACTTTTGCTAGTTTAACAACGGGGAAAATGGTCGCCGTTCCCGGCGCATGATCTAAAGGGGTCCCTAATCTCTTAATGAGCAATGGGTGTGTGTTGTCTATATTCTCATAATGAGTAATGGGTGTGTTTTGTCTAATTTTACAAATTCTATTAGTTAGCAGTGTTGGGTGTAACTAATTACTAAGTAATTAGTTGCTGTAATTTAATTACTTTTCCCTTGAAAATGTAAAGTAAGGGATTACTCTTCATTTATCTGTAATTAAATTACAGTTACTTCTGATGTAATTGAGGTAAATACTGTGTATAGATCAATCCGATCTCACAGCGATTCGTATGCGTTTTATGAGGTGTCTAATGGCACTCGTACAAATTCGTATGAATTATTGTAAAATATGTATGGAAAAAGTGTGAAATGTCATGACATAAAACAATAGTGGGTTTAACATCAAAATGTATTGTCTGATGCTAAAAAGTATGTTTTTATAATGTAACCTTCTGGTCAGTTTAAGGATAATTCATGCAATTTTATAGTATTTATTTGAAAGAATTAAAACAGATTCATGTTTATCCTTGTATTATCCAGCTGGTTGAGATTGATATGGGATTTTGAAAGTAATTAAAAGTAATTAAATACTTTTTAGAGAGAGTAATTCGTACAGTAATCTAATTACACTGTTGAAGAGGTAATTAGTAACTAGTAATTAATTACTTTTTTAGAGTAACTTACCCAACACTGTTAGTTAGAGTTCTACAAGTTAATCTGTTTTTTTATTGAAGCTAAATCTGAAAAATACACTAATATTTTCAGAACTATGCAATTATTTGCCATCTGGAAATGCCAAATGTTTAGTTATGTTAGTTAATCTGGTTTTATATTGAAGCAGAACCTCTAAATACACTGATATTTTCAGAAGTGTGCAATAATTGGTGTTGCAGTTGATCTGAAGTGGCAGAGCGACCAGATGACTCTGAACTCCAGGTTTTTATCTGATTGGACCAGATGTTACAATTCTGTTCCTGTCTAGCTTTTCTTCACTCGTTTCTCCACAGCGGCGGGCGATTCATGAGGGAATCCCGTTTGCTATGCTGCAAGAAAACTCAGTTACACTTTATTTTAAGGTGTCACTGTTACAATGTAATTATACACTAAATTACTGAGTAATATTAATTAACTGCACGTGATACTATAGGGTTAAGGTAGGATTAGGATTAGGATTTGGTTGAGGGTTAGTTGCATGTAATTAGGCATAATTTACTGTTATTACTGTAATTAATGTAACAAGGACACTGTAAAATAAAGTGTTACTGAAAGCTCTGGCTTTTAAAGGGATGGTTCACTTTGAAATACATTTTTGGTGTGTTTTATCTTACCTCAAGGGCATCCAAGATGTAGGTGTCTTTGTTTCCACAAAAGTTTCAATTTTGATATTTTTAGGTCAAACCGTTCTTGTCTGTCAGTCATATAATGGAGGTCTATGGTCACCACCTCATAGAGCATGCACTGAGAAGTCCAGATTAAACATGATTTAATGACTCGTAAATGTAAGTACACATTGATGGCCTGAGACACGAAACGAGTGGTTTGTGTGAGAAAACAAACAGTATTTATATCGTTTTACCTCTTGTAAACACATCGGAGGGTGTGGATGCTTTGTGGCTGTGGTAATAAGAGGTAAAAGCAAGGTAAAAATAAATACTGTTCGTTTTCTCACACAAACCGCTCGTTTCATGTCTTAGGCCATCAATGTGTTCTTACATTTACCAGTCATTAAATCATGTTTAATTTGGACTTCTCAGTGCATGCTTTTTGAGGTGGTGACCATAGACCTCCATTATATGACTGACAGACAAGAACGGTTTGACCTAAAAATATCAAAATTGAAAATACTGCGGAAACAAAGGCACCTACATCTTGGATGCCCTTGAGTTAAGATAAAACACACAAAAAATGTATTTCAAAGTGATCTATCCCTTTAAACAGGCCTGCGTTTGCTCCGGTACCTTATTGACTCCGTCTGCCATGGCCTGAAGGGTGAGCTCGCGAGGACCGTCCACTGTTTTCCCATCATCCGTGGGACCCCAGCTGGCACTGTAGATGTCAATGACCTGAGGCATGTGGCTGATGGAAGACGCCTCAATGATGTCCGTCATGAAGGGCTGGTCCAGCATACGAATGCCTGCAAAAAATGGCAAGACTGAGAACATGGGAGCAGTAGGACGCTCTATTCATCATGATCATCATGGAGAGATAACTGGAGGGGGAGAGAGAGGGAGATTCACTGGTGACATATGGAAGAAGAAGCGGAGGATAATAGCTTTGGTACTGCGTCAAGCACTTCATAAGTTTTAATCTTAACTTTGCCCCCTCTCTCTCTCTCTCTCTTCTGACAAACTTGCAGTAAAGAAGAAAATAAACTTCCCTGCTGCTCTAGCTGGTGAAATATCATGCAATGCTTGGCAAGTAAAGGCCCAGATATACTCAAAGCAAAGTTCTTTTCATTCTTTACTAAAATGGTTAATTAGAAGTTTGTAAGGTGTTTGCGAACATCCCGAAGCATTCACAATGCGGAGAGTGATGTTGAGATGAATATGTAAAAATGTGTTGTGCTCTTTCCTCTCAATAATAGAATAAACACACAACAATAAGAAACCAGCGGTTCAGAAAGCATCTGATCATAGTGATGTGGAGTCACCTCACATTTAGATTTAAAGGGATACTCCACCTTTTTTTTTTTTTTTTTTTTTTTTTTTTTTGGAAATAGGCTAATTTTCCCACTCCCCCAGAATTAAACAGTCGGGTTTTACCGTTTTCAAATCCATTCAGCCGATTTTCTGATATTTAGAAGAATATCCGAATCAGTTTCTGGTCTCATTGACTTCCATAGTAGGAAAAAAATATACTATGGAAGTCAATGAGACCAGAGATGTATAGTAACAAAGTAGAACTACTTAAGTACTAAAATGCTGTATCTGTACTCTACTAGTATTGTTTTTTTCTCATACTTCTACTTTTACTTCAGTAGATATTTTCGATGAGTTTAATACTTTTACTTCGATATTTTTTGAATGTTCTGCTAGTTACTCGTTACAATTACAAAAATTTTACGAATCATTCGTTGCAAGTTGGCTTTCATGCTGCCTAAATCACACCAGTTTTATAGGGTAATGGTATTGCTTGACACACACATTGACAACTAATGCAGGGGTTGTCCTAAAATGGCCGCCAAAGCAAATTTGTATTCCGCCAAAGCGCCTTATTTGATTGTTCAAACTTTTGACTGCTTTCTTTAATAATTGCATGACACAATACTTGTACTACTACTTTTAGTACTTAAGTAGTGAATTTTAAAATAAACTATTTGCAATACTTAAATACAAAAAATGTTGAATACTTTAGTACTTCTACTTAAGTGTGGAGCTTAAAGAGCACTTCAACCTTCTACTTAAGTCACTTTTTTAAAAGAGCACTTGTACTTTTACTCAAGTCCGGGTTTCTAGTACTTTATACATTTCTGAATGAGAAACAGTCTGGTTACTGATATTCTTCTAAATATCGAAAAATTGGCTGAATACATTTAAAAACGGTAAAACCCAACTGTTTAACTCTGGGGGAGTGGTAAAATGAGCCTATTTCCAAAAAAAGTGGAGTATCCCAGTTTAAAGCAGCAGCTTTACAGTATTAAACATAACAAACTGTGTCACTGTCTCTTTGAGTTAGAATCACAGCTTCAGTTTGTGCTATAAAGCGGCTCTCCAGTGCGTTTGTGTTTTTACTCGCGTCTGACCTCGACGAAACAAATGAATCGGAGATTTTGTTAAAGAAGGCGGGGGCTCAGGGCCACACCCACCTATTATGTAAACGCCACGGTCTAATGGGAGTTCAAATGAGATTAGCAGCTGGACCAAACTTTTATGGAAAGTTCATTGAGGCAAACTGTTTCGAACTCCAAACGAACTTTGTTTTGTTCTGATTTTGTTCAAAATGACGTCACACCAGTTTAAAGTAAATATCGGGACCTTAACGCTGGCCACCAGCATGATCTCTCTGGTGAATCTGCTTGACCGAGGCTAGTTAACTCTTTACACATCTCCTGAAAGAGGACAGAATCTCCTGATCAAAAACACAGGAGAAGAAGCAGAAACAAGCGATACCATATGTAATCACATGCATGTGTAAATCATCAACATTAAACAGCATATGAATCAAAACTGCCTAAATGTGGACCCAAGACGAGCTGTAGGAGTGTGAAGCTTTGAGGTGTCGATGGACTTGATCTTCTCAATCTGTGTTTGATCATCGCTCTAAATCCCATCCGGATGCCAAAACCCCATTTTCTCAGCGTTTTGCTCAAAGTGTTGCCTTTTTTATGAAACTTATCAAGTGTTGATTAAAAAGGAATGCATGAAGCTTGAATAAAATGGGTTTTTGTTTAAAAACAGAGGATGTTCTTTATTTTGATACAGTATATTGTATTTTTCTAAAAATCCTAAATATTCTGGGGGTCATAAAAAATTTTGTGTTGAACAAACCTGGCAGTGGCTGGCAACTTTTGCCAAAACGCTGGTGGGGAAAGAGTTAAAAAGTCTGAGATGGAGACCAACAGTGCTGGCCAACTTGTGCTGGTAACCAGCAGATCTTCAACAGGCCACACGAGCAGCACCAAATCAAGCTTGTTACTGTACGTTTAAATATGCCTTTTCCTGTATATCTGCACAGGTTTAAGCCTGAAGCTCTGTATGAATACACTCTAAAAATACCACTACTGTGTATCATAAGACATCGAACATGTGAAACCTTTAATACTGACCTTTTCCTAAAAGGTGATTATAAAACATAGCAAGTGGTGAGACTAGAGACACTCGATGTGTGTGTGTGTCCTTTGTAAGGGACAAAAGCTAGACAAGATATTCACTGGCAATTAGTGACTCTCCTTTACTTTTGTGGCCTTTTGAAAAGAAAAAAACGAATCAATGTGCTGCAGTGCGTAAATTATGTTTTTATTGATGCTGATGTTTGTGCCGAGGGGAAGGGTAAAAGTTATCGATATGATAAAGATGATTTTCCCGAAAACAAAGGGATCATTCATCATAGTTATTCAAAGCCATTCATTATATTTATCGACTACACAGAACAAACCTGATAAGGAAAAAATGCGTAGAAATTATTTACATTGTCTTGAATCTTGATAGTATCCAAACATATTAATACGAATATTTTATCTGAATTTAATTGGCTTCTTGATTGTAATTTGAAACTCTATACACTTTAGCTCTATACAAATAAATGTCAATTGAATTGGGATGAATGTTCTTGGTACTTCAGTAGGGGTTTGACGAGACACTTAGCTCATGAGACGAGACAAGAGATTGGGTTCATGCACTCTCAGAAAAAAAGGTACAAAAGCTGTCACTGGGGCTGTACCTTTTCAAAAGGTACACTTTTGTACCCAAAGGCTGCATATTGGTACCTTAGTGGTACATATTAGGACCTAAAATGTACATATTAGCACCTAAAATATACATATTAGGACCTAAAATAGACATATTAGCTCCTGAAATGTACATATTAACACTACAAATGTACATATTAACACCTAAAATGTACTTGTTAGCACCTAAAATGCACCTATTAACACTTAAAATGTACTTATTAGCACCTAAAATGTACATATTAGCACCTGAAATGTACATATTAGCACCTAAAATGTACATATTAGCCCTTGAAATGTACATATTAGCACATAAAATGTCCATATTAGCACCTGAAATGTACATATTAACACTTAAAATGTACTTATTAGCACCTAAAATGTACATATTAACACCTAAAATGTACATATTAGCACCTGAAATTTACCTATTAACACTTAAAATGTACTTATTAGCACCTAAAATGTACATATTAGCACCTAAAATGTACATATTAGCACCTGAAATGGACAAAAGTTTACCTTTTGAAAAGGTACAGCCCCAGTGACAGCTTTTGTACCTTTTTTTCTAAGAGTGTGAGAGCGCGACGAAGTGACAAAAATGACAAAATTCATGAATGGAAAATAGTCTGCAGGTGCATTTTGTTTTAACAATCGTCTTGTAATGAATGTAATTTCCGTTCTACTTTACGAGTATGAATTATCATGTGAATTGAAAAGACAACAATATACAAGCACTGTAAAATGTTCTGCCACAAACTCAACAGACTGGAGACAGGCATCAGGGAGCTCGCATTTTACTTTAGAATTGGAGATCGCACGTAATCTGTGCATAGACGGAGCGGTGGCGCTTACAAGATAAGACATTCATCAGACGCTTGCACAACGAATTTCCCACCATGGTCAGCCAATATTTCAATATTAACATGAGTGGAATAAAGAAAGTGTTTATTCAGAACGGTAATCACACACTGCTTTATTTACAGTAAGTGTACAGTATCTGCAGTGTTGCAGAAATAGACAGTTGCCTCATTTACACGCCGGCGCAGAACGCTAACATGCTAACTGACAGTCGGCTTTCATCAGCGCTAGTTCGTCGGCTTGGCTTTTTTATTTTCCCATTATCTCTTGTCTAGTATTGTCAGTGTACCCTATATTGGTGAGTTGTTTTCATGGTTATGTTTTTGACGAATCTTTGTTTGGCTCACATTGGATTATTGTAAATAAACGGCACATGGGTTCAGCTGCAACTCGCCTCAGTGGACGTTTGTGATAATAATGCATCACAAAGAACAAGGATACAATATTCAACGCAGATAGTGCGCACCAAAAGCCTATTGTCTGACTTGACAGCTCTGGTTCGTCCCTTGACGGCTAAGCCTACTCTCAACTACTTCCAAGGCAATTTCCTTGACATCTCCAATAAGACTTTGTTAGGAACATTGATAACATTGTATTCTTATGGTCCCCTTTAGTCATTCTACCAACCATAAGTAACTTTGCATCTATGTCAACTAGCAGTCATTAGAGTATTAGTAGACTGACTGATTAATATCTGCTTCTGCTAACACTTTATTTTGATGCTCCCCAACAGACTATAAGACACTTTGCAGGTACGTCAGATTATTCTACTAAACCCAACCTAACAGTCTTCTAATACTCTAATGAGAGTTAGCCGACATGTACAGTGGTGTGAATAAGTTTTGGCCCCCATGCTAAAGTTGCCTAAAAAGAGGAATAAAAAATCATCTTTTGGATATTGATCTTAATGCCTTAATTAGAAAAATGAGGAAAATTCCAACCTTTAAGGACACCAATTTTCTTTGTGAATGAATAATGTGTCATAAATAAATAAATGTTTTTCCTTAAAATACAGGGTGCATAAGTCAGGACACCCCTATGTTAAATTGCCATTTTTATTTTTAAAAGCCAGTTATTTCATGGATCCAGGATAATATGCATCCTGATAAAGTTCCCTTGGCCTTTGGAATTAAAATATCCCCACATCATCACACACCTTCCACCACACCGAGAGATTGACATGGTTTTACTTCAGTTAGCCTAATAGCTGGTTTGATTTGCATTGAAAGATGACCTTATGGAAAGTACCCCATGCCAATCTCTAGGTGTGGTGAATGGTGTGTGATGATGTGGGGATATTTTAATTCCAAAGGCCAAGGGAACTTTATCAGGATGCATATTATCCTGGATCCATGAAATAACTGGCTTTTAAAAATAAAAATCTGCCTGGCTCTATGGGAATTTAACATAGGGGTGTCCTGACTTATGCACACTGTATTTTAAGGAAAAACATTTATTTATTTATGACACATTATTCATTCACAAAGAAAATTGGTGTCCTTAAAGGTTGGAGTTTTCCTCATTTTTCTAATTAAGGCACTAAGATCAATATCCAAAAGATGATTTTTTATTCCTCTTTTTAGGCAACTTTAGCATGGGGGCCAAAACTTATTCACACCACTGTATTTGCATATTAATAAGAGTTAGTTGACATGTAATTGCAAAGTTACTTATAGTTACCCAGATAGAAAAAAAACTGACATTGAATCAACGTGGAAACATGACATCGAAACAACGTTGATCTGACACTGTTTTGCTCATCGAATTAACGTTGAACCAATGTCAGACGCGTCATTCTTCAAAACTAACGGAAAATCAACTTGAAATCAACGTTGTTTCAACGTTATGAAAGCAAACCGATTTCGATTTTCATTTAGATTTGAAGAATGCCGCGTCTTAATTCGATGAGCAAAACAATGCCAGATCAACGTTGTTTCGATGTCATGATTTCCACATTGATTCAATGTCAGTTTGCTGAATGGGTAGGAGAATGTCTTCTAAAGTGGAACTGTCTAAAGTAACCAGAGCTTTACATTTATTACGAGGTCATCACTGTAAACAACCTATCAGAAACGTACCTGCTACCTTGGAGTTGTAGGCCACGCCCACCCCACAGATGTTGTTGTTTGAAACCGCAGACACCTCACCAGCACACCTGGTTCCATGACTGAAAAAAACAACATTCAGAGATGTCTAGAGTTACATATTTTACAATGATTTATGTAATTTAACAATGAATCCAACAAGTTATCCGCTAAAATTCGCTTATTTAGCTCTGCACACATTCAAATGTGTTGAATACGTATCTGGTGGTACTAAACAACAATGTGTCAAGTTGGAATCTATGAATGAAAATTGAAAGAGCAGAGGATAAGACTTCCAATAAATAACCATAATGCAATTCTGTTCATCACCCAAATAAACTGTACATTGAGATAAATTAAAGCCATTATTGACAGGATCTGTGGCTCTATAGTGAGCGCACGGCGATGGAGAATTAAAGAAAAAAAAATTAAAGAAAGAAGAGCTGGTGGCGCATTGGATAAGACACATGCCTTTGGTGTGAGAGAACCGGGTTCGAATCCACTGTGAGACACCAATGTGTCCCTGAGCAAGACACTTAACCCCTAGTTGCTCCAGAGGTGTGCGACCTCTGACATATATTGCAATTGTAAGTCGCTTTGGATAAAAGCGTCAGATCAATGTAAATGCATGCGTTTTAAAGCCATATCAGTCTAAACTTCTGATATATGGTTTTCTGAACCACACAGTGGGTCCTGTGAATATTAAACTAAGTTCTCTTAACATCATCACACAAGGTTATGTCTGTGAACGTAAACAGCAGGAAAATAAATAATACCTGTATACTAGGTTTATTAAAGTGAAAGCAGCATAATATACAGTACCTACTGCTGTTCATATGAATCACTCAACAAAAGTTAACTGAATAACTTTAGTAGCTTTAATAAGTATAGATTTCCTACTTGTTTAACGCTCTGGTGACGAGATAAACATGGACTATGTAGAGCTCACAGAGGGCGGAGTCTATGCTAATAGGGCGGAGTCTGTTAGTGCTCTTGGGCGGGGCCTAAGTATATGTGATGTCACTGCTAGAATCTGCAGCTTATTCTGAGACACTGCTTTGATTTATGGGATTTTTATCATTATAGGGTGGTTATGTACACACACTGTGGCACATATTTATGTTCAAACACCAAGTGAATTTTGCATAATTGGTCCCTTTAAGTAAATGGAGTCATTGATGTTGAACCTTGCTCTACTTCAATATCAACCCATAAATGTACAAGACAAGCTTCTAGAACGGCGAATCCTCAGGAAGAGCCCGGCATGAGGCACAGCGATGGTTCCCTCCTCTCCTCCACTCAGACATCAGTGCTGCTATTTATATATATACGCGTCTGATGGTGATGCTGTGAGTCTGCAGCGCAGATGATATTACTCTGCTCTCACCGCACGCTGAACAACACAAGAGGATCTTCTCGACATCTATTAGATTGTGTCTGTCCTTGATGCGTACTGTAAAAAACATCAATTATGCCAAGGTTTAACTACTATCTTTCTGCAAAATATCCTATTCAGATTTGTACTATGAAATCAATTCAGGATATGACATTTTCTGTGTTAACTATGGACACCTAAATACTTTTGAAAACCGGCTAATCTGCGGATGGATCGGTTAGAAGAAAGCCTGTATAAGCTAGTTTTTACAAACGTGTTTATCAAGTCTTGCATCTTAAGTCTGGTCATAATTCAAGCAATGTTTTGGGTTTCAACACAGAAAATGAATAATGTTTTATAATCAACGATTATATTAGTATGGGTTCTCAATCAGAAAACCACATTTATATTAAAGTCCCACTTGAATGATGCGTTGACGTTATTTCCACTGAAACATGAAGCTAAGGCGGGACTTATTGAATGGCCCCGCCCCCTTTTCAAATAGCCAATAGCGTTTAGTTTCCCTCACAGACTGACAGCGCCATGGAAGTGAATCAAAGCACGGATGGATTCAATAATAGAAATGTGAATAAATTCTAGCCATTTCATTCTTAACCAACAAAGAGTTGGAACACACACTCCAACACACGTTGCTTCGGCCAGATGGTGTTTATAGCAGAGGGGGCGGGGCTTATAACCTTATAATAAGGTTTAATCAGTGTGTTGAAAATATCACATGGGTCTCTACAAGAGCAGAAGAGCTTGTGTTCGGGTGAATTAAAACAAAAAAAGAGTAGTTGTGACTCTTTTTCTAGGAATTGCAAGTTTCCATCTCACAGATCAGAGGATAAAAAGCAGCAATTGGGAAAAATAAATTTGTAATTGCAATGAAAAAAAGACAAAATTGCTAGTTTATGTCTTCCAATTTGAACTTTTATTACTTGCAATTATGTATTTATATAGGCTACACCTTTCTGCAACTGCAACTTATAAAGTTTGAATTGTGAAATTAAAAAGTCGCAATTATTATTTAGTTTTATTCCCTGGTGTAAACAAGCTTCCATATTTCCAGAAATCTGTTTCATAACCGTTTTGTCTTTCGCAAGTGGTGCAGAAATGACATGCAATATATCTGAGCCTCAATCTTTTGAGAAATTGAATCAATTAAGAAACTAATGAACAAAGAAAAAAATCATCTTTTGTGAATAAAGTGAGTCGACGAGTGCATTTTACTGCTAATGTAATGAAGTGTCATTAAATTAGGCTTTTTTAAAACATAAATGCTTGGAAGTTTAAGTGCTTTCTTAACGTTTGTGAACGCAAATGCTTTTAGCCGCCAGCTCACGTGTGTGTGTGTGTGTGTGTGTCGCTGCGTTGTGTGTGTGAGTGCACACAATTACTGTATGTTACACTGGACCGTATTGAATGGTGAGATTTGTGTTTCTTTCTTGTCCACACACAACACCCTTCCTCACTTATTTGTTCTGGTTCATAATGCTCAGCAGAGAAGACGATCCAATGATTTACTCATACATTGATTCGAGTATTAAAACTACATTAATGATTGTTTATTGTAATGTGAAATCTATTGAGTGCCGAGTCATTGATCAGCCCCACTGGAGGTGGTTTTCCTCGTAATCTTCAGCTCAGGCATTGCTCGGAGAGGAGAAGGAAAGGCTCATCGCGTGTGTTAATGCAGCTGGGCTGAGAGCCGGTGAGAGATGGCTTAATGCGGTTACGTGTCAGGAAAATCAATACAGAGAGGCAAGGAGTCCTTCATCCAAACACTGCTAACAAACACAGTTGCAGGGCAATGCACTGCGGCAACAGCGAGTCCTCTATGTTGTGTAGTGTAGGCCACACGTCATTTGCTCTAAAGCAAAATTGACGGTAATGGCATTTATAATGTTACGAAATTTATATATTTCAAATAAATGCTGATCTTTGAACTTTTATTCACCTGAGAAAAATTATCAATGTTTCCACAGAAATATAAAACTGTTTTCAACGTTGATAATAATCATAAAAATTTCTTGATCAGCAAATCATCTTAAGCCGTGTGTCCACCAAAGCGTTTTTCCACGCGCCTGGCGTATGTTTTCAATTGTTTTCAATGGGAGCGCCGCGTTTTTTAAACGGCATGAGCGTACCGAGGCGGCGCCCTGAGTGTTTTTTTCAATTTTTCGTTTTTTACTGGTCGCTGGGAGTTGAAAAATGTTCAACTTTGGATAAAACGTCACTTTTTACCCAGCCGTCCAATCACAGTGGAGGAGGGGCGGGGCTAAACCACACTGACCAACTGACACAACATTCAAACTTTTGCGGATATTCTGTATCATAGCAACGAAACGTCTCAACGGAAAAAACGCTGCGCTGCCAAAACGCTCTCAAGCGCCCAAAGCACGGCGTCTTCAGCAGAGCGTCTAGCGGTTTCAGCTGGCTAAAAACGCTTTGGTGGACACACGGCCTTAATAGAGTGATTACTGGAGGATCATGTCACACTGAAGACTGGAATAATGATGCTGAAAATTTGGACCAAAACAAACAGTATTGATGATGTAGAAATTAAAAAAATATATCAGTGCAAAAAAGCTTCATATGTGACACATGAGTAAAAACACAAGACAGATAAAGATAACGTTATCCAACAGATGAGATTGGATGAGCCATACGCGTTTATATTTTGGGCGAACGTGAACTGAACGTACTGTCTGATGAACGTTACTGTGAACGCGTTCATTCTGGTGTCTGTGAACGCACGCTCTCTCAGTTTAACTTCGTACAATAGGGTGCCAGATTTCTATAGAGGCCTCCAGGCTAAAACACACGTAAACAGGCCCTATGTAGCGAAAAAACACCCAATCTGGCAACACCAGCTAGCAGTTGTCGCGCCGCGGCTGCCATCGACAAAGCAGCGCGCGAGGAGGTGTCGTATGATCATTTAAATGGATTTTATGCCGAGGTCGGTGAGGATGGGAAAAATCGTACATTTCTGTGCAGACTTTGCCCGTCGATAAAATAATTGTTGTCTGTGTTTGTATATGGGCTGTGGCAATAATAATAATAAAAAAAGAGCTCGCAACATATGGAAAAAAGAACTATAAATGAACTAGTTCATTTTAAAATGTGTGAACTGAAGTTTGAACTAGAAAGTGAACTTTCCCAACACTGAGCCACAATTTAAGCTGAAAAATGATAAAAGAGATATTAAAATATAGACATGTAACATTAGATATTAATTAACACGACATTGCATTCATAAGCTTTGCATTGTGTCCAATCAGTATTTTCACATTTCTCCGGATCCACATCCGGCACATGTGGATTCTGACTCATTTAAACAAGACGTACACGTGAAAATATGCTCATTACCTGTTAAACCAGTCGTCCGTGTAGCGAGGGTAAGGGAATGGGTCGTTGCTACTGAAGTCAAAGCTGGCTTCTGCATTCTGAAACATCAACAAGAAATAGAGAATCTGTCATCAAGCTTTACAGACTTATGAATTGGTACCAATTATGTCAAAATAAACAATGAGCTTCATTTCAGTAATTAGTCATTCATTATTTAGAAACCATCTCTGGAATTGCCATTGCGCTCATCCCTGAGTGTGTCATGAGCTGCCCCTCATTAAGCGTTCCTCTAGCTGTTCCTTAATTAACCATCCAGCCAATCTCAGAGGTAATGTATTCGAACACTGCGGGAAACACGACCCAGACACCGGAATTATGTGAGGAACTTCATTCTGGTCTGACAAAAACTTGCAGGGACATGAGGAAGAAAGGGTCGGTGTGGGTGGCATGACCAAAATCTCAGATCGCTCATTTTGGTCAAAAAATGGTGTATATACACTCACCTGAAGGATTATTAGGAACACCATACTAATGCTGTGTTTGACCCCCTTTCGCCTTCAGAACTGCCTTATTTCTACGTGGCGCTGATTCAACAAGGTGCTGAAAGCATTCTTTAGAAATGTTGGCCCATATTGATAGGATAGCATCTTGCAGTTGATGGAGATTTGTGGGATGAAGCTCCCGTTCCACCACATCCCAAAGATGCTCTATTGGGTTGAGATCTGGGGACTGTGGCGGCCATTTTACTACAGTCAACTCATTGTAATGTTCAAGAAACCAATTTGAAATGATTTGAGCTTTGTGACACGGTGCATTATCCTGCTGGAAGAAGCCATCAGAGGATGGGGACATGGTGGGGATGGACATGGTCAGAAACAATGCTCAGGTAGGCCGTGGCATTTAAACGATGCCCAATTGGCACTAAGGGGCCTAAAGTGTGCCAAGAAAACATCCCGCACACCATTACACCACCACCACCAGCCTGCACAGTGGGAACAAGGCATGATGATCCATGTTCTCATTCTGTTTACGCCAAATTCTGACTCTACCATCTGAATGTCTCAACAGAAATCCAGACTCATCAGACCAGGCGACATTTTCCAGTCTTCAACTGTCCAATTTTGGTGAGCTCTTGCAAATTGTGGCCTCTTTTTCCTATTTGTAGTGGAGATGAGTGGTACCCGGTGGGGTCTTCTGCTGTTGTAGCCCATCCGCCTCAAGGTTGTGCGTGTTGTGGCTTCACAAATGCTTTGCTGCATACCTCGGTTGTAACGAGTGGTTATTTCAGTCAAAGTTGCTCTTCTATCAGCTTGAATCAGTCGGCCCATTCTCCTCTGACCTCTTGCATCAACAAGGCATTTTGGCCCACAGGACTGCCGAATACTGGATGTTTTTCCCTTTTCACACCATTCTTTGTAAACCCTAGAAATGTTTTTGTGTGAAAATCCCACTAACTGAGCAGATTGTGAAATACTCAGACCCAATATATACCCCAATATAAGCAATATATTTAAGCAATATCCCAAAATTCATTTAAAATATGTGGATGGAAAAATATCTAGTGTTACTGCCACTAAAGAACAAAAAGTCCAGTTTCTCGGAGTCTGCGCTCAGAGAAAGTAGAGCATGATAATGGACTCAGTCGACCCAGCACACACTGAGGGAACAACTGACACACCAGCCCTGTGCTTTACAGCAGTGTGTCTGTCCCATAATCCATCAGTGCAATCATGGAGATTCAGATTCTGACGTTCATGTCGGCCTTCACTTTAGCTCTCTCTTCTCTGCCCAGAGACTTCATTAATAGAGAGCAAGAGCAAAGCATCCAATCGCATCAGTGCTTCAAAACATCATCAGTAATAGTGATATTCTGAATGGCAATGTATTTATAATGTACATATACAGTATATCAGGGATGCACCATTCAAAAGGCAATAAAAAAATGGCTGTTACGGATAACCGATAATTCTTTATATTTTAAAGCCGATAACCGATATATTGGCCGGTAAATCTAAATTCAAATTTATTTTAATAATTTTTGAGAGCTTGAATACAAAAACAAAAGTCTCAACATTAAAAGCCCTGTCCCAAGCACACAATTTTAATGTTCTCATTATAATGTTATGTAGCCGATATGAAAGACTTTTTTTTAAGTAATTCCAATCATATTTCAAGCTATTCAAAACCATCACGATGAACAGTGCGCATCTGAGTGTGTCAGCTGAAGGATATAATACATTATTTATGGTTTTAATGTATCGACCAAATGTACTTATCGGGCCGATAACGACAACATTTAAAAATAAATCGTCCGATACCGATATGGTGGCCGATATATTGCACATCCCTAACATATATATATATATATATATACATAATGTGTATAGGGCCAATCAGGTATACGGCACTCAGTCGATCATTACTGCAAAATTATCCACGAAAAAGAAAGTCTTGCATCACTTTATAAAAGCTTTAAACCATGATAGACTATAGGCCCTGTTTCACAGACAGTTGTTTAGATTAAGCCAAGATTAGATTCAATTAGGACATTTAACTAGCTTTAATAAACATGCCTTAGAAAAAAAAAAAACATTACTGGCATGAATTTCGAGACAAAACATTAAGGGATGTAAGTGAAATCGAGGGTCTGTACAATAGGCCTCATGTTGCTTTGACATTGCTTATAGAGATTATATTAAGTTTAGATTAAGATATTAAAGATTAAAATATTAAGTTTTGTTTTCAAAATATCTGCCAATGGGGTATTAATTCAAAGGAAAAACATAATTTTTGCATTGTACATAATTAGATTAATGTTCACTAAATAGTTCCACTCATGCAATATCTGTGAGGTCAAAGTTTAGAAACGGCTCTGAAACCCCTGTGTGTGTGTATGACATCATTTTAATCACCATGGAAACCGAACACCATAGAGGAAAAGCGCGCTGAAAGATCCACATAAAGCGCAGCGAGTTGAGCCGCAGCTGAGCGTGATTCGCTCTGTTCTTTGGCAAGTCTCCATTTGGCTGCCGCCTGGAGACCGCAGTTAGCAAGCGATGAATTAAATCCAGTCCCCTGTCGGAAAAAATCCTTCAAACGATTATGCTAATTCACTCCTCATCCCACATTAGTCCTTATTAGGAAAATTATTCTCAATCTATTTTTAACCTCGTACCCTTCAGGCACACACACACACACAAACAAACAAACGTTTACATTCTGTATAGTTGTGTTGCTAATGGTGAGTAACAGGAAGGTCTGGGAGGAATTGATGCTAAATAAAACAGTGGCAGGGGAGGACATGGTGGATTACGCTTCAGCTGGGCCCGGTTGGAGACATCATCCTCCTCCGCAGTCAAAGCCAGGCTATTTTGGGGTTAAACTCATCTGTGGTGCACATCCACGGCTCCTGCGGCTCTCAGAGCTCAGCGGGTCTCAAAACAATAACGCCAGAGAAGCATTTGTGAAATATTCTGGTTCCCATTTAGACTCCATTAAAATGTCATTGATAGTTATTTCAGTGGTTTGGAAGAAGAACTCCGCCGAGCCACAGACCAGTCTCTTCGAGGTACCAAACATATGCCATTTAAAGAGCAACTAAACACTTAACCTACTTTTTTTAGTTAATGATCTGTAAGAATGGATCTTTATTAATACCAGTCATTGATTCGAGTAACTTTTTTGACATTTGTTTATAAAGTGTTCTATTTCTACAATATATGGTGTAAAAACGTCTTAGTGCTGCCCTCTTCAGGTTGAACGGTGGCTACTGCAGTTGAATTTTCCTATTGGATGTTCCGCACTTCGTGACGTACGCAGGTTTCAGCTCACCACGCGAGCTACGCCCTTGGCAGTATAAAAACCATCTTGTGTCGTCAAAACCACTGTAGGGAGAATTGGGATTGTGAGTATTGAAAACGATCAGGATAGAGTGTTTTAGCATCTATTTCGTCCCCTCTATCTCCGCTGGGGTCTGCCCACTTTTTCAGCATTTTCAAATATTGCCAGTGGGTGGAGTCAGGCTCTGACCAGGGGTTTAGTTACCATTTAACGGCAGCTACAGAGAGGCACCTGTGGCCAAACCTGTAAGGGATCAGGGAAAAGGAGAAAGTTTTTCCTAATTGAAAAAGTTTTTCCTAAGTTTTTCCTGGCCTAATTGACAACACGGTCAACACCGCTGTTAATTGGTTTCAAGTGGCAGCGAAGCAATCTGATGCATTCCAGCAATTCGTCCCCCACCAGGTCGTCCAACTCACAGATACCTCTTCTGCCGAACTTCTCTCCTGTCCCTCCAGAAAAACGCGATTATGCGATCGCTGAATTCAATGCAAAATCAGCCAAAGTCCGCATATTTATGCGGGGGCCGCATTTATTCAAATATGCCGCACTTTCGTTCACATACTGTAAATTGCCGATTTCCGTGCAAAATATGCGGGGTTTGCATAATTTCATAATCCTCGCATTTTCATTGCAAAAAAACATGTATCTTAGGAGAAAGTTGAAAAATGTTGCGTTTGCTTCACACAAGAGCAGCCATTTCCCCCTGTTTCCATGGGAACGTTCCCAGACAGCAAACTGACATTGAATCAACGTGGAAACATGACATCGAAACAACGTTGATCTGACATTGTTTTGCTCATCGAATTAACGTTGAACCAACGTCACGCGGCATTCTTCAAAGCTAAATGAAAATCGAAAATTGGTTTGCTTTCATAGCATTGAAACAACGTTGATTTCAAGTTGATTTTCCGTTGACGCGTCTGACGTTGGTTCAATGTTAATTCGATGAGCAAAACAATGTCAGAACCACGTTGTTTCGATGTCATGTTTCCACGTTGATTCAATGTCAGTTTGCTATCTGGGTTATGAAGTGACGCAATTACGTGACGCCAGACAGACTCACGGAGGCGATTGACATCTCACAAATCGAACTCGTATAACTGTCTGTCACACGTTCTACCGTTCCTTAATAAACAACATAATATAAAAGAAGTAGCATCAAACAGAAATTACCCGCACACATGGGGTGTTCGAGGCGCACATATAACACTGCAGAGAGTTCAACAGGAGCGCGCAGCTCTTAAAGGGGCCACACCATATTTACACTCGTTACAGTCTGAAATAAAACAAGATGAGAAATTTGAAAAAGATGAGAATATTCCCAGCACTTTCTATGATGTAGTATGCTTGCTTATCAAAGGAGGTAATAAGAAATGACTCTTACATTAGCCTAGTGAGAACAGGATGTTGGGGAATCACCTGTTTTCTCTTTTTCATCAAACCGCAATTTTTGCAAGTTTCCTCAATCTTTGCAAATTCCTGCAATTTCATCGCATAAAATTGCATAAATATCCCGCATATTCCATCGCATTTTTAAAGAAAACGGGCTACGTAATCAATCAATTTTTGCCCGCAACAATCACAAAAAAAATTCTGCGTTTTTCTGGAAGGACTGAATACTAAAATTTTTCACAAATTTTTGGAAATTACCACCACAAAATCAGTAATTTTGATCGCAAAAATCACCAAAAAAAAAATCGTAAATTCCTGGAGGGACTGAATAGAATACGCCTACAGGATTCAGTTTAAATCTTATCCTCCTCATTTCCATGGCATGTTCCCCTCCAGGTGAAGCCAAAGCATATTCCATTGCCAGTGTTGTGTCTGAACGCGTTCATTGAACGATAGTCCATGAACTCGTTCATATTTTAGGCGAACGTGAACTGAACGTACTGTATTACCACCTGATGAACGTTACTGTGAACGTGTTCTGGTGTCTGTGAACGCACGCTCTCTCAGTTTAAAGGGATACTCCACCGTTTTTTCATATTAAACTATGTTATTCCCTTAACTAAGATGAGTTGATGCATAAATGTCAATCACTCTGGTGTGCGAGACACTTTGATCGCACGTAACTAGCCCAGTTCATTTAATATGGGCCAAGCAGAGAAGCGACCAAACACCTCCACGTTTTCCCTATTTAAAGGTGGAATGCCTAAGATTTTTGCATTAAAATATCCCAAAATCACAAGGCCAGTGTTATATATTTAGTTAAGATGATAACTTACAATATTCCAAATGTTTCAAACAATGTTTAAATCGCGAGAAAATTGAAATTTTAACCAAGGAAACGGGGCGTGTGAGCAGGGGTGAGCTGGGAGTCGCCAGTCAATCACGTCATATCCACGTTACCTCGGTTTCCGCTCGTACTGCGTGTAGTCCTGGACAAATGTGGAAGTTGTAGTTGTGCGTTAGCGTCTATCAAGCAACAAACGTCACCTTGTTTTGCGCATTTGTTATAGAATGGAGCACAATTACTCTTTAGTGATTGCACCTGGTTCTGTCGACAAAGACAAGTCTCATAAACGCAAACGTCAACGAACGGGTCAACCAAGCGACCCAAGAAGAATTTGGGACAAGAGAAATAAAACCAGCTCAATATCGGTGTGGCATTTCCTAAATGGAGACAACTTCGTGATCTTGCATGTGTTTTACTTGACAGGTGAGTGACACCGTGTTCTGTATTCAAATTTCATGTCAGTAAACGATGCAAAACAATTAGTATTATTGTTAGAATGTCTTGTTGTCTATGCATATGATGTGAAAATTCGTAAGGTCATATTCACCGCGAATACTTCTCGGAATGTGAACTGTTGGCTGTATCTTAGAAAACAACGTTTTTCTGAAAAGTGTTTCAACCGTCCCGGCTCTCCCCTAACATCTGTGATAACTAATTTACTTTTAAACCTTACTTTCTTGCGGTTATTTCAGTTTAATGAAAAACAACCATGTCATTAAACGCAACAGTTATAGAAATCGAACTTTACCTCATCCATGACAACTAATTTTCGATTCCCGTCTGACTGATTTATCCACGATGGAGTTGAAAACAACAGTTCCCATCCTTCCGCGTTCCTCCGCGGCGTCATCAAACAAAGCCGTTGTTGTTGTTTTGAATGTAGCGCCCTCTAGCGGCGTAAAATCTTAGGTATTGTAGCTTTAAATGCAGTTACTCGAGCAGTGTAACTCGACCTAGGACATATCGACTCCGGAGAGGGAGAGGGGGAAGAGTGAGGATATTACTACGCCGAGTCGAAGTGCTTCCAAGCACTTGCTGTGGTATTACGCCATACAATATAGTTATTTATTTATTTAACAGGGACCATACATTCAAACATAGTCACAATACAAAGCCTGTAACTGATGCGCAGCATATAGAGTTTATAGCTAATGCTAATTTACAACTCCTGTCCCTGGTTGGGCATTTCTAAATACATTATAAATAAATAAAAATAAATAAATAAATCCACTTTACCCACTTTATCCACTTTACACACTTAGAAAAGCGCAACCCCTTCAAGTAAAGTGTTACCAAAAGATCTAAAGTAAACTATCAATCAGACGACGATTCAGTGCAAAGGTTCTCATTGATCATTTAGAGGCCTTCAAAATGTGCTTATCAATTATGGCTTTTACAGGGTTAAGAATCGTTAAAGTCGAGTAATTCGTTCATGAATGCGTTTGTTGCTGCGTGCAACTAGTAAAGACAACACAAAAGGAAAATGCATTAACTATTTATAGACGTTGTTCTGTTTGATGGCACCGAATCATCGCATTCAATTCAAACCTGTAAACATGATAACTAGAACAGCCTTGACACTGCCGCTCACTGTAAGTGCAGGAAACACTGTGAGAGTATTTTAGCATGACTTCCTCCAGCCTTTTTTATCCACAGTCGTGCAGAAAACAGTGCTGAGATCTGCTGTGTGTATGCGAGTAAGGCACTGATGTATGATGTGCGGCAGCATTTCGTAATTGCCGAGGTGCAGCAAATCCCGTCTCAGCGGGGAAGAACTCGCCATTATCTGCATATTTAATTGCACACAGGATGCAAATGTGTCATCTGTCTGAAGAGAAGCAAGCCTTTCTTTGCAAACCTTTACACTGGGATCATTGCCATGCATTGGGTTTAGTCCACTGTCTACATGCTGTAGAGCTTCATATGCCGCATGAACATTAAACATTAATTAGGTTGAGAAATGGAAAACAACACAGAGGAGTTTGCGACCAAAGCTGCATATCAGCTAATAACATAATGTTTGTTGAGCATTCAATTAAAATGGTTTTCTATTGAATAACCAGTTCAGCGAAAGTACTTTAACGGTCATTAGTTAACATGAACTAACAATGAAAAATATTTCTTTAAAGCATTTATTAATCTTAATTTCAACATTAACTACTACATTGAAATCATAAGTTGTATCTTTTATTATGGACATGTCAAGCTGACATGAACTAACAATGTAAAGTAAAATTGAGGCATACTCTATATAGTAATGCAGTAAGTCTTTCAAGTATTTGCTATTTACTTAAAATGTTACATAAATATTAAATGGAAAAAGGTACTTACATAATTTGAGGCGAGATCTGGATGTAGATAATCAATACCTGCAAGGTGACGTCAAAATAATACTTTATTGGGCATTCAATCTTTACATGATGAAATTAGCTAACAATACTAAACATTATCAAGCCTCTATTGTGCTATTTTAAAGGTCCCTAATGTTGTAAACAGGTTTAAACACATCTAAGGTCAAAAACACTTTATTTAACTCATAATCTCCACTGCAGCTTCAGCTCTTTGTCTGAAACGCTTCGTTTGGAGATTCAGTCTCTCTAAGCCCCGCCTCTCTGAGAGCTGCTCTGCTCTGATTGGTCAGAGAGCAAACGCTCATTATCATATCTGAACCTCAGATCTTGATCACAGTGATACGAACAGTAACGATGGCGAGGGTTTTACCGTATCAATCTCATCAAAGTGGATTTGCTTCGTCAGCAGAAAACAGCGTCTTCTCGACACGAACCGAACTCTTCAGTCTCAGATACACTACAGTGTTTGAGGGCGGAGCTAAGAGATGCTGATCAGCCAATTAAGACCAGAGGCTGGCATTATGCAAATTAGTTACAAACCTACATAGGTTCATTCCGAAGTGATACTATGGCAAGCCGTTTTAGCTTTTATTCATTTCCAGGATATGAATTCTTGATATCACCAATTACATTTTTTGATATCAACAATTTAATTGCTGATATCTGTAATTGTATTTTCACTGTCCATAGGCTGCCATTCAAAATAAATAGTTGATATCAATAATTGATTTTTTACTAGTAGAAATATCATTTTTGATATCAATAATTGCATTGTTACTAATAAAAATGTGAATTCCTGATATCAACAATTAAATTGTCACTAGTTGAAATGTCTATTCTTGATATCAACAAATCAATTGGTACTAGTAAAAATGATAATTTTTGATATCGGAAAATATATTTCTGATATCAATTTTATTTCAGATATCTAAAATGACTTTCTTACTAGTAACAATCACATTCATGATATCAGAAATTAACATTGTCACTAGTGAAAATTGAATTATTGATATCAAAAATTACCATTGTTAGTAGCAATTCAATTGTGGATATCAAGAATAGACATTTCAACTAGTAACAATTGAATTCTTGATATTAAAATACTAGTAATAATTGTATTTCTGATATGTGAAATTGAAGTAGTAAGAAATCAATTATTGACATCAACAATTGGTTTTTAATGGCAGCCTATGGTGAAAATACAATTGTTGATATCAAGAATTCATATCCTGGAAATAAATAAAAGTTAAAACGGCTCCCCATAGTGAGAATTACTGACGACTCGTTTCAGTTCAGAATCACTTCTTTCTTTTGGGAGACAAAAACTTTGATCTTAACTTAACCCTTTTACACTCTCAAACTGCTTTATTACACACTGCATGAAAGGAAATATCCAATCAAGCATAATAGTGGCACTTTAATTCATATATAACTGGTCTATGTGAAGTCCAGTCAAATCACCGTAATTTATACAGCGCTTTTAACAATTTAGATTGTTTCACAGCAGCTTTACAGTGGAGATTACAGTAACAGCCGCTCTAGAATAAAGTTATTGTCCAGATAAAGTTAGTTTTGATTAGTTATTAACTTTAACTGAAAACAGAAAGCTTTTAATGCGTTCTGGCCACTGATTTGCACACAACAGTGTTTGCTGGACAGGCTTGGCTCACCGTCGTCCATGATGGCGATGGTCACTCCTTTGCCGGTGAAGCCCATGTTCCAGGCTTCTGCCACGTTCAGGTCCAGCCCCGGGGTCCCGTCCGCTTGGCCCGTGTTTATCTGATCAAACAATAGCGAAAGCGTCACGAGCCGAGCATCCAACGCACTGAACATTAGATGTCATGAGGAAGGAGACGTGGAAGGGAAAGTAAATGTCACACAGATATTACACTTGGCTGAAACCCTGCTGTGGACTGTTTATAACTGACAAACTTAATTAAAGAATGGGCAAAACCGACAGGGATGCCTGTCACGATAAGCCCTGGAGAAATAAAGAAGATGACGACGGCTCATGTTTACGGTGACGGCTAATGAGGAAAAGCGTTTAAATGAAGAGCAATTCCCGACTAATGCAATACAATCAGTTCCAATGCTGAAGGTCAAATAAAACGAAGACATTATGAACAATAATTACTTACAAGATACCACTGCTTGGTGAAAAGCGGGTCCGTCATGTTGACGTCAGAGTTGCTGATTTCTCTGTAGCCCCTCTTTTGACGGCCAAATCCCTCCTGAGGAAACACATTCTTCACCTGGAAGAGAAAAAAGCAACTTACATTGGATTTCAAGCTTCAGACTCACACTTCTATGCTTGATTATCGTATTACATCCAACAAATACTGTAGTTACATTCAACGTATTTTAAGGCAGGAAAACAAAACATTTAAAGTCCCTGTAAATCAAAATTAAGTTTGTCACACCACAGAAAACATTTGTTATCAGCCACCCAGCCAAATTTGAATGATAAAAAAGCCAGCAAATACATAAGCTACCAAAATCTTGAAAAAACGCTCTCAAACACGGTGACGCTGCCGACGGTGATATTAGGTGATACCAAGCGGGTAATCCATCAGCCGGAAGTTGAAGCCTCGCGGGAGCCGCCATTGTAGCCACCTGCTATAAGCATCCCACTGACTCCCATTCATTTTTGCGTCACTTTGACAGCGAATAACTTTACCTCTGAGGCGTCCAAAGACTTAATTTGTCCAGTATTTATTTGTAAAGAAACACGACAATGTATAACTTTGTATCTTACACTGTAAAAAATAACCGTGATTTTAACGGTAAAATACTGTAAAAATCCTACAGTGCAAAACTGTTAATTGGTAAACAGAAAGTTTCCGTACTATACACGGTAAATAACTGTGATATAATTTTACAGTAAAATACTGTTAAATTTACAGTTTTTGAAAGTGAAAAAGAACAAATCATTGTATAATTTACAGTGAAAAACCGTAAATTGACATTCCCACAATTCCCTGTGTGACACTTCACATTTTATGCATTTTTGTTGAAATAACTATAGTTCCTCATACTGTAGTTTTATTGTTTTTTTCTAATCAGTTATGTACATTAGGGTTATATGTTACATTTAATGTTGTTAAATTAATGTTTATTGCATTTTTTTTTTATTTCATGTGTGTTACCATGATGGTGCTTAATGTTTGTGTGAATGACATTGATTGTGCAGCTTCTTTAATTAAGTATTGCTTTATACAAGTGTTCACTTGTGATGAGCTGTGATTGCTCATGTAACTCTCATCACTGCTGTGATGATTGTTGGTTGTCAGTGTATTACAATGGTCTAAAACAGATATCAATACATCAATAAGTTGGTAAATCCACATTTTATCAGAAAATAAATTACGGTTCATTACTGTAAATTTTAAGTTAAGTCTGTGAAACCATTAACTTTCCTACCCTATTTTTAACTGTAAAGTTCTGGCAACCACAGCTGCCGTTTTTTTACCGTAAAATTTACAGTTTATTTTTTACAGTGTACGTTATGGCCCCGTAGATGCCGTTTTTGTGAAAAATAGGCTAACGATTGCGTCATCACTTCGCAACTTTCTGTCGCACACAATAGAAACATTACCGTATAGACAGGAGGCGAAGCTCGCAAGCAATCTTTTACTGTTTATGAGGCAATCGGGGTGACATGGAGGCATAAAGTCGAGGGAGAAGACTTTTACTGTCTGTGGGAGAGTCCATAAAAGCAACGGGAAAAAATTTTTCAACAACGTTTTAACTTGGCACAGCTACTAGAAGATTTACAACTGTCAGACCGTAGTCACGCAGTCGCTCAGACATCAGACAGGAAGTGCAAAAAGCGGGCTTCAGTCTTCTCCGTTGAAATCAATGGGGTCGCTCCGTCCATTTCTTTTACTGTCAATGGGTGAAACTGCTTTCGGGACGGGAGGATGAAGGCTGAGGCGGGAGATAGTCGGTTCGGCTCCATTCACCAGTAACAGCGGATTATCAGTGAATCCCAGTTGTCTCTGACAACTATCCCGCGTAAAATGATCACTACAGAGGCGGTGATCCTCAGCTCTCCATCAAGGTTGGCTTTTCACAAAATGAATCCACCTTTTGTTGATGTGATCGTTTTTAGGAAATTTGAATAAAGACAACGATCTGTTTTTGTACATCCAGGTAGTAGCTTACGCATTTAGCTAGCTAGCAAACTGTAGGCTATAGTAACTAATAGTACTGTCTCGTGATTGAGCGGCGAACTGATGCGAATGTGCTCTATTGTTAGGGGAGGGGCCAGGTCATGAAGTAGGGGCGTGTCCACAAGCTCAGGGGCACCAGTGCATCATCAAGCCCTGTTTTAGCCCCGCCCAAAAAAATGGAAAATAGCAATGGTGAAAAACTGTTTGAAGGGATAATTAATTTTTGATGTTTTAGCTTACCTCAAGTGCATCCAAGATGTAGGTGATTTAATGACTCGTGAATGTAAGTACACACTGATGGCCTAAGACACGAAACGAGCGGTTTGTGTGAGAAAACGAACAGTATTGATATAGTTTTTACCTCTTGTTAACAGCTACATGCACTGATCTGAATCAGATGTCCAACTGAACCAAACTGAACCATGTCCAAACGTTACGCCGGAAGTGATCTCATGCGCGTCTACGTCACGCATTGTTTACACAGAGATTTCGAAATTTTACCTTTCACTAAACATATTTAGATATATCAAAATCGTCTTCCATTGCGATTTCCCGTATATCTAAATAAGTTTAGTGAAAGGTAAAACTTCAGAAATCTCTGTGTAAACAATTTGTGACGTAGACGCGCATGAGATCACTTCCGGCGTAACGTCTGGAGACGGTTCAGTTCGGTTCAGTTGGACATCTGATTCAGATCAGTGCACGTAGCTGTTAACAAGAGGTTAAAACGAGTCATTAAATCATGTTTAATTTGGATTTCTCTGTGCATGCTCTTTGAGGTGGACCCCCTAAACCTCCATTATATGACTGACAGACAACAACGGTTTGACCGAAAAATGTCAAAATTGAAAATATTGTGGAAACAAAGACACCTAAATCTTGGATGCCCTTGAGCTATGATAAAACATATCAAAAATTAAGTTCAAAGTGAACTATCCCTTTAACGGTCTAACTCCACAATTCAGTACTTCACATTTCACAGTCTTTGAATATGTTTTAGCAATTACTAACATTTATAATGTGTTTAGAATTTTTTTTTTTTTTTGTGAATTGCCGGTTACACTTTATTTCGATAGTCACTTTAGACATTCTACTAACTATAAGTAACTTTTCAACTACATGACAACTTACTGTCATTAGAGTATTAGTAGACTGTAGTAGACTGTCAGTAGAGTGTTAGGTTAGGGTTCAGGTTAGGAGAACAAGTTGACTTGTAGTTGCTAAGTTACTTATAGTCAGTAGAATATCTGTTGGGGGACCAACAAAATACTGTGTTAGAAGATATTAAGCAGACAGTCTACTAATAATGATTAGTTGAAATGTAGCGGCAAAGTTGAATGTCTAAAGTGGACTATCAAAATAAAGTGTTATCGAATTGCCTTTAAACATGTAATTTAGCTGAGTTTTAAGGGATAAAATTAGTGACAACTTTCAGCAAATTCGTTAAGTTGTATCTAAAGCTTCCCACATCCGAAACACAACATATGCTGGTGATCAGTCTTATCAGACATCAGAGCACAATATTCACAGCTCGAAGAGTTTCAATGTGCAGGATTACTCATGGTCGGATCGCTGTCCTTTAAAGCATCACGCAGCAGAAACTTCACAGCGAGACCCTTCACCTCGACAGAGCAGTACCCCCGAAGCCCATCGCTAGCAGAGCATGACGTCAGCCGGGCCTCGCAGACAAAGAAACCCCCAATTACACCCTCACGTCTGCATGTGGAATAAAGACTGAACAGATGAAAGTCTGCGCTCGGCCTCAGAGAGCGCTTTGATGGCGGCTCGCACAACACACACACACACACACCAGCATCAGATCAGCATTTCCCATTTCATGGTGAATTCTTAATTTGATCTCGGTTGTATCACCAAGTGTGAAAGCACACAGATTCGAGAACATTTGTGTGCTTAAAACACTGCATGACATATGACTTATTTTCATGAGCAGCTGAGATTCACGATCTTATACAGTATACGAGTCTATTATGAAATAGTTCTGGCAAATTGTGACTTTGCACCTTTACATCCATACATTTTTTATACCGAGACTAAAACGCAAATATTTAAAATAGAGATGCACCGATATTAAAATGTTGGCCGATAACCAATAATTCTTGAAATCCGATAACCGCTATACCATGTCGCAAACGTACAATTATAATGTTCTCATTACAATTTTATGTAACCGATATCACTGATATCTGCGGTGCACACGAACTGTTTTTTTCCAAAAGTGATTCCAATCATATTTCATGCAATTCCAACAGTGCACATCTTAAGTGCTTCAGATGAAGGAAATAATGCATTATTTATCGGCTTTAATATTTCGGCCAAATTTTCTTATCGGGCCGAAAATGTTAAACTTTTTGAATTATAATATATCGTCCGATATCGATACGGTGGCCGATATATCGCGCATCACTAATCAGTGGTGGAGGAAGTACTGAATCTCAGTACTTAAGTAAAAGTACAAATACCCAGATAAATATTTACTTTAGTAAAAGTAGAAGTAACACAATGACAACCATACTTAAGTAAAAAGTAAAAAGTACTTTATTTTAAATGTACTTTAAGTATTAAAAGTAAAAGTACTTGCATAACAATTTATTCTCTTAATGTCTATTTTCTAATGATTAATAAAACATTTAATTGTAACTCATTCAACCTAATACTCCTATAATGATGTTCAATAATGATGGAAAAAATGTCACCATTTCTGAAACAAGCTTGCAATTAGGCAATATACACATCATGCTTATCCTTACTATATGTTAATAACTATGTTTGGCAGTAAACGAGATTAATTTATGGTGTAATTCTGAACCTCTTGGCTTGCCATAATCCTAACCAAACCAAACATATATTACACACGGTGTGTTTCCTATGCACGTAAAAACAAATTTTCGCGTATGAGTTGCACGATAAACACACTGCGCGTGAGACGCATTTAGTGTGACCAGGTTGATATACTGTATCTATGGCAACCAAACGTCACTGGTGAGACAAACGTGCAACGAACGGACGGTCAGATTACGTTTTGGCAGGGGAAAAACTGATCAGAAAATGTAACGAAAATG